AGGGAGGAGGGGAGGAGGGGAGGAGAGAAGGAAAGAGACATGATCTGGGTTGGAGACCAGAGAGCGAGGAGATACTATACTAACCATCGGAAGGAGTCGTGTCAAGAGAAATTGAAACTTGCCATGGCTCAGATCTTTCTCTTTGATTTCTTGATGATCTATTTCGCTGAAAGGTTGCTGCTTTGCAGGGTAATGAATTGGGATCATTAAGTCAACGATCCGAAAGACAGGAAATTTCACATCAGCTTTGAGTTTACGGTTCCAAACTTCTTGTTTCCTGCATTATCAACATGAGCTCAAGAGCAAAGGACAGCAAGGCTGGAAGAAAACCGGATAAAAGAAAGTCGGACAACCCTGGAGCAGGGACCAAGAAAAGAGTCTTGTCGGCAGATATGGTAAGGACGATCTATGCAGAAAGGAGCACGAAAGCAGGTTACAAATCTTTGGAGAGCGTTGTAGTTGCGAACAGGTACGGAATCAGCTCCAAGACCGTTCGAGACATTTGGGACCATCGAACTTGGATCGACGTGACAAAACCGCTGTGGAATTGTGATGAGCTCAACCAGATCGTAGCAAGCAAGCAGACCGAGTCGAAAGACGTGGAGATGAAGAAGGAGAGAGGTCAGAGTGAAGGAAACGGAAGCAGGCAGATGGAGGTCGGTGAGATGATTTCTGGGGGTGACCCGGGGAGCTCTGCGATGGATTTCCAGGATGACAAGTCGAACAGCATCTCTCCTTTCAACATTTCGGAGGATAGCGACGTCAACAAGTACTTGCGCGACAGCAGCGAGGAGAAAACAGTCCAGAGCTTCTTGAACCTGGAGTCCGAATCCAACACTGGGAGCTCTGCTTCGATGTACAGCAGCGAGACTAAGGACGCCAAGGGTAGCAGCGATCGGTACCCTCTGAGGGGCGCAAGGCGTAGAAGCTCGCGAGGGGAGGAGGCACAGAGCACGAGCCCTCCTGAAGGTGACTCGCACACGTCTTCGTCAGAGAACCACACAAGGACGAGCCGGTCTACCTCGGGGAGTCGCAGCGATGCTGCTGCGCAGGACAGCACTAGCTGCAAAGCGCAAAGCGAGGGGAAGCGATCTAGGAGGAAGGGCGAGAAGGGAAGGGAGAGGGAGCACGAGGCCAGGGCAGTGAGGGACGGGTCATCGCCGGAATCTCCTTCGGTCGCTGGAGGATCGAGTGATGGAGATGCGAGTTCAAACAGTCAGAGCGCAGATTCAATGACAGAGACCAATGTGATGATAGCGTCACAAACCGCTCCTTCATCTAGCACAGGTGGAGGGCGAAGTGGAGAGGGTGGCGTTGGCGGCGTCACCAGAGGAGGAGCAGGAGGAGGAGGATCAGCTGCAACCGCTGCAGCCACAGGAGGATCTAGCTCAGGGGCAGAGAACAAGATGAGCGCTTCCAAGTCAGGATCTGTGGGGAAGCGTTCGGACTCAGATGACAGCGCAGGGTGGATCAAGAGCCTGGATGCCGATGACATCCAGAGCTATATGCTCAACGAGACTAGCAGCGACGATTGATGTTGTTGAAAAAACTGTTGATACTCATTGACTAGGTAGCCGACTGATGTTATTGAAAAACTGTTCATACTGTGACCGATTGATGTTATTGAAAACTGTTCATACTCACTGTAGATTGAGAACTCAGTTCATACTCACATTAGGTAGCTGAGGGACCCCATCCCCCCAACCCCCTTCGTTTCATTCTCATGGACCCCTGTAATATTCTAGTTTTCTACCCTTCATGGGGGGGTACCCCCCCTTCCTAAGCGCTCATCACAAGTCGCATATAATGGGAATGAGCACGTGAAAGAGAGGAGAGGAGAGGAGAGGAGAGGAGAGGAGAGGAGAGGAGAGAAGGACGCTGTTGTTGTACTGTGTGGAGACAAGACTGGAGAACGAGCATGGCGGCGAGAAGGAGAGCTACCCTTTCTCACTGAAGCAGGTTGCACATTTCAGCATTGGAAAGGAAGTAAAGGGGGGGGAAGAGGGCAAGTGCTGTTGAGGGGAAGCGAGCGGAGGGAGTAGAAGTAGGGGGCTGAAAGGAGGAAGACATCAACTTGAGATATGAGTGTCAGACAAGCTGTAAGGATGAGATCTCAGTTGATGCCTCCTCTCGTTCCAACTCTCCTGTCCTTTCTGTTCATTTTAGCGGCTGGCATCCAGGGCACGGCCCCTCTACCAGCGCTAGCAAGAGGCGCGCTCAGCAGCGCACAGTATCAGATATTCGTCCCATCTCCCCTGAGGCTGCAAGGAGGAAGAAGATCCGAGAGCAGGAAGAGGAGGCCTGACGGCGAGAGGAGCGAGTCAGAATCGCGCAGGAGCGTTTCACCGTCTTCGAAGGAGGGAGAGCCGACGCGTTCGCCGAAGAGGAGCAAGGGGGATCCCAAGGACGGCAGGAAGATTAAGAAGCACATACCCTCTTCAGCCAAGAAGATCCACAACAGCCCTTTGCCCCTGGCCGAGGAGTCGACGGAGGAGGAGTCATCACAGGAGCAGCGGTCGGAGAGTCCAACCATGTCCCAGAGGACGGTTGAAGACCAGCAGAGCTTGCAAAGGAAGAAGAAGAAGGGGAATTCAAGCGAGGTATCTTCCTACAAGACCCCGTCGACAAAGAGGAAGAAGGCCTTTCACAAGACTCCCGACTCGGGGAGGTCAGTCCGGTTCAGCGAGTCACTGACGTCGGTCCACGAGTACCCGAGCAAGAAGCAGAAGTTCTGCACGCAGGAGGAGATCGAGCGAGCGTTCCAGGAGTCGATCGAGGAAGAGATGCTGTCAGAGCTGGAGGAGGAGCAGAAGCCGAAGGGCAAGGGGAGGGCAGCGCCAATGTGGGAGGAGTCGAGTAGCGAGACTAGAAAGCCCCCGAAGGATTCAGCGAGCATGATTGACAAGAAGGGGAGGAACAGAGACAAGTCGAAGAGGAAGGGCAAAGACTAGTAAATCTCAAGGCTACAGGTCGAGGCGGCAGGTACCTTCCAAACCGACAGCTCGCTGCACGACTGCTCCGTTGGCTCTTTCATTCATCCGAGACTGAGCGATCCGCACGGTGTTCAAGGTTGGCGACAGCGTACTCTCCATACCCCTTGGACCAGATAAGAAAGGAGAATGAAAATCCATCGATAGCTCCTCACCTGATATGCGAAGTCCCACAGCCGAACCCTGTCGCTCGCGCTCGCTGCCTCCTGATCCTCCCCTGCTCAAAGAACGCCAATGAGCGCTTCCTTGCGACCAACAACTCACGCCCTCACCAGGAGCCATGAAGTAAAACCTCCCGTCCTGCTGCCGCCGCATCCCTTGGAAGTCGAGGTAGAGGAAGGGACTCTCTTGCCCCCCACCTCCACTCCCGTTAATCATGCTCGCGATCGTCATCGCCTGCATCAGGGTGAGTGGAGGAGCAGACAGTCGAGCATTTCTCATCCACCTCCATTGGCAGCGGTTCTAATCGCTCCGCTGCTCTGAGAGCTCCTTCCACTCCTGGAGGGATGGAGGAGGAGGAAGTTCCGATGCTGCGCAACATGTAAAGGGGGATGTAGAGAGATAGACCGACAAGGAATCGTCAAGTGAGGCACATGAGTGTAGGAGGGCGAGGGGGGACGGGGAGAGAGAGAGGAGGTAGGGGAGAGAAAGAGAGAGAGAGAGAGAGAGAGGAGAGCATGGAGACCTTTCAGGGTCCTGTTGTCGATCTTCAGCGACGGAGGGACGCACTCCTTGCCGAAGGTTTACCATCAAGGTGCATCGATCATCGCTGCATCGATCTTGCAGGGCCTCCCCCTCGGCAACACCCGACCCAGCCATCGAGGCGCTGAAATCGCCCACCCTGACCTGCAGCTTGTCCGCGACGGCGTCCAAGACCTCTGAGAACCTTGCGACGAGGGGGAAGGTCAAGTGGAATTCTTCATGGCCGACCACCACCACCCGCACTTGCAGCGTCCGCCCATCTTGCCTACTGGCAGCTGCACTCGGACCCGGACCCTCCGCGCTCCGGGCTGCCGGGTCGAAGCGAAACTGGTCGGAGAGTCGGAAGCGGGAGTTGAGCCGGCTGACGATCAGGGCGGCAAGGGAGGAGAACCTGCGGTTGCCCAGGGAGACTTGGAGGCAGTCGATCTCGTTGATCCGCGACCAGACGTCCGACCGGACGTTCCGGACAATGGCCCGGGCCCCCCCGGGATGCATGACCTGGGCCCAACGGAGATCTCTGCCGGCGCTGGCCACTCCGATGACGAACTCCTTGACGAGGAAGAGAACAGACTGAGAGTCGGGCACGGCAAACCACCTCCGAGAAGCCTTCCTGCGCTCTTCGAGCGTTGAATAGCAGTCCTTCAGGTCTCGGCACATCTGTAGGAGCGGCTCGCTAAGGAGGTTGCGGAGATTCCCGTCATCAACGAGGGTGCTGACTTTCCCGACGGCCTCGCCCGTTAGACCCCTCTGACAACGATCTTCACTCCTCGAGGCAGCTTGCAGCTTCGAGCTGAAGTCGAGTAGGCGGTCCAGGTGCTCGCTGCAGTATCGTGCCATGGCAACATATAGGACGTGATAGAGGTTCCTGCCGTCCCGAGATCGGATGTCCTTGAAAGACGTGATGCTTGTGAGAGTGAATCCCTCCACGGGGTTCGACCGATGCTGGTTCAGAAAGTTCCCCATGGCCAACACCATGCGCAGGGAAGACCTCAAAGGTTCGCTCGTTTGCACTTCCGCGTACACGGCATCGAGCCCTCGCAACTCAGAGAACAAACTCGGGACGTCAGAACAAACACTCAGCAGCTCAACTTTCTTCGCCAACCTCGCGAAGTTCTGCTCGTCGAACACGTCGAGCAGAAACGAACTCAAGTCATCAAAGGAGGAAGAACGAGCCTCAGCGTTTGCCAGTGGGTTCCTGGTCATGAACGTCCTCAGAGCCACCTTGGCTGGACCTTCCGGCCAGAGTCGGTAGCTAGTTTGAAGGTACTTTAGGCTATCATGAACTCTTCCCATGTTCTCTTCGTTCAACGCCCTTTTCGCGAGGTCGTCTGCGAAGAGTCTTGCCATCTCTTCTCGTTCATACTTGACCCCCAGCACAATCTGAAAACCCTCCAGCAGCAAGCTAGCTGAATCATTTCCATACGATTCCAACCTTTCGATGCTAGCAGAGCTACCTCGTTCGAGGATTGCTTTGCTACACTTCTCAATCTCTTGCTCAAGGCGAGTCAAGGTAGGGCATCGAAGAATGTTCTCCCGCTGATCCTTTGAAGCAGCTGTATCCGACGGCAACTGCGCAAAGAGCATATCAAAGTCTTCTTCTTCATCGCAATCGTCTTACGTCTAGGATTCTCCCTATTCCTTTGAGGAAGATTTCCAATGCCGGCGTGGAATTCATCTTGATCAGCTAATACCTCTTGATTAGATCTCGATTCAAATGCTACAATGAGATCTTTCATACTTGATTGGTGGGTTTCCCCACAACTACACCCCGTAGGTACCACGGCGGTGAGAAAGTTGAAGAAACCGCTGCTGACGATGTCAGTTCATGCTATCAAGTCTGTCAGCCTTCATGTATACCAGTCTGCGCCTCGGCTTTCTGCTCTCTGAACAAGTCCTGTCAAGATGATCACGATCTCTCACAGAAAGTGCCATCCCAGCAAGTGAAACCTCCAACGCTTCCAGGTCTGTGTGAAGAAACGTTGGGGCAAAATTGTGGCTCCAGAAAGATCTGATAGCAAGAGTCACTCAAGGAACGCAACAGCGATAACACTAGACCTTTCCGTCGGTAATTGAAAACTAGCTGACCAGTTGAATTTTGCCGTCCTAAACTGCTTCTTGAAAATATCCTGACATGGCAGAGTTTCGTATGGTCCGGAAGTCCTTGACTTAGCCACGCTGGTGGATGCTCCTGAGCGAGGCGGCGGAGGCGGAGGAGGAGGCGGGGGAACAGGAGGAGTAGAAGGTGACGGAGAATGAAGGGATGTGGTAGCTGCATTGTGACCGTCGACAACAACTTCATCATGAGAGTGGGTCTCATACTCTGGCAGCCGAGACGTCCGATCAGAAATCCCGACAAGCTTCGCATCAATCTCACCATGGTTAGCATCCTTGGATGCACCTCGAGATGCAAGTGCATCGAGCATTTCATCCCCCTCTGCCTTGGGTGCGTCCTTCGGAAGGGTCAGCAGGGTCAGGTCGTCTGGAAAAGCGGTCGGGTGAGATTCAGAAGTCGGGTGAAACCTTGCAAGTTTATCACCTTGAACAGAGCCTGAAAGACGATTCAGAATGTCTGAAGACACTGATTTGCAAGCGTGGTCCAGATCCGCGACAAAGCTCTGGAGGTTCGACATTGCATTCAGCAAGAACGTCTCTGCTTTCAGGTCGTAGTCTTCAAATGTTCGGCGTCTGATCACTTGAAATACATCTGAAGAGATCTGATACACAGCCTCTTCAAACTTCGGGCGGTAGTGCTTGACGTACTGCTCTTCTAGTGCAACAACTTCCGGCGAAAGATTCTACAGGGCATCAGGGGAGATGTGGTAGCAAAACAACTTGCGCTACCTCAAGCCCGTAGTACATCTTTATGGATCTCCAAACCACAAAGAATTTCGGGAGGGACGCCTCCAACCTCTGCAGAGACTGCATGGGACGCCTGTTAGTTTACTCCTGGGAGCTCAAGGATCACCTTGACAGCAGAGCTGATCATCTCAGCTGACTCCAAGACCTTTAATGCCTCGGGGCAACGGACCTGGAGAAAGGCTGCCAGGAAATGAATCAAAGTGGATTTCCCATCGGCCGTCTTCAGGCTTCTGAGTGATCGCAAAGAGCTCAACCTAAATGGACTCGTCATCGCAGTCTTGCAGGGCAATGCAACTCACTTGAACGACCAGGCTCCACAAGCTGGAAACTCATTCATGACATTCCCTAAGAAGCGAACAGTGTAGAGAATGTACAAGAACGATGGGCTAAGACAACACATCGAATCAAAGAAACCCAGGATAAGTGCCAACTTACCTCGAAAAGATGACTTCAATGACTCTCAGTGCGTCACAGAAACTTTCTTGAATGAGCTGGAACTGAAAACACGTCCGAATCATCGAAATGCGACGTTCGAATTCGAGGATCGAAACATGGCCGGTGCTCGATTGTAAGCAGTCAGCATTCCATTTGATCAAGCTATCAAAGTAGACATTGCTAGGAGAGAAGTTCGTCTTGTTCCCTGCCATAGCATAACTCTTAGCTCTAAGGAGACAATAAGCAAATCAAAGACTACCATGGAACCAGTGGAATGCGTTGACCTCTTGTTGTGTCGGCACGAAAACGTTTGGACGATCCAACATGACTTCCAGAACATTCAACAGGAAACCAATCGATAACCGTTGTCCACCACGAGGAATTAAGGAGCTGTAAAAGGTTTCCCAAAGAGACACGTTTGAATACACAAACTTGTAGATCTTTCGCGAGGCGCAGGCAAACTTCAAAATTGTTCGTACACAACTGCATCTCACAAGAATTTCTACAATAAGATCCATCGAGAGGGTTGAAAGCAACAAGTCTTGCTCGGATGCTTCCATGAACAACTTCTCGGAGATGATTCTTCCATCCATCGATGCGTCCCTCTTTCTTGCCGTTGTATTCACTCCTTGAGTCTGACATTCTACCAATTGGACCTGCTGTAATGCAAGCATAGCATTCCTTACTGCAACTGCCCTCGAAGTCATCACGTTTTGCATCAGCTCAGCTATGAAGGATGCTTTGGCTTCCACGCGTTCGATCGGTATGGACTGCAGCATGATTTCAACATTCTGTGTCCGTCTTGCATCCAGCAGTGAAGTCTGGGAAGATCTGTTTCCCCTAGTAGCATCATGAGTAATGTTTGATCCCGTTCTAAAGTGATGATCTAAATCCTCAAACACAAAATCCTCTAGCTCGACCCAGCCCGGTACAGAAGCGACCCAATGCGATTCCGAGATCAAGTGTCTTGGGACGATCTGTAAAACAAAATTAGTGGAATAACTCGTGTCTGCAAACTTGCAGCGTATACCTTCCAGTGAACGCCTTTCAACCATCCCACTGTCAATCGAGCTGCTGGATTCCACGGTATGTTGGGGTTGGGGCTGGATCGAGCTGCCAAGTCCGTGGGTGCAGCAGGAGGAGCAGGTGGTAGCAGAGGGATGTTCTGATCCGCACCCTGCTCCTGGTGTTGTTCCTCCGCATTTGCATCTCCATGAAATCCAGGCGTATCTGGCAAGGACGCTCGTGCCCAAGGAATCATTCCTAGAGTATCAAAGGTGTAAGAAAGATGCGCGATAGCAGCAAAGGCGAGGTTAGAAACAGTGAGATATGAATTTCAACAAAAATAGATGGCTACTCAAGTTTTAATGCTCTGTCACCAGTATGACATCCACCTTTCATGGTCTCCTCTTCTTGCGTAATCTCGACAGCCTTCATCTCTTGAGTTTCAGCCATGGTCTCTTGCCGCGCCCTTGTGTGTACCTTTGTTCATCAGATCCCTAGTCATCTAAGGATTCATACTAATTCTTTGTGCTCGCTACAGCTCGATTCTCCTTCCTTAAAACCATGTCCCACCTCCTCAATCTTCCTGTCTCGTCCTTGTGCTGGCGTATCTTGATCTTGCCGTTTCCATTGTCGTTCTGGACAGGAGGAAAGGAGGCAGGCGGGGTGAGGACGGAGAGGAGTTGTGCAGAAATCGATCAGGGCGAGACAGGGTGGATCTAGCAGAAAGGGGGGTGGGTGTGACAGGGTGATACCTAAGGACCGGTACGGCCGGTACATCGTTCCAAATCGTCCATGAGAGGAGGCCCGATAAGTCTACAAGGGAGGGGTACTGAGCTGTCGCGACTTCAAAAGGTGGGGGTGGGGGTGAACTGCAAGAGGTTTGAGGAGGGGGGTTCATCTGCACAAAGAATTTTGATATGCGCTAGCGGCTACACCGTGATCGGACATGTACCACGGGCCCGGGCCGGGGCGCGGCGTGGGCCGGTGCAGTGCCGGCCGTACTAGCGGCTCAGCCGCTCGCCGAGCCGACTCGAGTCCGCCCGGGCGATCCGAACTTTGCCAGCTGGGTAAACAAGATCATCCGAGGGTCAAGTTAAGTTAAAAATCATGCAGTACGAGGACAATCCGAGTCACTGGGAGAGTCCAGGAGGCTTGAACCTGACACTGTCACACTTACTGGCCCAAACGGCGAGAAGAGAAAAGACAGCGAGAACCAAAACTCGGCGCCATGCCAGCGATCATCGGATATGACACTACGGGACCCCCCCGGTAGTCTACTTATTAGCTAAACGACACAAAACATAAAATTTCAAAATTCTAAATTTTCCGTCGAAATTATGGATCATTGAAGACCCACACGCCAATATTTCCTTGTGTCTGACTCGTACTTCATCCTTTCTATGAAGAACAGGTTGAAGTATAACCAGACCCATGTGTGATTCAAGGCCGTTTCAGAAAATCTGGTCGTGCTGGTAGAGACATGTAGCACAATAGAATATTCATAGCAGCATTGACATCACGAGACTTGATACGGTTTTGAACACAATTGGTGGATCTGCACCATTTCAAACCCCGCACCACTGACACTTCGTCAGCAAGTATACCATTCTTGTTGATTTGTTTGCGTCTCAAATCATACAATTCTTGATGACATTGATTGCAACATTTTGTCGTTCTGTATTCATCAACTGCCGTCACCTCGAAGAAGTTCTGACATCGCCTTTTGATCCATTTTACAGGCACTGACTTCTCTCCACGCCCAGTACAACCGAATGATGCATCACCGTATGCAATTATTGGATTTTGATCTGTCCCATTACCTTTCATCTTCTTGAAGAAAGTGAAAATTGCCCCCCCCCCCCCCCCCCCCCCCCCCCTCCTCTCGTTCCCCCTCGTTCCTCCTGTGAATAACCATAGCAAACCCTCTCGCAACATCATACAGCAGCTCTTGGGTGAGTCCAGCCAAAACTATGTCCGAAAACAAGCAAATGCTTCCTTCCAATGCGCAGAACATTGAAAATGTTCGTAAGAAAACTTTGACTTCTGAGCAAGCGGTTGAGATCTTCGCTCAGAGGAACGTTGAGTCCGGTTTCATTTCTGTGGAGAGCAATTTTTTGTCGAAGAAGTATGGCGTAAGCGCTAAGACTGTGCGCGACATCTGGAACCGAAAGTCATGGACCGAAGTGACAAGGCCGTTGTGGACGGCGAAAGGTAAAGAGCTTGAAGCGTCGAAGGTGCTCCAGCAGCTTGTGAACGAGAATGGAAAGGGCGCAGGCAGATGTGAAAGTGACAGCCAATCTGAGGAGTGGAATATCTTGTCTACAACATCAGCAGCTGTCGAGAGAAGTCAGTCACGCGAGCGCAGTGTGCTGTTCATAGAGAATCGAGCAAACACTGACGTGTTGTGCAAGCCTGCACGGGTAGCCGATACGCAACGGATGGTAACGGAGGAGCTGCTGTCGAAGAAGCGAGGGGCGGCTGAGGCGACGAGCGATACACAGCAGGTAGAGAAGAGGCAGAAAGCGATGGAACACTTCTCAAAAGGTCCTGCTGTAAAGATGACGAATAGCTGTGGTGTGGCATCAGAGATCTCAGCGCTCCTGCAGCTGCTGGTGCAACAGCAGAAGAAGATCATGGACCAGCAGCAGCAGATCTGGTACATTTTCGAGGGGCATGAGCGACGAACTTTGAAGATGCGTTGAATCTCTCGTTGAGCTTCAGAACGCGCCTTCGGTGAGGCTGTTAGGAGGGATAAACGAGGGTGACTTTCGAATTGAAAGCTCTGTCTGGGTTCTTGACTTCGTGAAGCTATCTCATGAAGCACATGTCAACGGATGATCTTCAGTATTGGAAGAACCAAAACAAATGAGAAAGAAGAGCAGCTGAACTTTCATCAGGAGTCCGGTCCCGGCAACTGAGTTCAACCCAGTCGGAACTTGATAAATGAAGAGTCTTTTGTGGATGAAGCGACTGATCATACAACGACTCCTGCGCCGGGTCGAGCCCGGGCTCGGTGGCCCTGGCAGAGGCCCCGGCCGGGTGACTCCGAGTGCGGCAGCTGAAGGCTGTCCGACTCAGTCATCACGGGCCCGGCCCCGGGTCGACCGACAGCCGCCGCGCTCACTGTGACTGAGCGGCGCACGTGCACTCTACCCCTCTTCTTCATAGCGAAAATGGGGGTGTACAAACAAGAATGCTCTAATGGTTTACAAGGTGGGTGGAGAATAGGGAAAACGAGGGGTACTATGACATGGAAAGGTGAGTGGAAAGGGTACTTGGCAAGGATGTATGGTCGGTGGGTGGGGTAGCACTGATAATCCCAATGATGAGGGGTATAATTGCAGTGTAAAGGTACCGTGGGGTACTTCTGGATAGGGTGAGGGTAGTCAAAACCCCTCCCAGAGAGTTTGAGTCGCATCCTTCGGATGAACGAATTGACAAGAGTTCTAATTGTATTTTAATAAAGTTATATATTTTGAGAATGCTCTGTAATTATTACATAATAATTTACTCATCCAATGTTTTCATACAAAAAGAACATTTTATCAATATATATTGTACCATACATTTATTTTATACAAATACAAGACGTTCCTGTATGGCAGCGATTTGTGCTAGGGGTATATAGGATCTGCACCGCAGGATACGGGTAGGGTGGTTGAAAGGGTCCTACACGTTCCACCGGTCGAACCGCAGAGCCGCATTGTTTGCACACCTTTTACCCTCCCGCATCCTCGTCCCATCGCCATCATCAGTACAGTCTCCTCCTCCTCCTCCTCCTCCTCATCTTTTGTCGCTCTCTCCACTTCGAACTTTGTTTCTACGAAATTCCTTCGCCTTGGTAGCCTGTGACTTGGTAGAGTGCAGAAGTGAATCGGAGGTATTCGCATACTTTCGGTGTTTCGTTGTTGAGATTTGCTGAATCCCTTGTTGATTGGCAGAGAGGAGACGAAATCAGTTGGGGCTGTGGGGGCCGAATGAATTGAACTTGGCCCCCGTGAAAAAGTCAATCTGGTAACACTTGAATGTGAAAAACTTGCCGCTTATCCTGACGTTGGATTTAAGTCAGTTTAAGTGCAAACTCCCATGATCAGATTGTTGGAATTGTGACATTTTGAAGATCAATTGTTAATGAGAAAAGGACGAGAAAGAGCCAAGCGAGATGAATCCCTAACTCTGGAGCCATCCAGAGAAGCAAAGAAGAAGATGATGAAAAGCTTCAAAGGTGTCAGCTTGACGACTCTAGTGTCGGTAGTAGTCAATGCCTGGATATTGCTGCTCGCCGTTGCTCGTCGGCGATCTATCGATCCTCCTGGACCTATCGGAGACCTTGATGTCAGAATCCATGCTAACGCGAGAATTCCGATGGATTTCCGGCGGGCATACATGGTCTTCTACAAATCCCCTGCGCGCACAATCCCTGCAGCGGTCAAACTAAATTTGCGAGGAGGTTTTGAAGAAAACGATAAGCCAATTGAAAGCAGCAAGACCTTGAAACAAGTTCGGTCTGCACAACTTTGTGACGAGGCATGGCAGATCCAAGGGGATGGGCAGGTTGAAGAGGCTGTCAGGCTCTTGAAGGAGGCACTTGTGGAGGATCCCACAAACACTGAGGCCATTTCAAAGCTGGGAATGATCTATGAGTATGAGATGGAGGACTACAAAGTTGCCAACATGTTATACCAGAAGGGACTAAGTATACTTCCGAACAGCTCCACTCTACTTTATGATTATGCTGTATTCTTGCAAGAACGTTTGAAGGATATCGATGGTGCCGAGGAATACTACAGGAGAGCCTTGAATCAAAATCCAACTGATCCCAACATCCTCAACAACTATGCGGTATTTTTGAAGGAGCGTCGTAATGATACATTGAGAGCGGATGCCATTTTCCGACAATCAATCGAGGTTTCACCGAACTCTACCAGTACATTATGCAATTATGCCACGTTCCTTGAAAGCTCTTTCGGTAAATACGACGAAGCGGAAGAGGTCTTTCACATACATTATGCTCCATATTGTGCTTTGACCAAATGTCTTGCACAGATGTACAAAAGAGCTCTTGAGATAGAGCCAAATGATGCGTCGACTCTGTACAATTTTGCGATCTTTTTGGAGGAAGTCCGAGGCGACATCGATGGTGCAGGTATTTTCCCTTTGTAAACTTCTTGAGTGTAACCCTTCCTGACACTTTGTCATGACCATTCAGAAAACATGTATAGGAGAGTCCTTCAAATCGAACCAACGGATAGTGATGCTTTGAACAACCTTGCTTTGATCCTCCAAAATTCGAGGGTTGGTTTCAATTTCCACATCGCTCTTATACCTTCTCACTTGGTTGCAGAGTGACTACAATGGAGCGAAGATACTGTTTGAACAGGCTCTGAGCGCATGTCCTGAGGACTTGTCTACTGTCAACAATTTGGTGATGCTCAGCCCAGAAAAGCGGGGTTGTGTTCTAACAGACAAGTAGGCCGTTCTTTATGAAGATTGCCTTAACCAACCCGAAGAGGCAGAAAAATGGTACAAGAGGGCCCTGCAGGTTCTTGAGAATTCAAGTCTAAGTCTCCAAACTGCGTTAGCTGATTATGGTTTGTAGCTTGGACCAAATGATGTTACCACCCTATGTAATTATGGCGGTTTCCTCAACAATTTTGGTGACAAGGTGCGAATTTGCTTCTTGGACAATGAACACTGACACATCGCTCACAGAACGGTGCTGAAGCCTTGTTCGATAAAGTATTTGCTAGTTTCTTGATTGCGATTGGCCGCATGTTTTATTCGTTGTGATAGGCTCGGTCGATTGATACGCTAATGGCGAATAGATTGATTGAAGCTCAGGTTGGCTTTACAGGTGGAAAAGCAGCATTGGTATTTACGAAATCACAGGAAAGCAAAGAAGGTGAAACGGATCTTTCGCCTAGCAACGCAACTGGTCCGAGGAAGATGATTAAGGCATAGAAGTTTGAATCGTGCCTGATTCACTTGGTGAGCTTGCTTCGAACAGGTGCCTTCTTCTAATGGCGAAAGCACAACCTACATCCCTTCGTGAATTAATCTCAACAAACTCTACAGCCTTCGTTTTTCCATTGTAAAATCCTTTCTAGAGAATGTCAGACGCGAACATGTGATATATTGGATTCATAAAGAATTAGTTGTCAAAATTCTAGTTGGCCATCAATTCCAAAAATCAAAGGCGACGTGAGTGAAGGCATCAAGATATCTATTCAGTGATTTCCTGTACACCTTGATGGCCCTGCCATTCGGATGGTCGACCAGCCTGAGCAACCTCAGAAGAAGAATGAGAATGAGTCGCTCAACCTGCCAACATGCTTGCTCGTCGATGTCATGATCATGCTCCTGGAGGCAGAATCACCACCTCACTCCCTCTTCGCAGTTTGTATCAATCACTGGTATCTGTTCAAACAGTCCAAGACTGGACAATTTCTTGATCCTTCAGCAAACTCAGGGGTGTTAGCTTGACAGTAGGGGAGACTCACGAGCTTTTCGTTGAGTTGCTCAGAGAAAATTCAAGGTCACCGACGCCCTCGCTGAACAGGATCAATCAGAACGACAGCCATCACCAGCAAGTCATCACCGCTGACGATCGGGAGCATCTAAGGAAGCGTCACTCATCTCATCATGGATCAACAAGAGGTGCTCACTTGCTCCCTCAAGCACGCTCAGGTCTTCATGGCTGTGTCTCCACTTGGACAGAGCTTCCATCCTCGCCAGCGCAGACTCTGTACAAGGTCGTCAAGTTCAACTCCTGATCAGTGTGCAATGGTGTATCGGGTTACCGGAGTCTACACCAGGCATAGTGTCGAAGATTGCTCGCAGAAACCCAGGGTCCCTCATAACATCTGTGTACTGGTGCCTGGGCCTTCAAGTCAGAACTCAACTAGATGAGGGCTGGTTACTACCTCTCCATGGCTATTGTCTGCTCAAAAAGAGTTTCTTCGGCCTTGGTAACGATCAGAGCATTCGAAATTTGAGACTTGAAACTTCACCGCCGAGAAGAAACCGGAAACGGCCGCACTAGTCTTCCGCGCAAGGTTCAAAATCCCTCGATCTGAGGGATTGAGATCAGCATGTCAGTAGCAGGGGCAGCATCATGCTACCTCCAATCCTGAACAAAACCTTGGAGGTCAAGACCAACAACTGGGAGGCAGCCGTGAACAGCAACACCTATGAGACCATCATGAGCAGGGAGAAAACATGTTGGTATGAAGAGACCGGGAGCCAGAGGATCGAAGTGAATGTTAGCAGGAGGAAGCAGCCCGAAACAAAGCTAACAACCACTAGAGCGAGAGCGGTGCAGCCCCACAGGCTTTGCAGCCTAGGAACACCCGTCACGTCAGCAGACGTTGGGAAGCAAGTCGAACAAGATGAGAGAGAAAACTTACAAGGATTGACGTAAGCGCGATACAAGATCTGCTATCGATGCCTGCACACAGAAGATGAATTGAGACTGAGGCAAACTCACCATGACATCACCAGGAGCCTCGTGTACGGGTCGAGAGAGGAGCCAGGAAGGACAAAGCTGCTCATTGCCGCCCATGTCCTCACCCCATCGCCTTCATCAGCTGCTTCATCCCATCGCTCGTATCACCTGCATCATTGTCTTCGTCATCCATCATCCAACATGTCTTGTCCACCTCATCCTATCCACTTCATGAAACAACTATCATCTCATCGTTACGCCTATGATGTCCCGCAAGCACTGTCCCTCTTCATCCTCACTTCATCCTGCCCAAACTGCTCTTGCGATCCTGTCCTGTGACTTTCTTCACGATCCCATCTCTCCCTGCTCCGCCCTCGTAAGGGAAACTCCCTACTGAGCACTTCTCAGTTAGGAGTTTCCCTATCAACGTGCCGGATCGCCGGGCCCCGGGCCTGGACCGTACGGTCGTTGAAGTTCCGAGTTCGATCGGTGGCCACTGAGCGGCTAGACTGGCACCACCAAACAGTGTCGTGTGAAACGCTGCGAGCTGCTCCTTGAGCTGTTGGGTGGACAACCACTAGATTGTTGGGTGGACAACCACGACATTGCCAAGTTGGGTGGACAAACACTGCTAGTAGATTGTTGGGTGGACAACCACTATATTGTTAACCACTAGATTGTTGGGTGGACAACCACTAGATTGTTGGGTGGACAACCGTACCACTAGATTGTCAGGCAGGGAGGAGGTGATAATGTGGCAGCGATAATTTGGCAGCCTGCTCACTGCATAAAGCAGGGCCCAGCAGATCTAACACCGTGAGCCTCAGTTGTAAGAAGAGAGCTTGTACGAACTGAATCAGTCTTCACCCCCGTCAAGGCTACCCTCCTCTTGCTCCTCCCCGCTCTCTCCGGCTCCAGCGGAGGAGCTTCGAGCACTGATTTGACTTGGAGGACGGGAATCTTCCTGCACGTCGGCCTGGCTTGGCAAGGGCTCACTAACCAACATGTCCTGGTCCTCGCCCTCCTCGTTCTTCTTGACGTTCTTGTCAACTGCAGCTGGGGTCTCCTCCACAGTCTCCACTGCCATGGCCATTTTCTTCCGCAGAAATCTCTGATCTATCTGCATCAACCTTCTCTTCTTCTGGTTCCAGTCAGGGGGAGGAAGAATCAGCCCCAGCTCGGTCTCGACATCAATAAGGAGCTGTTTGAGCGCAATAGTGTTCTTGACAGAGTAGTCCCCGAAGCCGTATCGATCGAGCGCATCGATAAGGTCGTCCTTATTCATCGCATTGATCTTCTTCCTCCTCAGCAAGGAGCTCGTCTGCGACGTGGCGCCGCTCTGCTCAATCCCCAGCGCTGCCTTTTCCTTGGGGGAGAGGTCTGAAAGCAGCCGCATCCCTTCCTCTGCATGGCTCTCCAACTGCGGAGGCTTGACGTCCTCTCCCACCATGAACTGAGCATATTTCTCCTTGTCCCGCAGATACGGGGGCAGCTGCTCATACCTTGTTTTGGTGGCGATTCCGACGGGATACTCAGTCTGATTGAAGTCGAAGGGTCTCAAAAGGCCCGAGGAGCACAAGAACATCTTCTTCATCTCCTCCGCCAGCTTCTGCGGCTCAGTCTGGGCCCTACTGTGGAAGTTCCTTAGGGCCTTGGACCAGTGGGGGGGCAGGGTCTGCTCAGATCTTTTCGACTTCTCCTTCAAGATAAAGTTGTTATATATCCCTTCCGCCATGTCCTCGATGTCCATGGTCTCCCTGTCATTGGCAAGGATCCTGGAGTCCAGCCCTTTGATTCCCAGCTTCACAATCTGATCGCTCTCGTTCTTCAACCAACCCCGTTCTGGGTCATACATAAATCCGTAATCGTGACAGCACTGGAGCTCGTGCTCGATAGCTTCTGCGCACCTTCCAAACTCCGATTCACAGAACCAGCAAACCCAAGGCGTGGGGTTATCAGTCCCTGGCCCCCAGGGCAGCTCGTTGACAATGGTGTGATTCCCGACTCCGACGACGCATCGCTGGGTCTTGTTGAAGTTCAAGTTAGGAATTCCCCTATCCGAACGTTCCTCCTCCTCCTTCTGGTCTTCCAATTCCTCCTTGAGATTTTCTTGCTGGATGGCCTCGTGCAGTTTCATCAGCTGCTCCATTTCCCTCGGGCAAGTCTTGAGGTACTCGAGATCGTCCTGCGCCAGTCGCTCAGCTTCGTCGAAGCCTTTGTCTTTGACTCGAGAGAAGAAACTATAGCACGCAGGTCTTCCTGCGATTATCGCGAGGCTGAAAGCACTGTCCCTCTCGTCGTCTTCCTTGTAGATCATCTTCACGTGCTCGGATGGTTTGATACCGTTGGGATGTTTGAACATAGCGATGATCACCGCAAGATGCCCAAAGAAAGCTGCCCAATGTAACGGCGTCCTCTTATACTCATCAACGGCATAACAATCCAGGTTCAGGTCAAGAAGCAGCTCCACCACTTCAGTGTGGCCCTGGCAAGCGGCTTCGTGAAGCAAAGTCATCTCATTTGCTGCACAAACCAACAGAAATGTCACAAAGAGCGAAAGTTTGTTGCAAGGCTCTTAATCACTAACCATCGCGCTGGTGAACGTTGGCTCCCAGCTGAATCAGCTTTGCAATGAAGTCTTGGTGACCATCCTCCACGTACCTGCACAGCAGGTAGTCGAGCTGAGCTTGATGCCCTCTCGCTTGATCGCAGTGATAGGCAAGGAGAGAAAGTCCAGGGAACGCTGTTTCATTGATCCCCGACCTCATCGCTGTGGTGACATTAATCCTCCTCCCCGTCAGGTCCTTGTACAGGAGCATCGTCCTCGTCGTCAGGTGGATCTTCCCTCGCAGTGGGCACGTGGCACAGTAAGGGGGCTCGCATCCACAGCGCGAGATCACGTCCTCCCTCGTGTCTCCCGGACGCCCGAAGCGCTTCAACGCCATGTTCACCTTGGCGCAACTGGACATACCAGAAATGGCGTAGGTAGGAAATACACCCTGCTGCCACTTGTCTGCTGTGCGATTGTACACGAGATAATCCGGCGGGTGCTCTACCCGGTACCTCCTCAGGGGCCTCGTTAGCTGGACCAAGTCGTCGTCAGAGAGATACTCTTGCTCCTCCCTGGCTCCTCCGCGCAGGCACAGGCCTCGACATCGCGCATGAGGATGCTGGTGTGAGTGAGGATCCGTCGATCCGCCCCATGGGAGAGCCCTGACGAGCAGCAGGACGAGGATTGAAACTCGAGACATGGGATCACTTCGCTGAGTCCAATTGCCCTTAAGCTACACCCTCTTTGAGGCCATCACTCTCCCTCTCCCCTCTCCCCTCTCCCCTCTCCCCTCTCCCCTCTCCCCTCTCCCCTCTCCTGCCTCCTGCCTCCTGCCTCCTGCCTCCTGCCTCCTGCCTCCTGCCTCCTGCCTCCTGCCTCCCTCTCTTCTTCTCTCGCCCTCCTCCCTCTCTCTCCTCTTCTCTCGCCCTCTCCATCGCCCTCTCCGCCGCTCTCGCAAAGGGACGCTTTGATGTACTTGCTGGGGCAGCGTTGGTCTCTTATACTCCCCTGCCCTTTTCGGCGGGCAGCAGCCGCGGCCCCCGATATTCCATGGCGGTAGGCAGGAGAGAGGTGGGGGGCGCTAGGAGGAAGCAATGGCAAACTGTAGCCGCAGCTCTCTTTCTCCTCTTCATGTCTGATAGCGCCTTCTGCTTCACCATTCCTGCTCTGTGGAGCCCGGGTATCGCCCGATGCAGAGCAGGGCGGGAAGGTCCAGCAGGGCCGTACTTGCGGAGGACTGCTCCCCTCTGCGCAGTAGCAAGTGAGGATGGGAGCGATCTCATGGGCGAGATAAAGATGATTCTTGATTCGAAGAAGCCATCCATGATCTCGTCCTCGTTGGGGGCCCTGCCGACGCTCGGCGAGCAGGAGCGAGAGGAGGTGCTGAGCTTCTTGTTGAAGAGCCTTCTACGCAAGAGAGAGACGACTCTGGCGGTCGACACGATCAAGTTCTGCTCAGAGAACAATATAGACGTTCCTACAGAAAGCTTGACTGGCGTTCTCAAGTCCTACATCAGAACTCAGGGTACAAGGGCAGAGGGCATGGATACGCTTTTGTCCCTGTGGGATGAGAAGGGCGTGGAGGATGCCGCAAGAGCTGAGATATCGGCAAGCCAGGTGCTGGCATGCCTGGCTAGAGGAGAGCTCAAGGACGCAAAGACATATCTGCAGCAGCTTCATGGCGGGCAAGGGTCTGCCCTGGGGCTTGAGACCTACAACCGCATCATGAAGGCCTTCGGGAGATGCACGTCGATCGATGGGGTGCTGGAGACTTTCAGGATCATGCAGGAGCACAAGGTCGAGCTGGATGCTGAATCCTTTGAGATCATCAGCAACGTCGCTGTTCGGCAGGTCAGATCCTCCTCTTCCCTCTGCCTCCTACCATGCTGCTCTGTTAAAATCTCCCCCTATCATCCTCATCGACCACCCGTGTCGTTTCTTCTTCTCACACGCAGCAGGTTGAGTTTGTCAAGGGTGCAGTGAGCATGGAGACGCTTCCGCCGGTACCTCTCTGCTTCCTCTTGCATCCTGATTCATCTAGAGACAGGACGAGCTGCCAGAGGCTTGCTTTGCTGGAAGATCTAACGTCGGGAAATCTTCTTTGGTGAACATGATATGCAACAGGAAGAAATTGGCCTTTACAAGCAAGACTCCTGGAAAGACTCAGGTGCGAGGAGAAAGTTGGGTTGGACAGGACTTCTCCAAAGCTCAACTCACCTCTTCTCACTCTGCTCTTCGCTTCTTCCCTCCCGTCCCGTCGCCTCCTCTCCCTCCCCCTCTCCCTCTCCCTCTCCCTCTCCCCCTCTGGCTTCTCCTTTCAGCCCCACACTGCTCATTTCATCTGACTGATTCTCGTGTCATCCTGTACTGACAGCATTTTCCCACAGGAATTCAACTTCTTCCTGGTCAACGGGGAGAGCAGGGAACCGCACATTCGAAGGCACGGACCTGTCCACCTCTTTGCTAGTCTCAACTCTCTGTTGCTGCTCAGGTTTCACTTGGTGGACCTGCCCGGTGTGGGGTATGCAGAGGTGAATCTTCGTGACCGAACTCCCCTCCTCCGCTCCCGCCAAAGTTCTGCTCCCAGGTGCCAAAGGCCAAGAAAGTGGAATGGTTGCGGTTCTACAGGGATTACCTTTCCCACAGAAAGTCTTTGAGGTGCTGTCCCAGCAGCCTGCCTGCTCCGACTTTGCTCCGATCTGACCAGCCTCCAAGGATTTTCTTCCAGCTCGTCGACGGCCGCCACGGCCCCCTCCAAGACGACGTGGAGCTCATGAAACTGTTTGCTGAGTCCTCCAGCAAGAATCCGAACCAAGTCGCTCACGCCATCGTAATCACCAAGATGGACAAGACCCTCTCCGCCAAGGTACTCGCGCTCTTCCTCTTGCTTCCTGCACTCCCTGACTCGGCTGGTCAGGCACAGGAGGGTGTGATGGACAAAGTGAGGAGGACGCTGAGCGAGGCCGGCTGCGACGAGGAGACTCCGGTGTTGCTCACTAGCTCAGCAAGCAAACTTGGGAGAGGAGACGTGTGGAACTACTTGCAGCTTGCGCTTCAAGATGGGATTGAGGTGCCCTGCATCCTCTACACAAAGACAAAGTTCGATTGATTGTTTGCTATTAGGAACCGGACCAGGTTGATCCCGAGAAGGTTGCCTCCTCCTGTCCCTCCTCCTCCTCCTGCCCCTCCTCCTCCTCCTGCCCCTCCTCCTGTCCCTTCTCCTCCTCCTCCTCCTGTCCATTCTCTTCCTCCTCCTCCTCCTGCCCCTTCTCCTCCTACTCCTCCTGTTCCCCCCTCCTCCTCCTCCTCCGTCTCTTAAAATCACGTTGAGTGCAGCTCGGCAACAAGAAGGGGTCGGAGAAGATCAAGACGGATGAAAAGAATTGGCGCAACAAGAAAGCTTTCAAGGGGCTGAAAGACAAAATATTCTAATCGCCTTGCAACCTCTCTCATTCGATCTCTCAACTCATCTTCCAGAATTCACTTGGCATTCAACAACCGCCCGGCCATAGGTGACTCAAAACTTCGCAAATAGCTGAGCTGTGAAAACCGTCGGCTTCCGGCTAACTGATCAGTGATGAGTGACTGAGTCTGCCCGGCCTGGCCGACGGTGACGGCCCTGGCCGCTCCCCGGCAGTGACTTTCGGCAGCCGGGCGGCCCGGTCCGGTCGGGCCCTCAGGGAACTCGGAAAGAAAGTTCGAGAAAACTTTCAGAAATGCCTTCAGCTAATATGATTTCTTGTTGTCCCACCCCACCTACTGTCTGCCCAACCGTCTCTACACACATCACACGACATGTTTTGGTCCGAGAGGTACCAGGAATGATCACCCCCACCCCCAATTTGATGAGTACCCTCCCTTGTGAGCTCCACCGACAGCCTCCAGAATTCTTGAGATTTGTTGTAGTGGTATGGCAAGGTCGAAAAGGTTCAGTGTACCCCAACATTTGACGTCAAAACTACCCCCTTGAAAGTACCCCTACCCCCTTTTACAGCGGCATCGCTTGTATCTCCTTCGCATAAGGCGCCCTCATTGTCCACGCACGAGCCCCAGGAGGAGCTGTCGTACTGCTGGAAGTTTGTGCCTCCTCCTCCCTCGCCCTTGTCGTATCCTAGCTCGCAGGAAGAACAAGGAAGCTCGTCCTAAACTCTGCTCCTCGAACCTCCCTTGGACTCCACACCATCTTTGACAAGTTAGAGTGATGGGGCCGCCTGCACTAGCAACCTCTACCTTGGCCTTGCTCTCAGTTGGGCTCCTCCTTGTTGCAGACTCGGTGGCGTTCCAGCTTTCCTCTCCTTCCTGGAAGTCCTTTGGACGAGCGTCTTCCTTCTGCCCGCAAAACCTTCGCTTTGCCCCAAGCTCCTGCTCCTGCAGACGTGCGAGAAACGGCCTTTTGAGCCTTACAGCAGAAGCAGACTACTACGCTAGACTGGGAGTAAGCAGGGGAGCGTCCGAGGATGAGATCAAGAAAGCTTTCCGTCAGAAAGCCAGAAAGCTTCATCCTGACGTGAATAAGGCGCCAGACGCCAAGGAACAGTTCCAGAAGGTCTCGGAAGCTTACGACGTACTCTCTGATCCGTCTAAGAAGCAGCTCTATGATCAGTTCGGTGAGGCTGGTGTGAAGGGAGCAGGAATGGGAGGTGGTGCTGGCTTCTCCGACTTCGGGGACTTCAGCCCCTTCGGAGACATCTTCGAGACCTTCTTCGGAGGAGGGGAGGGGCAGGACCAGGAAGAGGTCTGGACCGCAGCAAGGCGACGATCTGAGGCTGGATCTCGAGATTGACTTCATGAAGGCGATCTTCGGAGGTGAAGAGAACATCCGCGTGTCCCACCTTGAGAGCTGCACGACCTGCGAGGTGGGTGAAGGAGGAAGGAGGTAGGGTAAATGTAAACCGATGCTGATCATGTGGTAGGGATCGGGCCTGAAGCCCGGGACGAAGCCCAGGACTTGCTCGACTTGCGGAGGATCAGGAGTTGTCACTCAGGTTGCCAGGACTCCTCTGGGCATGCTGCAGCAGCAGAGCGCATGCCCGCAGTGCAACGGGGAGGGTCAGATCATCGATGAGTACTGCGGGACCTGCTCAGGGAGAGGGAGGGTGCAGAAGTCGAAGCAGCTCTCTATCACGATTCCTGCTGGGGTGGACACGGGCAGCCGCCTGAGAGTGAGAGGAGAAGGAGATGCCGGACCCAAGGTAGCGCTCGGGGGGCGGGAGGAGAGGAGGGGATGGTGGAGGAGTGAGGGACGGGGGAGAACAGTAGGTGTATGGAGGAGCTTGGCTGATGCTTGCGGGCAGGGTGGTCCACCTGGGGACCTATACGTCTTCCTGAACGTGAAACCGAGCAAGGACTTCAAGCGCGAGGGGGCAGACATCTACTCGAATGTGATGGCTGAGGAGGAGGGAGGACGCAAGGCTGACATTGAGAGCAGGTCAAGATCAGCTACCTCGATGCCATCCTCGGCACGGAGATCAAAGTTCCCACTGTGGATGGAAGTGTCGACCTGAAGATTGCTGCTGGAACCCAGCCCGAGACTGTGAGCTCTCTTGACCTCGCTCCTCCTTTGCCGCACGCTTGCACTACCACTACCTACTCGTCCTGTAGCTTCCTCGTCTGTCAGATAGTAGTGGTGTTCTTGCTGATCGTATGGCGGGACCAGGTGATGCGCCTGGAAGGAAAAGGAGCGAACGTGCTCGGAAAGAAGGGCGTGCGCGGGAACCACTTCGTCACTGTGAAGGTGAGGAGAGGACGTGTGGCAAGTCGGCCAGACATGACAAGGAGCAGGTTGAGATCCCTACGTCGCTCTCTAAGGAGGAGAAGGAGCTGCTGGAGAAGCTCAAGTCAGGCTTCAAGTCAGGCAAGGGATTCTTCAGCAGGGTGTGAAGCAAGAGGAGGGGGAGGGTTGCGGAGGACTCGGTCTTGGTTGGATCCTTCATCATTTATTACATCGATTCAGTTTAGGTTTTCAACATACAGGAGAATGATATGGAGGGAAAAGGGAGGAAAGGGAGAGGAGAGGAAAGGAGGGCTATAGCACATGGACAAAAAGGGTATGGGGGCGCATGCCCGCAAACAGCAACACGGTGCAACACAAAAATGTCAAGATGCCGAGTCCTGTTGGACGATGAGCTGAACTTGGCCGAGTAGTCGTACACGTTCCCCCGTCTCCTCCGCACGTCCCGCAAACATCGAAAGTCTACGGAGGAGATGGGAATCAGCTGAACTTCGAGTGAACCTCCTCCTCTAAGTCTGGTCACCTTCCCTGACCAGCAACGTGGAGGCTCCGAGCATCCCATGTCGCTGGAGTAGCAGCAGGCGCCTGCAGCGTCTCGCAGAGCTCCGCTGAGGATAGAACAGTCAGCGGTCGCAGGAGGGTAGGAGGAGGACAACAGGAGAGAAGGGAAAGCGCCGGGGAGAAAGAGGGAGGACTGTAGGAGGGAACAAGAATTTCAAGGGGTGAAGACAGGGAGGATGCAGGCAGGGCGAGGGGGGGGGAGAGGAGAGGACGAGGGGCAAGGGATCAGAAGGAGGAAGCAGAGTAGCTGACCCATGCGGTGTGCCCTCGCAGTCACAGTGCCCCGTTTCCTTGAGCCCCAACCCGCCGCAGACTCCGCACTGATCGATCTGTAGGGTGACAATGAGACGTCATCTTGCTTCCTCCTCCTCCTGCTCCTACTCCTGCTCCTACTCCTGCTCCTACTCCTACTCCTTTCCTACTCCTCCTCCTCCTCCTCCTCCTACTCCTACTCCTCCTCCTACTCCTGCTCCTACTCCTACTCCTACTCCTACTCCTACTCCTACTCCTACTCCTACTCCTACTCCTGCTCCTACTCCTACTCCTTTCCTACTCCTCCTCCTCCTCCTCCTCCTACTCCTACTCCTCCTCCTACTCCTACTCCTGCTCCTACTCCTACTCCTACTCCTACTCCTACTCCTCCTCCTCCTCCTACTCCTACTCCTGCTCCTGCTCCTGCTCCTACTCCTACTCCTGCTCCTACTCCTGCTCCTACTCCTGCTCCTGCTCCTACTCCTACTCCTTTCCTACTCCTACTCCTACTCCTGCTCCTACTCCTACTCCTTTCCTACTCCTGCTCCTACTCCTGCTCCTACTCCTGCTCCTACTACTACTCCTGCTCCTACTCCTCCTTTCCTACTCCTGCTCCTACTACTACTCCTTTCCTACTCCTGCTCCTACTCCTGCTCCTACTACTACTACTCCTGCTCCTGCTCCTGATCCTGATCCTCCTACTCCTACCTTTGCTGGAGGGTCTCGACAGACCCCGTCGCATCCTATCGCCGATTTTCCGTTGGGGATCCCAAGGCAGTCGCACGTCCCCGTCCCATTGGTGCCGTTTCCTCCGCAGATCCCACACCTGCAAGAATGCCGTTGGAGGGGAGCAGAGCGGAGGAGAGCGGAGGCGAGGGGACGTGAGGTGAGGTGAGGTGAAATGAGGAGAGCAAAGCAGAGGAGCGGGGAGGAGGAGCGATCAGGAAGGAGAAAAGAGAGGAAGAGAAGAGAAAATGGCCTACTTGTCGAACTTCTTTGAGTTCACAGCACAGATGCCGTCGCATCCCACGGTCGCTCCGCAAATCCCATTGCAGCCAATCTGATTTACCGGGCAGCAGCGCAGGTTCACGTCGAAGATCGGCGGCACGAGAGGACGCGGGTAAAGCTGAGAAACCTCTGTGAGTTATACCTCCCCAGCAGGAGCTGGACTCACCTTCCCGTCGCAGCCCAGGCACTGCTGGGGGTCGTTGCGTCCTCCACAAATACCACAGATGTCGAGGACGGTGCTGCCGTAAGGGACCCCCTTACAATCCAAACAAGAATTGTTGCCGTTGCAGACTCCGCAGCTGGAAGGATACGGTAAGAAACGTCGTGCTACCGCCGCCTCCGTCCTCCCCTTCTTCTCTGCTCCGCTTCCGTCTTTTGCACTCCCTCCGCTCCCTCTCCTCTTCCTCCTCGGCCTCACCGATCGTATTTGGAAGGCCCGTTGGGGATGCCGTGACAATCACGGCACGTGCAGTTGTTGCCTCCGCAGACTCCGCACTGCAAGGGAAGCAAGAGTCAAGCCAACGGCAGCTGCTGAGTCAAGTGGGAGGAACGAACCGCGTCAAGACGTTTGGGTCCGGGAGCTCTCGATCCGTTGACGTAGATGTAGAGGCGCGGTTTGCCGTCACACCCGGTACACCGCTGAAGGAGGCTCTAAGTTAGGAACGAGGCAGCAGCGATGATGCGAGGACGAGGATGAAGAGACGGGGTAAGAGAAATATCGACAAACAAACTAGTGAACATGAGATCAACAAGACTCCTTCATGAGCAGATGGAAGGTCTCTTGTTGATCTCGTTACCTTGTTGTATAGTGAGAGGTTGCCGTAAACAACGCAGTCGCCGCACTCGTCGGAAACATATCCACTCTGACATTGCTGAGAGATGTCGCAGGTGATTGACGCGTCTGTAACGCAGACGCCACACTGCAGAGCACAACAAGAAATCACTTGCACATTCATCCTGACTGAGTGACTGAGCGAGTGAGTGAGTGAGTGAGTAACTCTGACTGACTGACTGACTGACTGACTGACTGGCTGGCTGGCTGGCTGGCTGGCTGGCTGGCTGGCTGACTGACCTCCCCGATTTCAACTCTTTCCCCCTTCTCATACCTGATTGTACTCTTTGGGCACGTTGGGGTCCGGGACACCATCGCACCCCATGCAGGAGACGTTGCATCCTCCGCAGACATTGCAGACGTCAAACTTCTTAGGGGCGATTCCTGCCAGCACCATGAGCGAGGCAGGGGCGGGAAGATCCTTACCAGTGATAAGAGTGACTCTCGGGTTGATCGCAACACCATCGCATCCCTGGAGCTCAGGGGTCAAACATGGCAGGGAGGTACGGCTTGTTAAGGCGTCGAATCTAACATGTTCACCTTGCACGTCGAGTCGTCTCCCCCACAAACCCCGCACACGTCAACAACTTTCCCGCTGTTCGGCACCCCATCACATCCCGCGCAGGAGCTACCGTCTCCCCCGCATATGCCGCACGCGTCCAGCACCTGGAGGAGAGAGCGAGAGAGGGTGAGAAGGACTGCATGGTAAGGAGGCAAGGGTACCTTCCCACTCGCTACCTTCCCGTCGCATCCGATGCAGGAGGAGTTATCTCCCCCGCACACCTTGCAGGCGTCGTAGATGGTCGAGGAGAACGGAACCAGATCGCATCCGGCTGGTGCATCCAGCACCACATGGTAAGACTGCGGGAAGCGGATCAGCATTGCACACAACATCCCCTCCTCTTCTACCGTCTGATTGCACGAGCACTGAGCTCGCATGACGTTCACTGCTCCTGTCTTCGCTACGATCCCCATCAGCTTGCAACCCTGCGTGCTCCACCCTTGACCCCCCCAGCTCACGCAAGCCGCCACCCTGCTCCTGCCTTGGGCGTCCTTGGTTGGGTTAGGAACCCTAACGAGGTCGAGCTCGAGGACGAGCGGCCGGCTCAAACGAGCGAGCGGGACGTCGGACTGCAGCCCGAAGACCTCGAGTTGGAACGCGAGGATGGGGGAGATGATGGAGGAGGAGAGGTTGGCGAAGAAGAAGGGGTTGAACCCTGTCGTGAACGAGCTGACCATGGTTGTCACCGAGTATGGCTCACACTGCAAGGCCCCGTTACTCCCCAGGCTACAGTCCACCCGGTCGAGCTTGTAAGGAAGAGTGGTGGAGTCCAACTGGGCACTGGAGGAGGAGAAGGAGGCAGAGATGGCTGGGAGAATGGTGTATCCTGAAGAGACTGTGACAGCACGCAGCTCCTGCTCTCCACTTTCTCTCAAGCTCGTGTCTTGCTGGAGGAAACGTCGCACTGTGGAGGCTACAGAGACCTCTAGCCTCCTCACCTTGGTAGAGCTCAGGGTCGAGTCAAGGCTCTTGTCCGTCTCGTTCACCGTCGTCCCATACACGAGCAGCGCGTCAGTGCGCCGGAAGATGGAGAGGATGGTGCTGGAGCGGTTCAGGAGGTCGGAGGTAGCGAGCGAGGCGTTGCTGCTGGCAATGTACTGCAGGCCGGACAGGGAGCTGACGGCCATCTGGTTTAGATCCTGCAGGATGGAGGAGTCAACTTGGACCTGCCAGTCTAGCTCGAGAAAACTGAGGATGAGGTTGGAAATGGTTCGCTCCCAGTCGAAGCACTCGAGGGTGAGCTCCTGGGGCACTGAGAAGATGGAGCGAAGGGAGCTGGCAACCAGGGAGCACAGGGAAAGCGCGTCTGCCTGCCCTGCCAGGCCGGAGTGAGAGATGGAGGTGTAGAGCAGCTGGGGGAGCGTGTGACATCGCAGGTCCGAGTTGGAGGAGCTGGCGATGTCGGTTTGCAGGAGCCTCCTCCTGCTCGCTGGGGTTGTGACGGAGTTCATGAGACCGATGAGCATGCTGATTTGACGGACAGCATCGGTGGGCTTGCCGTTGAGGATGAGGTCGTTGGCGCTGGTTGTCATCGTTGTGAACTCCTGCATCATCGCAGACCTGTTCGCAAACTGCTTGACGGAGACCTTGATAGAACACGCGGACGTCTGAAGGTTGCAAGTGGTGTGGACCCTCTCTGAGCCGTGAAGGTTCAAGATCCGCAGCCGGACGCTCCACAGGTAGCTCTTGTCCGAGGGCCCAGCCGGCATCATGCTGACAGCCCGGGGGTTGCTGGAGAAGGAGCGGATAATCCTGTAGGCTCCCCCGGTGGTGAAGTACTCCATCTGGTACTGCAGTGGGAGCGAGTCGACGTCATCCTGCCACCCGGAGGCCTGGAACTGAAAGTCCGTCGACAGAGTCTCGCCGCTGGTGGGGGCGACCTGTAGGTCCCCGTTCCTAGGAGGGCTGTCGATGCTGAAGGTGATCTGGTCGTAGCTTGACCTCTGGCCCTCACTGACGATCAGCCTGATGGTGTACTGGAAGGAGGGAGTCAGCACGTTGGGCGCGATGACGAGGATGGGCCCGTTGCTGCTGGGGCTAAGGAGGTTGTCAATATCGGTGACGTTGCGATCCCCGACGACGGTGATCCACTGGTAAGAGATGGGAGCGGAGAGGTTCACCCTCTGGACCTCTGACGTCAGCACGGTCCTCGAGTTGGATGTGTAGAAGCCGTCAGGCACCAAGGACAGGATCGCGACCACGGGAAGCAAGGAGGAGGATGGGAAAAGGCGGATGCTGGCTGTCGACCAGCCATTGGCGGAGCTTACGTTGAGGGTGAACTCGTAGTAGGAGAGCTGGATACCGTCGACAATGGTCTTCAGTGTCCCCTTGGGGATGTAGAACGTCACTGAAGTCCCATCAACGCATCCTGACTTGGCCCCGACCGCTGGCACGCTGTCGCAATACCAGCGGTACTGCAACTTAGCAAGCGACTGGGAGGAGGGAGGGTAGTCGGGGTGGTAGGAGCTCTTGCCGTCCAAAAGGAGGTCTTGGTCGACGCTGAACATCCTTTCCTGCCCGATGATCACTGCGACAGGTGAGCTGACGAGGGTACTGAAAGCCAGCGAGGAGATGGAAGACAGGGTTGGCCTGTCTTGCTGCCAGACTCTGAGCTGCACGCGGTAGCTCCTTCCCGGCAGGAGGGTGTAAGGAGGGATCTCGAAGGTGCGCAGAACTCCAAGGGAGTTGTTGACAGGCTGGTTGTTCTTGTCCAGCACTCGCCACTCGTACTCTAGGACGGGGCTGGTGGTCGCGTCACAGGAGGACGGCGAGCCGAAACCGACGAAGGTGACGCTTCTGTAAACAGGGACTTGACTTTGTGTAGAGAGCTGAGAGGTCTGGATGTAGGAGGATGGCAAGGCGAGCAGCGTCTTGCTGATTGTGATTGTCTTCACGTCGCTGTCTACGTTCATCCAGTTCCTCACGTAGAGCCGAAAGACGTACGAGCCCGCAGGGTAGGACGCGAAGGCAAGTGAGAGGCTGTTGCAGTAGCAGTTGGTTGAGCTGTTGGTGACCGAGTTGTAGCACGTGGGACTATTGCAGTTAATCCCTTGCTGATCATATTCAATCCCCGAAAACTTCTCAACCTGAGCGTTGAGGCTGGTAAGGATGCTCTGCTTGCTCGTAGCCGTCAGGCTATCATCGTTGATCACCGACAGGTTGCGGTCGATCGACCAGAAAAACCTGAGCTTCCTCCCAAGGCTTCCATACGACATGCTCGCATCAATCGCAACGTTGTTGCATCGCCCGACATCGCCGGGGGCAACGTACACAACCACTGGCTTGGTTCCCATCGCCGGCTGCTGAATGGTGATGTTGCCGCTGGCTGTATAGGAGAGTTCGACCCCGCGCATGATCAGGTTGTTGAGGATCCTTACGGGTTGATGGATCAAGAATCTCGATCCTGATCCTAATACAATCGTCAACGTCTGATTGCTGAGAAACCTGCACGACACGCCGACCCCATACAGCAGGCTCATGATGCTTGCGGAGCTCAGCGAGGAAGGGAGGGCCTTAATCTCCGAGCTCTGAAGCCCGGAGGTAGGAAGGAGCAGATCTTTGTACTGCGCGTCGATCACCCTCGTGCAATCGAAATTCCCGCTGAGGCCATTTGCTCTGTCAGTGTCGACGTTGAAGTTGATGTTGATCGAGTCAAAGGTGTCCGTCAGGACGGCAGACTGCAGCTGTGGGGCGTCTGCCATGAACGAGTAGGTGACCGATGACTGCGCCTCGTACTCTTGGCCGTTCAGGGAGATCTCAACAAAGACTGTCTTGCCTAGAGGGACCGTCGGCACATTGCATCTCAGCAGGGTCGAGGTGATGATGAATGACTTGGTGGCTCCTGCGCCTCCATACCGACAGTACGGTCCTCCGTAATCTGAAACAAGGTTTCTCCCTCGGATTATCGCAACCACTCCCGTAGCGCTCTTGCTCCCAATGCTGCAAGCAGAATCAGAGCAAGACTAGGAGATGCAAGAAGCAAGAGAAAGAGGGAGGAGGAGGGGTTCGTGGAGCAAGCGGGTACCCAGGAGATGAAAGTGCAGAACGATAGTCACCTGGGCACGACGGAGTCGACGACGGGGTTTGCATAGTACGTGTAGAGGATCTTGTTGCTAGTGAAGACTTGCCCGTCGATGGAGACTTCAAGGGGATACGAGTCGATGGCGTACTGTCGGAAGGTGCCAGGGAGAACTTCGGGAGGGAAGTATTGCTTGTACACAGTAGAGTATTCCTTGGGTTGGATCTGCGGGATGGGGCAGATGGCGAAGCTCGAGTTCAGGACAGTCCCGACTGTCTGCACGGTAGTGATCTGACACCGGAAGCTGCTGCTGGCCCGAAGGTCCTTGGCTCGTACGAGGGTCAATCCGCCGCTCTGTGCTGGACCTGCGCTGGGGGAAAGCTGGAAGATGACAGGCTGCGGGAAGAACAAGAAAGACATGTAAAGGAAGAAGGGGGAGAAGTCCTGCGCGTTTAAAGAGATCGATATCGAGACGAGCTGACTCTGAGAGACGCTCGGAGTGGAACAAGAGGCGCGGGTAGATGAGATGAGAGTCCCTGCTGTCCTGAGGTCGATGGTGCTCTGATTGCTCCAGAACTTGCAAAAGAGGCTGCCGGAGGTGAAGTTGCTTCCTGTCAGCGTGATCTTGGTCCCCCCGAGCACCGGGCCGGAGGAGGGCACAGGTTTGCCCGAGAGGGCAGCAATGGGATGGTAGTAGAAGAGAGCGCCAAGAGACTCTTGCGTGAAGTCGGTGTCGGCTCCGTTGAGAGAGATCTGCACACGGACGCTCGAGATGAAGTTGGGGGGTGAGATGCACAGGATTGCAGTCTCCGAGATGTACTGGACCGGTTTGACAATGCCAGTCGTTATGGCTGTGCTCTCTACCTGACCGAACTTGCAACGGATGTTCGAGTTTGCGTTGCCGATGAAGCCGACACCGATGATTGTCACCCTAGTTCGACCCTCTGCTGGGCCCAGGCTGGGTCTGACGCTGTCAAGTTTTGGCGTTGCGTAGAAGACGTACATGGCAGGGCAATAGCTCTGATATAACGGTCCGTAGTTGCCCTGAATGGTGTTGCCTTCATTCAGCGACACGTCAAATTGCGCAAAGTAGGTCTCGGTGGAAGAAGACTTGCTGACACAGACGAGCTGAGATGTGCTTGTCACGGCATCCACATTTGACAAGGTGGTCGACCCCGTACACCTCCTCTGAGTGGGGTCGCGAAAGCAGCCCTGGCTGTCTCCGACCGTGTAGATCTCATCTATAGTACATCTGGTGAAGACACAGCGAGTCTTGGACGTCAAGTCAGGTCTAAACCCTGAGCCAAACACCGTCATGCGCGTTTCTCCGCTGGATTTGCCGGAGGAAGGAAGAAGGGCGTTGACAGTGACGTCGCTGTAGTAGGTGAAGGCAAGGCTGGAGCGGATGGGACATTGGTAAAGGCTGTTGGTTGAGGGGCAGGCCTGGGATGTCACAGTCAAACAACACGACACACGAGGGGCAACAAGTCAAAGACCTGTATGTATAGGCCGTTCAGCCCGACACGGACAGGGTAGAGGACGCTGACGTCACCGGCTCCGATGGAAGGTGAGATGCACCTGACGCTCGTGGTAGTCAAGTAGGTGGCGTCAACTCTACGGAAGCAGGAGGTGGAGATTCCTGCAGTGCACTCCTGCACTCCTTCCCCGAAGAAGCAGCTGAGGTAGCTGCCCGACATGAAGAAACCAACTCCGGCGACTGTCACCATGGTGCCTCCAGCAGAGGGCCCGGCGCCGGGGGAGGCTCCGGTCACGTCGAATTCGCCGTAGTACTGAAACTTGATGGCGAGAGAACTTGTGAAGACTTGCCCGTCCAGCGCGAGCTCGAAGTTGACCCAGCCGGGGGTAGGCCATGGAGGGCTCTTGCAGTAGAAGACTTGAACGCCGTTGGGGTCGTCGAGGATGGCAGGGACGACGATGGACCCTCCGAATCTGCACTTAGACACGCCATTGAGGTTCTTGAAACCATCGCCCCCTATGATGATGGGAGTCTCTCCTATGCGAGGGCCAAGGTTGGGGGTGATCTGGGTCATGTTTGGCTGGCGAAACCAGAGGAAGGTCTTGGGAGAGCTTGGAGAGAAATCTCTGCCCCCGTTGGAGGAGACTGAGATGTTGCTGTCCCCGAGGAACAGCAAGTTCCGGGGTGTCGTGACCTGCACTTCTGCAGTGGAGACGAATGTGCACCTCGCCTGAACCACAAGGTTCGCCGATCCCCATCTCACTGCACATCCATCGGTGGAGTTGCGGAAGCCAGCTCCTGAAATCGTGATCGCAGTACCTCCCTCCTGCGGGCTGCCTGCGGGAAGCAGGGTGTCTCCAGTGTTTGCGATGAGGGTGGGGTGATTGTAGAACTCGAACTTGAGGGTCTGGACGAGAAAGTCAAAGCCGTTGGCTGAGATGTAGAGGTCGACAACTTGGGCGACATGGCTGGGAGCGAAGCACATGACGTTGGTGGAGTTGAGGAAGACCAGCGCGACTTTCGTGGTGCCGAACCTGCAGAGAGACTGAGAGGTGTTGAAGAACCCGGACCCAGTGATGTCGATCCTCGTCCCTCCCTGTGCTGGGCCCGACGTGGGAAAGGTCTTCTGCATGACAGGGTCTTGGAAGAACTTGAAGCAGAGAGCTGGGGCGATGCTACAATCCTGCTGGGGGGTATAGGTCGATCCATCCAGAGCCATCAGAACCGGGATGGTCAGCTGTATGCTGGAAGCTGCGAAGGACGGAGTTATGCAGATGATCTTGGATGTGTCGAAGAGGAAGGTAGCAGGAACGACCACGTTTGAAAACTTGCAACGGAGGGTGTTGGTGAAGTTCATGTTCGTAGCGCGAATATAGAGGGTTGTGCCTCCCTTGATCGACCCAAAGGTCGGAGAGATGTCTAGGATTTGAGTGGCTTCGAGGAACTTGAACTGAAGGTTTGACTGGATGTAAGTCTTGTTGTCCCATGACAGGCTGATTGGCAGTGACTTGCCGAAATGACATGAGCTGCATGGTGGGCTCTTGAAGGTCAGCGAAGTGGAGGAGTTGAAGACAGCGAAAGTACACGAGGAGAGGCCGCAGGCATCAGTGCTGGACCCGATCCTGACGAAGAGGAAGTTGTCGATGAAGTTGGAGCCTGTTATCGTCGCAAGCACTCCTCCACGGTAGTCAGCTCCATCGGGGGTGACGACGAGAGAGGACGGGAAATCGTAGAGATAGATCAGCCTCGTGAGCGAGTACTCCTTGCCATTCACTGAGACCTGTACTGTCAGACCTGCTGGCCTCGCCCCGAAGCTGGCGGGAACCGTGAACGTCAATTGATCTGAGCAGGAGGAGGAGGAGCAAGGGGTCCCCTGAACCGCCACGTTGCCTCCGAGCATGACGGTGAAGCTGTACTGGCTGGCAGGATATCTCATGCAGTCGGAGATCGTCGACCCATTCATGGCGCGCGTGCAGCCTGGAAGGTTCCTGCCGATGATGGTGGCGACGAAGCTGTTGGACGCGAACGCCTGAGAAGGGATGACTCGCAGGATCTCCGGGCCGACGCTGCAGTCAGTGCCCGAGAAGCCAAGGCTGCACTTGCAGAAGAGCCCCGACGCGTCGCAGGCTCCCGACCCTGCGATGGCTCCGCCACAGTTGAGCGGGCACAGGGCGGATGTGAGAGTGAAGACGTTAAGGCTGCTGGTCGTGGTGCTCAGGATATCATTCTCAATGTTGGAGGCGAGGACAGTGATCTTCTGCTGTGACGTCGACAGGGTGCTGGTCAGTGTGAAGACGATCTGGTTCTCGTTCACAAACGTGGCCGATTCGCAGACCACTGAGCCTCCTGTGCATCTCACGAAGAGGCTGCTGACGTTGACGAAGTTGGCTCCATAGATAGTCACTCGTTGCGGGGCGGTGGAGGAGCCGCTGAGTGGAGCAAGGGAGAACATCTGGACGGGATCGTAGTACCAGAACTTTTGAGAGGACAAGCTCGTGTCACTGAATTGTTGGCCGTTGAGAGAGAACTGAACAAAGCAGAGCCCGCGTGTTGGGAACTCTTGGGTCGGAGAACGGAGCAGGTAGTTGCCGTTGCTGCTTCTGGTCGAGCTAGTGACGCATCTGAGCTGATTGTTGACCACAGTCGCGACCGATACCAGAACGATTCCTTCCCTGGCCAGCCTCTCCGCCTCAGGGGGGAAGCTGGGGATCAAGGAGCATTTCAGGTTGTCGAGGGAAGGAAGCGTTTGCGACAGAGCGATAGCGATGGTTGTCAAACCTCTGTTTGGACCGGCACAAGGCGTCAACGATGCGACTTCAGGCTGCAAGTATGCAAGGTATTGACAGATTGGTAAAGCGCAGTTAATGGCGTAGTCCTGAAGGTTCAGCGTCAACGCCAAGGCATACATCTTCTGGCCAGCTGCTGGACTGAGACACACGATCGCGGTCGAGCTGACAAATGTCGAGCTTTGTGAGAGGAGGGCGAGATCGAAGCTGCACGCCAAGTACTCGCTGGGATAGAAGCCCATCCCGTTGACTGTGATGGAAGTCCCGCCGTTGGCAGGGCCGAGCGAAGGACTGATCTTGCTTATCATGGGCAGCTGGTAGTACAGGAAGACTGAAGACTTGGTGAAATGGTCATAAGAATAGGGTTGAAACACAAGGCTGTTGCAGTCAACTCCGAGGAGACAGATCCCAAAGGAAACATTCTGAAACTGAGATGTGATGGTATATCGAGGAGCGATGCAGATGATTGCTTGGGTGAGAGAATCAAATTTCACAGCGCTAGTCTGATTGGCAAACGTTGGGCTCAACACTATGTTTCCGAATCTGCACCTTATTTTGGCATATTGAGCGAATTGCTCTATCAACGCAAAGTTGAGCCCAGTCACTGTGACTTGAGCACCTCCCTGGAACAAACCGAGGGTAGGACGGGAAGAAACTGTCCAGTAGACGATGAGAGCATCCTGCTTCACACTGTTGTCGATGTTGAGGAAGAAGGATGTGTCGAAGGGACCTGAGCCAGCGTTGTACGTGATCCCAAAGCTCGTGGCGAGAGGCATCGAGTCACCAGCCCGAAGGTTGATGGATACGCATATCACTGTGGTCTCCGAGACGAAGACGGGAGAGTCAAACCTCCTCGTCACGCCGTCCGCAGCCTTGTCCCCCAACTCTGAGGTAGTCAAACTGTTGAATTGACACCTCAACGTGTTTTCGTTGAGGAATCCGGATCCTGTCACCGTGACCTGCCCTCCTCCGTCCCCCGCTATGATCGATGGGAACAAGCTGTAGATCACGGGAAGCTCGCAGAACTTGAAGATGAAGGCGCAGTTTGCAGTGTTGCCGTTGTCACACTTGGGAGCGCTGATGTCATAGATGTCTCCTGTCGCAGGGTTCAGCGGATAGTATCGATTCCCGTTAAAACTGAACGAGACGGTTGTCAACATGGGTTGAACAGAAAGAATATCTGTCCGTAGGGAAACTGCGTTTGGAGTGACGCACAGCAACCAGTTTGGGTTGCAGACCCCTGAAGCATCAGGCAGGCAGGCAGCAGGGACTGTGATGGACTTGCTACCGATCCTGAACTTGCACAGGAGGACGGAGGCGCAGGTTCCGCAGTCATTCCACGTGGAACAGTCTAGGCAGGGATCGTAGAAGCCGCTCACACTGACAGAGATGGTGGTTCCTCCCTGGAAGGATCCGATGGAGGGAGAGATGCCGAGGATCGTTGGCGTCTGGAAGTAGTTGAACTTCTCCACGTTGGCCTTGGTATAGTCGATGCCGTTGAGGGCGATGTCAAAAGGCACAGAAACGCCGCAGCGGGGGCAAGGGAGCATCGAGTCCAGGCTGCCCTGGTATGGAGGAGAGACGCAAAGGACGCTCGCATCCTGAGCTTGAAACGTTCCGATCGTTACGACTGTGTCAAACTTGCAGAGGATCGGAAGGTGCTTGAAGCCAGCTGGGAGAACGGAGGTGTCTCGTTGCGAGAACCCAACCCCTCGCACAGTGATGGGCGTTCCTCCGACCAAGGGACCGAGGCGCAGGCTGAGAGAGGTGATCTTGACGTTGATGTAGGTGAAAGTGGTGGAGCTGCTGGTTTGAGAGAGAGATGAAGTACAAGAGGTGGCGCCAATGTCGATGATACAAGGATTCAGGCTGATCTGTACCTTGACAGTGTTGGGATAGTTGGAGTTCACCGGGGGCCCCGGGGGTACTGTGCATGCGAACGTCGACCCGTCAAAGGGGAACTGAATCATCCTCCATGTCTGCAAGGAAGACTTGATGAGAACCGGCCCGTCGACCCACGGGAGGTAAAAGATGCAGTAGTAGTCATACTTGAAACCTTGGAAGACTATCTCCTTGTTCAGCCCCTGGAACAGGTTGAAGCCGTACACGTTGATCACCGTTTGCTGGTCTTGTAGGGGGCCGAAACTAGGGGAGATGTAGCTCAGCCCGTAGTAGCGGAAGAAGGGGTCAGCTGTAAACTGGATCCATGTGTTCCCGAGGTTGGTGGATACATAGAGGAGGACGGCAGCATTCGCAGTGCTGTCCAAACCAAGAGCACTGAGGGGAGGGACGGTACAGAACAGGAGCCCTTCTCTGGAATCTAGCGAAGCAGTAGAAGTGAGATTGACGTACTTGGTGTCATAACTTCCCTGCACCATGTACGTGCCGAACTTGCACCTCACGTCCAGGACATACTGGAGGTTCGAGCCCAAGAACGTGATCGTCGTCCCTCCGACTGCTGGGGCCGTTGGCCACCTGATGTTGCTGATGCTCCCGATACCGTGAAAGAGGAACTGAATGCGCGAGTCCTGCTGGGTGAAGGATATCCCGTCCAGCGTGAAGGCGAAGAAGACCACGACTTGCTGCGAGGAAGAGCTCCAGGCTATCTGAGGAGTTACGCATGTTGCGTATGGCACGTTGGGAGGAAGAGGTTGGTTGAGGGTAGCAGGGACTATGTAGTTTCCAAACTTGCACTGCATTGTATCGGCGTTGATGAATCCTGTTCCTCGCACAGTGACAAGAGTTCCTCCTGTCCACACAGAGAAGGACGGGGTTAAGCTCTGTCCGTCTGTCCTCAGCTGGACTTGAGGAAGAGTTTCGGAGCAGTTTTGCCCGTAGAATCCCAAGGAAAGCTTGCAGATGCAGGTTCCGTTCACGCACTCTCCCTGCGGGAAGGAGCAGTTGAGCGGACACGCTATCATCGAGCAGTCCGCTCCTCCCCATCCGAAGAAGCAGGAGCACAAGGATACCGAGTAGTTGGTGCTGTACTGGTAGCCCAGCTCTCCCTGGTTGTTGAGGTACTCAATGCCTGGCGAGCCGAGGCAGACTCCCCTCCCGCTGCAGTTGTTGGGACAAGCAGAGATTCCGCAGTCGATTCCTGTGTAGCCGATGTCGCAGAGGCAGCCCTTCCCTCCCACGCATGTCCCCCTGTACTTACAGTTGTTGGGGCATGAAGCCTGGGAGCAGTCTGGCCCCCCCCAGAACCTGTGGCACTTGCAGTTCCCGTCCTGATCGCATGCCCCATGATCCGAGCAGTTGTTCGGACACTCTCGCAAGTCGCATGCGCCTCCAAACCACCCCTCATCACACCTGCAGACAAGGGATCCTTGTACAAAGTCTGTCGGAGCCATCCCATCTTGACTCGTCAGGAAGTCTGCAGTCGGAACTCCAATGTAGTCAACGACGCAAGCTCCATGGCCCGAGCAGCGCTTGGGGCAGAATCCTTCGTAAGGACCCTGGCTGCAGTCATCTCCGATGTATCGCTCGAAGCACGAGCAGGTGCCATTGATGCAGATCCCGTTGTTGGAGCAGGAGGAGGGGCAAATCTTGATCTCACAACCCGCGCCTTCCCACATTGGGTCGCAGGAACAATTGCCATACCTACAAGCGCCATGTCCAGAGCAGTTGATCCCGTTGATGAAACCCGGGCATGAGGCAACCAGCGAGCAATCTACTCCATCGAAACCAGCGTCACAAGAGCAGACCCCGTAGCTGCATGTTCCCCTCCCCGAGCACTCGTTGGGACACCCTCTCGGCGTTGAGCAGTCGCTTCCTGTCCACTCGAAGTCGCAGGTGCAAACTCCATTCAGGCAGCTCCCATGGCCCGAGCAGTTGAGGGGACAGGAGGAGTAAGAGCTTGAGTTGACACTGCAGTCTTGCCCTGTCCAACCGCTGTCGCAGACACAAGTTTGATTCACGCAAGCTCCACGTGAGCTGCAGTTGTTCATGCACACTGTTGGAGGGGGCGGGGGAGTTGAACGGACGGAGCAATCAGTACCTTCGAACCCCAGGTCGCACATACAAGAGTAACTGACAGCAAAAGGGTTGGCGTCATTAGAAGAGACATTACAGAAGCCATGGCTCGAGCAGTTATTCAGACACCCGTGAACAGAAGAATCGTTCATCCATGTCACATCCATCGAGCAGTTTTCTCCCAACCAACCGAAGTCGCAGACACAACTGCCGTTCGCACAGACACCATGGCCGGAGCAGTTGTTGCTCTGCAATGCTCCATCCAGCCACTGCCAGCAAAAACTTGCGTTGAGATTCAGAGATTGATGCTCACAAGAGATCCCAGCATAACCAGGATCGCACAGACAAGTTCCATTCAGACAGGTCCCATGACCAGAGCAGTTGTGACTCTCCGAGCAGACCGATCCCCCGTACACATCACACTGACTTCCCGTCCACTGTGCATCACATAGACAACTTTGCGTTGAGTTGAGGCCAGGGACGCAGGTTCCGTGCCCTCCGCAGTCGAGCGCACAAGAGGCATTCGCATTGACGGAGCAATCCACGCCACCCCACCCGCTATCGCACACGCAGACAGCAGTAGAAACGTTGGTAGTGCAAACCCCGTGTCCTGAGCAGTCTCTAACGCACCCAGTGACGCTGCAGTCCCCGCCTACCCATCCAAGATCGCAGAGACAGACCCCTACCCGACCCTCGAGACCTATCTGATGCTGGTAAGACAGCGAGGACGCGTGCTCGTCGAACAGCGGAAGACCGAGAGACGTCGCTGGTACACCCGTGAAGCAGCCAAGGACATAATTCCAGTTCGTCTCGATCGCTTCGACCCCATCGATCACGAACGTGTATGGCAGACTGGAGTCGACTTGCACCGCTGTGCGGACATGGTAACGATACGTCCCATCCGCGAGCTGGCGACCATTGCAAACATCGAGTTGGACATCGACGTCCTGCTTTGACCCTGCAAGAGGCCCGTAGATAGGGTATCCGTCCAGCGCGTAGCCCAGCAGGGTCTCCTGGTTCACCTTGGTGTTGCAGCCAAACAAGGGATGGTGATAGTGCCACATGCCGGTGGAGGAGGCGTGGCCGTAGCAAGGGACAGCATTGAGCCCTTCCATCGCGTTGCTTCCATCAGTGAGCAGTGGCCCGAAGATAGGGATCCCATTCAGAGCCACTGCAATCATACCATACTTGGGGAGAGCGAATCTTTTGCCAATGTTTCTTGGGACTGAATGAAGAACGAACCTCCAGCTGAAATCGCAAAGGGGCATGCTTGCACTCGACGCCACAAAGTGGTTGGGAATTCCGTTCGATATGATCTGACGCCTGTCTGCTGAGTCCAGGATCTCAACATTGCTCTGGTGCAGACTTGGTATTCCAAATAAATCTCGCTCGCAATTGTCCACCATGTCCATCTTGCTCTTATACCTTGCATTGTGTAAAGACTGATCGTCGAAGATCCAAATATCAGGAAGGAGATCCGATCCGGACCAAAACACGTTTGCTGCACTGTCGAGACAGGTACCATGTCCGGAGCAGTTGTGCTGTTGCCCTAGCCCGCAAGAGATTGCCGGGAGCGAACAGTCAATAGCATAGTAGCCAGGGTCGCACTCGCAGGTTCTGTTATTCGTACAAATCCCATGAGCAGAGCAATTGTTGAAACATTGCGAGCTCTCACATCCTAAGCCGGAGAATCCAAAATCACAGGCACATGTTGCATTCGTGCACAAACCATGGCCACTGCAATTGAATGGACAGTCAACAGGCGAGGTGCAATCTACCCCACTCCATCCGAGATCACATATGCATGTTCCGTTTTGACAGCTCCCCCTGCCCGAGCAAGATCCTGCACAAGTGCTGCTCGCAACAAAGATCTCACAACCTATTCCAGTCCATTGAATGTCGCAAGAGCAAGTCCCATTATTACAGGAGCCATGACCACTGCATGAATTGTAACATGACATAGTGTTACAATCCACACCTTCATAGCCGTTTTGACAAGTACAGACTCCATCAGAGCAAGTGCCATGGCCAGAGCAATTGTTATAGCACATCTGATTCGAACAATCGCTTCCAGACCAGCCCAAGTCACAATTACATTGCCCTGTACTTGAGTCGCAAATCCCATGTTGAGAACAGTTGTTGAGACACAAAGCTAAGGAACAATCTGGCCCAGTAAACCAGAGATCACATACACAAATCCCATCTGCATTTGGAAGGCCTACATGACAACAAAACATCAGCATATGAAGCAGCAAGCAAGTTTTATCTACCATGATTTGAGCACTTTTGTGCAGCGTCGATCACTTCGCATCCTAACCCCAGATATCCCTTGTCACAAGTACAGATTCCCCCAGGGAGACACAAACCATGACCGCTACAATTCCCTGACCCCAGACAGATCGCCTGTGAGCATATGGTACCAGTGTACCCTGAATCACATATACATCCTCCCGCACTGGAGCAGGAGCCATGGCCTGAACAGTTACTTGGACACAAGGACTGCGAGCAGTTAGCTGAAGTCCATCCTGGACTACACAGGCATCTTGGGCCTCGTTGGCATATTCCATGCCCATAGCAGAATCCTAGATCCTCACATGTACGAACTCTCTCGCATCGCCCACCGGCAAAACCTAATCCGCAATTTACATTGTAGCCTGGCTGCTGGATCACTTGCGACGTTGTGTCACTCGTGCAACAAAGAGCCAATATCAGAAAAGCACTTGAGGAGATCGTGTACCCTTTCATGCCTGAGGGTCTAACTAAATACAATCTTCAGCGCTTGTTATCTTACAGAGAATTGATTTGAAACATGGAAAGCCGAAATGCTCGTCGGTGGCTCCGATTTACCCCTGAGACAGCAACAGGTACTTTGAAGACCCTCATCACACAAGAAAGAATAATGGGAACGAGGCAGCCCAATGAGCCTGAACGACCGATCAACGATGAACTGAACTATTTTGTTGTGAACACATCATCATGTTTAGTCGTTTCAGCAACCTCCCAGGCTGTTCAGACCGCTCCTCCCTTGTCTCTTCATCTATCTCCCCCGTCGCATCCTTTTCGCTTGCTCCTCCTCTACCTTAGCCTCCGCCCCTCGCCTGCCGACCGCCATTGCGGTCCGTTGACCGGCACTCATCCCCTACTGCGGGACCCCACCCCTATACCCTTGAAACCCCCTACTTTGTCACCAATACTTTGCACCCCTCCCAGTAAACAAAAAACACTTTTAATGTATACCGAGGGGGGCTCACCCACTTGACATTTTATTTCCGTGAAATGAGGGAAGGAGGGAGAAACGAAGGAAGGGACTGAAGAGGAGGAGGAGGAGAAGAGGAGAGGAGGGAGGGGAGGGGTCTGAAGAGATATGAAGAGACAGTTCGTGAATGATGTGACATACAAGAAGACGGGAGACTTCACTACGACCACATGGACAGTGGGCCCCTTCAGGCAGTTGTCCTTCGGGGATAGCGTTTCGTCGAGCAAGCCTGTTCCTGCAGGAGACAATGAATGGAAGTTCACCTTGTTCCCAAAGGGACTCACCGACCCCGATTGGATCTCTCTCTACATCACCAATATTGATCTGGAGCTCGCAGACGCGAGCAGCGAGGCTGGCAGCAAGAAGCGAGCCATTGCAAGCATCAAAGTTACATTCGAGCCGAATTCTTTGGAGAAAGATGACGACAAGAAGAAGAAGGAGGGGATGAATGACAACGCTAGTGTCACATCAAGTGCCCGTTCCCGCAGCAGCGCAGGTTCATCCCTGTCCAAACTGTCGAAGATGACTGGAAGCACGGGACGTTCATCGTCAGGATCTCGAGTCTCTGGCTCGCAAGGTTCTGCCGGGAGCAAGGGGAGCAATGCAGCAGCAGCAGCAGCAGCCGTCCTGATCGAGAAGTCGCTCTCCCAGCAGTTCTCAGCTGCTGAGCCGAGCTGGGGATTCGAGCAATTCTTGGAAATGGACAAGGTGCTTTGGCAGAATGTGCTGGATATGCGCACACTGAACTTCTGTTGGTAGGTGTACAACGTGAAGACATTGTTCATGGGCAATGTGCCTGGCAAGACGTCTGCTGAAAAGGCCGCCAACGTTCAAGATGGAACCCTGACGATGACTATCGACATCCTTGCGATCACTGGGCTGAACTTCGAGGTTAAGATGGAATTGTTGTTTCCACGTGGAGCGGTGGTTTGACCAGCAGCTTTTCCTCCAGATACCGGAGAACGACCCAGACATTACGGATGGAGGTCAGCAGAGAACGAAATGGGCCATCGTGGATTTCAAGGTGTTGGAAACTTGAACCTTGTTCGATTCCTGGCGTCCTCCCTGAATGCAACGCAGACGCTGGCGAACAAGATCGCTGCCAATCAGAAAGTCTCTTCAGCCATATTCCGTTCGGACGGAGATTGGTACCTTGACATGTATCCCAACGGGTACTGGGGGAGTGAAGAGATCCCTGAGGAGAAGTATGTCTCGATCTATCTGCACTCTTCCAGGAAGCAGATTGAGATGGCGGATACCCTGAAGCGGTCGTACAAGATAGGGATTTTGAAAGCAAACCCCCTGAAGCCTGAATTCTATGAGGCCCTTGGAGAAGACCCAAAAGTCTACTACCCACCAGACGCATCGTCGTTCACCAACACCTTCAACGGTTTGAGGAAATCGTTTGGAAGGCAGAAGTTCATCAAGTTGAAAGAAATCATCAATGGACGAGAAATAGACAAGAAGGTCTGTAGATCGCACACTGAAAGTGAGAATGCCAGTGAGCTCTGCTTGCAGGTCTTGGCGTCGATCGATGAAGAACTGATCCCCAAGCAGCAGGAGCTGAAGAACGAGCTGGTTCAGGGAAACTACAACAAGGGAGGGACGGTGGTCTTCATCTTGGACATGGCCGTGACCGATATCGAGACGTCGATGATTCAGGAGATGCTCTGGGTCCTCCCAACGTTCGGAGCAAAGGTTCTGCAGCAGTGCCCAGAGACAAACGTCAAGTTGTCTCAGTCCGGCATGTTCGGAGGGTCCGTAGAGTCTTCGAGGTGCTACTTCTGCGGCAGGTTATTTGCCTTGTCGGCCTTGGATGTCGATAAGGCGACGAGGATGCCGCAGTTTGGCTATGAGATCGGCAAAGAGCTGATCATGGACATCCTGATGAGGGAGGAGGAGAACAAGCTGCAGGCGGTCTTGCGATCGCTAAACCCGTCGCAGCAGCTTATAGCGGTCAACAAAGTCATCTCGAAGTCGATCAAGAAGTATCAGAAGCAGGTGAAGAAGGATGAGGTGGCTGCAGACGACAATAGCAGCATGGACGACAGCGACGAGGACGACGGCACTAAGACGTTGAACCCTCTGAGAAACCGCAAGCGCGAGAAGGAGCTCGCGCGGCAGCTGATATTTGAAAAGAAGCTAGAGGCGCTGAGGGCTGAATTAGAAGACGCTCACTTCGCAAAGCCAGTCTGCTCGCGATGCAGAGAAGCGTGCAAGGCTCTCGATGCTTGTAAGATCATGACAGGCAGGACCGTCCGCGCGCAGACGTTGGTCAACTTGGGCAATCCTGACGGCTCCACGGCGACTCCTCGTGGTAACAACACAACTGCAGCAGATACCTCCATCAAGGATGTGTCCGCCATAGTGTCCCCACGATCCTCCTCAGTCAGATCCTGGAAGTCTGGCTCGTCTCGGACGTACGGGTTCCGCATGGGATGGAAAGAGAAACTGTGAGACTTGTTGCCTTCATGCCTTCCTCCTTCCCTCCTGCCCACCTCCTCTCCTATCGCTGATAGTCGATGTGCAGGGACAAGTGCATGAAGACTATCGAGAGCGTGAAAGAATCGATGTCGAATATAGACTGTGCGCCGACGAGGGAGATGAGGAAGCAGCCCAAGGTCGCGGCGATCGGAGGGGCGAAGGAGCGGGAGGGTGTCGGGTACAATGCGATGGTTCTGGTGCAGGGTGGGAGGTATGGAGACCCTCCAGAGCTGGCGAAGAGATGCAACGGGCGAGTGAATGCGAGCAACCCATTCAGTGACGACGACACCATCTCCCGCGATGCTTTCTGCGACGTCAGGTTTGACAGGAGGGAGAACTCAAAGACTCCCGAGCAGGTTCACTGCCTGCTCACTGGCAAGGTCTTCTGCAAGACGTGCGCTAGGTTCAAGGTGTCGATCCCAGAGCTCGAAGATGATCCGGAGTCTACCAAGAAGACCATTGTCCCTGCTTGCTTCGACGCCTACCTTGAAAGAACCTCGATCGCTTCTGGTCATCACACCCTGCATCCCTCTCCCTCCCTCCCTCTCTCCCTACCTCCCTCCACCTTTCTCGCTCTTCCTCTCCCTCCCTTTCTTGCGCTCAAGCTCCCCTCCAGGCCTGATCCGCTACAAGTCGGATAAGCCACCAGCTGCCGAAGACGGCCTGAACCGAGCAGTGATGCCGCCGGCGCAGGAGGAGGAAGAGGAGGATGACGAGGTGATTGAAATCTCAGTATTTATTTTAAAGTTTAACGGCTACGAATCCGATTCGCAGGGCTTCCTCGAGATCATCCGGAAGATTCCGTTCTGTGGAGAGAAGATTGCAGATCAGATCAATCCAGAATGAGTCGGTCGTGAGTGTGAAGTAAGACACTAAGTCATGTTGAGATGTCACTCGAAGAGCTTCTTTGTGTCTTGCCACACCTTGAAAGAGCGTCATAACAACAAGCAGCAGGAGAGGCATCGTCTGGTCTTGCCTCCTCCGGCGACTTCACCGACGACATCTTGACCAGCATATTCCTCTTCTCGAACACCTCAAGGACTGCAACAGACGTCAGACTCTCCTCCTAGTCTCCCGCTCCTCCCCCTCTCGCGCTGCCCCCTCCACAACCGACCCCCGAGACTCACCGGGGACAGTCTGAGTCTGAAAGGCCTGCAAGGGCAACCCGTCAGGCAGCTTGCAAACAACATCCTTCACTCACCGTGAAACGCTTCTTGATCGACTCCATGTTGTCGTCCGCCCTCCCGCTCGTCTCCCCGCGCTTCAGCAGTCGCTGCTCCAGCAGGTCTTCGGGACACTCGTACGCCAGGCAGAAGGCAACGAACGCCTGAGATTGCACGACCCGCTCCCATCCCTACGGTCAAGGTACAGTCAGAAGGGAGGGAGGAGAGAGGGAGCGGAAAGTAGACTGAGAGGGAGGGAGCGGGGGAGGGAGGGAGCAGCAAGGAGAGAGGGAGAGAGCAAGGGAGAGAGGAGATCGACGGAGCGCGGTGACCTCTCGATTGTCCTGACTTCTCGGAAACCCATCTGGGATCGATCGATCAGCAAGAAGCATCAAAGGTGGAAAGTCAGACCGATCAAGAAACGCTTCGTCTCCGCCTTCTCCATGGCTTTCAGTAGCAGTTGGATGGTGATTTCCACAGGGACAATCTTGCCCTCCTGCCATCCCACATGAGCCAGGCTCATCGATCGAACCTCCTCGCCTTTATGTACTCCTTGATCAACGTGGAATGCTCCGAATCCGTCTGCTGCTCTTCTCGCAAGAGATCGCCTGTCCCCCACACACACACTCACACAGTGAGTAACGCCCAACACAAATCTCGTCAACCTGCGGAAAGGTGCACCCATCCAAACTCCTTGACGATGTTCGCACACTGGGTTCCTTTGCCGGCTCCAGGACCTGCTCCGTTGCATTCAAAGTTATACACAAGGAGTGTAAGGAGCCGCCAGACCTCCAAGGACAAAGACGACAGTCGGCTTGTGTGGGACTGCCGCTCGCCGCCTTGCGCTGGGTCCTTCTTGGAGAGCGAGGACAGCAGCCAACTCTTCTTGAATGATCTCCTTCAGCTTCTGGTAGGCGTTGTCCAGGTTGTCGTTCACAACTTGATGGTCGAAGAGACCTGGCTCGTCCTTGGCCTCCATCTCTGCCTTGGCTCCTTCCAGCCGCTTCAGGATCTTCTCTTCAGTCTCTGTCCCCCGTCCTCTCAGCCGGCTCTCGAGATCCTCCATGGAGGGAGGAGCGATGAACACGAAGACACCATCCAGTTTCGCTCTCCTCACCAACCGACAGCCCTGCACGTCGATGTCCAAGATGCAAATCTTACCCTGCTTCGTCACGTCTATGACGGAGGCCTTGGAAGTGCCGTACAGATTGCCATGTACCTCCGCATGCTCAATGAAGTTCCCCTTCTCAATCTCCTCCTCCATGGCCTGCCGCTCGCTGAAATGGTAATGCACCCCGTTCTCCTCCCCCGGCCTCATCCCCCGCGTGGTGTGACTTACACTGAACCCGAACACGTTGGCGAACTCGCTCTTGAGCTTCTCGATCAGAGTTCCTTTGCCCACTCCCGAGGGTCCGGCAATGATGAGAGATTTCGGAGAGTGCTTGCTGTGCTCGTTCTGGTTGCTCTTCTCCTCTTGAATCCCTGCCTTGGCCTTCCCCTCCACTGCCTCTGTGCCCGTGGGATACCATTCACGGAACTGCTTCTGAGCACTCGGGGTCCCGAAGTACGCGTTCAGTGTGCTCATGTCTCAATTAGGAAGAAGTTGTTGAACGACCTGCGATGATGAGCATGTTACAAGCACAACAATCTGACAGGTTGGATCGCAAACCATTGTGGGGTCATCCTTCTCTGCATCTTTCTCCTATGAAACTACTTGTTCATGATCTAAATCTCATACCTCCTGTCCTCCTTATCTTTCCAACGCTGCTCTATTCTATCACGCTGCCCATCAACATCGCCACAACTGCCCTGCCCTCCTCGCCTTTGTCATTTGCTTGCCACATCGCCCCATCCTACCCATCCCTTGATCTCCTCCATCGTGGTCGCGTTCCTGTTCAAGTCTCGACACGTCCCCGTCCCCGTCCCCGTCCCCGTCCCCGTCCCCGTCCCCGCTCGCTCCTGCTTCTGGTCCTAATCTATCTCGCTTTTGTCCTCTTCGTCCTCGTCCCCATGGCCCGCCATACAGGCGCTCCGACCAACGATTCATGACAGGAAATGGGAAACGTTGAGTCGTCGTGTGGGTCTCAGAGGGGGTGGGTAGAGAAGATCCTTACGGAAGGGGTAGGGGTGGCCCAAAAGTGTGGGGGCGGAAAGCATGATGGTTGCGATCATGGCGAACAGGGAAGGACGATGCTCGTGATGGCAGGAATCATTGACTGAAAGCTCGACTAGCCAACTCTTGAGGGTTCCTGTCAACTCAGATCATGAAGCGCTATACTCTTTTCCTGTTAATCTTCGCTGTCTCCCTTTTGTATTGTCCGGGATTCGTTTCGTCTAATCTTGATTTATCCTCCTCCTCCTCCAAACATGTTTTTGTGCATCACTTCAATGCTCGAGACTCCTACAGCTTGATTCAGAAATACAGGAAAAGATCTCAGTGCGACCAGGCAGTCTGCTTGAGAAGTCTCCGGGGTGGAAGCAAGCAACGGTCACCAACTAATGCTACTATCATGAAGGTGTTGAATTTCAGCGAAACAGATAGCAATATTTTGTTCAATCGAACCAATTCTTCTGCACCCAAGTATGCATGGGATGCTAAGAAGAAAGTCTGGATATTGCATAAGCGTCCAACGGACAACTGGTCGGTGGAGAGCTTGAAGTCACGTTGGAATTTTGCACCAGACGAATGCCTGGTCTTCCGGCACAGGAAACCTGACAAGTGGCAGGAAATTCCTGGCGCTCCTGGCTGGCTGGGCTGCCTGGAGTTCTGCATGTTTGTGACGCCCATCATGAACTTTGTGCTCTTCATGATCCGCGGGTTCAACGTCTGCGCTGTCTGCGGGAAGAAACGTAGCCAACACCCGCTGAGGAGCTCGAGGGATGCGGATCGTGCTTTCTGGGAAGCGGTTGTAGACAGGGACATCGAGCTGGCAGTGAGAATTGTGCGAGGGGGGCTGGAATGTCCTCCCGGAGGACACAACTTCTGTCTCGTGACCTTCCTCATCGCCAACTACTGCAAAGACGCGTTCAAGAACGTCCCTGACCTGGACCAAGAAATGGCCCACTACCACCTGAACCATCCGCCAGAGTTTAAGAGAGGATGGTTCGGTTACTACAACCCTTACCTTTGACTCGATGGATGTCTTGCGAATACAAGATGCATTCCCACAAGCTCCGATACCTCAACCCTTAGCTCTAGGGTGCGTAGACTCTGATCAATACTGATGCAGCGATACGATGCAAGTCCACGTCATGCTGATGGTGCGGAGATGTTGTTTGAGAATCACGAATTTGTAGCATCCTCGTACACTTTCATTATTATTCAACATATGAACTCGTTCAGTGCGTGGTCCTTGGCCCGCTGAATCAACTTTGCTCTGTTGAAGGAAAGAAGCACATCACTGCAGCATCGGATTCATCAAGAGAAGCTGTCACTCTAGCAACTGTCATTGCTACCATTGCTACGACCAGATCGAGTTGACTAGCTAGTAGTAGTCTTGTGAGAACATAAGAGCTGGTTCGATGTCGGACGAATAGGCAATTTCCTGTTAAAGTTTTAGGCAGAAAAGCTTGAAAAGAGGTTTAAATTTACTGAAATGTGACTAAAATAACTCGTCCAACGGCTGAGCAATGCTGTCGGGGAGCGACGAAGAAACGTATGAAGGTGAGGAAGAGGACGAGGAGAAGGGGGGGGGAGAGAGAAAGTTTTCCCCTCGGATAATTCATTTCTTCGCCAGGGAATGTGCAGGATGCACAGAACACGTCTGAAATCAAGTTCGAAGAAGAAGAAGGTGAATCGGAGTTGACTCCCGATGGCTTGGCGTACAGGGTCACCACCATAGATGCGGAGATAGAGAAGTAACCATCCTCTCGTCATCACGGTTGACTGACGACGTGTGAAGGTTCTTGGAAGTTGACAGCTGGAACCATCAGCACGGCTTCGAGGATGTCGGGGACGATGTCGAGGAGAAGTACGTGGAGGAGCTGAAGACTGCCATTGTGAGTGCAGGAGGACAGTGCTGATCCTATCCGCGAGACTGAACGGTGGTTGGCACCGGTAGGCTGCAGGGGACGAGAGGAGAGGCAACATTAAGAAGGGTTTCGAGGAGGAAACGTCGAGGCTCGTTAGCATGGAGATGGAGATCCAGGCGCTGGTGCAGGACTTGGAGCGAGTGGCGAAGGATGCGAACACAGCGTATGAGGAGGAAGCTTCAGCGGGGAAACCTGCCAGCACAAGCGAGCAAGTGAACCCTTACTTGGAGTACAGGAACATCTCAGGTGGTCACGAAGTGACAGAGGGGGGAGGAGGAGGAGCTGATGATTTCTTGATGGTGTAGGGGAGGACAAGAAGGTGGACGACGGGCATACACGAAGCAAGATAGCTCGTCTCAAGGCAGAGAACGACATTCTGAGAGAATGCCTGAAACAGGGAGGGAGAGGCAACTTCTCCGCCTTTGTCGACATGGTCGCAGGGAGATAACTCGAGCAGACGGCGAGATTTTATTCATTCATAACAACATTTGACATCTTCAGCATGCATTTACATCTCAAACACAACAAGATCTCCTCATCCCTTGTGATACACAGACCTCAACTTCTCCAGCAAGTCCAGGATGACGTCCTGATCGCAGTCAAGAATGTCCTCTGCTCTCATTGCCATGAGTGTCCTGGGCCTGCGGGCAAGGTTCAGCCTCTTCCTCCCCTCCCCTCCCCTCTCCTCACATCGATGGCCTCAACGCGAACGCACTGATAGCCTTCCTGATGTTGTGGAGTGAAGCTGCGCGCGTGCGAGGACGAGCGTCCCATCCCTTGACATCATCTCGTGAGGAGAGGAGGAAAACGAAATTGCAAGACCTTCATGCGGCGAGTGCCTGCCAGAGGCTCGCAGAGGCAAGCGAGCTCGCAAAGCAGCACTCCGTCACTCTGACAGGGAGGGAGGAGGAGAAGGAGGAGAGAAAGAGAAAGCAGTGACAGGCCGACAGGTGCACAAGTGTGTGTAGAGCAGGACAAGCGAGTATAAGAGTGTGAGAAACGAAATGAAGAGGCAAGCAACAACGAGAGATGAGGGTATAGGGAGAAAGAAACGAGATGGCGGAAGAAAGTCAGGTCTGGCGAGGAGAAAAGAGACTGGAAGATCGCAATCAATGACTCACCCACTCTCTGCAGAAGTTGCTGATGGTCGAGGTCCCGTCCAACACGATCCGCGGCCAAGAGATCGGGAGCTTGCTTATCCACCGCTGTACCCCCCGCATCTTGTCGAGCGAGCTCAAGACTCTCCAGCGATCCTGCGAGCTGCTCCGTGGTCGAGACTTGTTCTCCTCCGCTTCCTTGCTTTCCTCGTCCTTCTTGTCCTCCCATCCCCTCCACTTGTGTTGCGATCTTCCTCCTTGACTGTAGCGATCTGCGACGAGGAGGGAGGAGGAGGAGGAGGAGGAGGAGGCTGAGCGCGGGCCCATCATATCGCTGATGCGGTGGAAGTGACTTCCTCTCTCTGCCACGTTGACCTCTTGCGGACAGGAACATCTGAGGAGCTCTCCTTGCCGTCTGGAAGTTGGTCAGCCTGATGGATAGGGGAAGAAAAACAAGGAAGAGCCGGAAGAGGAAGAGGCGGAAGAGGGAGAGGAAGAGAAGGAGGAGCAAGAGGAGGAAGAGGAAGGTGAGAAAGAAGAGGGAAGGGATGAGAGAAATCGGGTTCAGGAGGGAGTAAGGGAGTGAAACTGCATGTACCCAAGGAAGGGAACTTCAACTCCCCTTCGCAGGATCCTCAGACCTGACGAAGCAGGAGAGTCACGAAAGTGGACGAAAGGGTCAGAAGGACGAGGAGCAAGAAGAGCAGAAAAAGCGCGAGAACAAAGAGAAGGGCATCCATGAGGAAGGGGAGGAGGAGGAGGAGGGGAGGGACCGGGGGCAAGGCCGTGGTAGCATCGCATCAGGTCCTCCAGAAGAGCCAGCAGTGCCTCCTTGTTGCCTTCTACAACCTGGTCGAGCGGCAATGAGACTCGCACTGCTGCGCCGCCGCCTTTCTCACCTTGTCGATGAACTTCAGGAACCGATGCCCAACCGTCTGCACCTTGGCCAGCTGCTCGCAGACGTTCCTGGGGACAAGGAGGGATGAGCGGGGAGAACGCAGACAGGGACAAAGGTCACATCATGTTCCTCGCCGCGAGCATCCTCGACTTGACCGAGTGATTCACCGCGATCTTCTTCCCCGTCGCGAAGCTGGCGATCTCGGCAAGTGCAACTCCGTCCAGCAGCGCCGCGAACAAGCTGTTGATGGTGAAGGCTGCGGTCATAGACGTCTGGGGGTGCTGGTGATGACGATAGGGTGTCATCTCCACCCCATACTTCGAGAAGTCGATGGGAAGCTCCTTCAGCCAGCGCACCAGCGCGATCTCCAGCAGCGCCTTCTGGTCCTTGCTGTAAAGCAGGATAGCATCCGCCGCCTCCTTCCCGTCCTTGAGGCTCTTCGAGCTTGACAGCATGCCGTCTCCGCAGTCCTCCGGGGAGAGAAGAGAGCGGTGGACGTTGGAGTACTCCTTCTTGAGAGAGTAGAGGAGGGACCAGATAGCGTTCTCGTCTCCCTGCACAAGTTTGCTGACGTCTAGATTCCTCTGCAGCTTGGAGAAAATTCTCAGGGCGATCTCGACGTTGTTCTCTGCCTCCACAACGTTCCTCGGCTGCCACACAACGCCGCTCATGCTGCTCTTCTCAAGGATCTGCCGCAACTAGTCAAGCAGGATGGCTATCATGTCCTCCCCTCCCCACCTGCGCCAGTCGGGCGAGCAGGACGCCGTTGCGAAAGGGATCTTCGATCAGCGACAGGTGCAGGCGCGAGAGGTCGGCGAACTCAAACCTGCAAGGACGGTGAGCGAGTGTGTGAGAGGCAGGAGGCTGAGCTGACGTCCTGCTGAGGTACTGGTGGAGGTTCAGCTGCTGCAGCCACTTCAGAACTTCCCTCCTTATGGTCTTGATCCCGAGGTAGTGATGATGATCGAGGATGTCGCAGGGAGCATCTTCTGGCATCTTTGATGACGTGGCATTGCAGAGGTCGGAGGACTCGCCTACCGTCGGATCATTGTCATTCCTCCATTTGTCATGCTGTGCCTGTCTCTTTCAGTGCCCGATTAGTGAAGGAGAGACCTCACTCTCACCTTCCTCCCTAGCTGCTGGTGATTTCGAGCCTCCAGACCTTCTTCATGATTAGACGATTCGAGCGAACACGCACGTCCGTCTCATCTCACTCTTTCGTTTCGTCGAGAAGCACCGCGCAAGGACGTTCAGGAGCCTCCAGGCAACGAAAGAGCTCTCCTCCACCAACGAGTTCTCGTCCCACAGGCAGTCACTGCGCGACAGATTTCTCCACAGGACTTCTCGGTGCCCACGGAATTTCTGCCGAGATCAGAAGCGTCAAAGGGAGGTTGCGTGGGAGGGGATGGTATTGACCTGCAAGGCGATCCTAATGTTGTTCAGCCTTTGCGCCTGCCCTCCAAATCAGCAGCGAGCATCAGCAACGACAATTACCTTTTGTTTGGGCGACTGCGCTACTCCCCGCACTTCCTCACCACAGACAACCTCGGCGATATGACACAGGACCAAACCGTCTGCAAACATCTTCCCGAAGTCCTTCACTTTGACGGTCCGCGACATGGCGATTTCCCTGAGAGAGCTCTTCTTTTCCATGATGCTCTCGAACCAAGACCTTGCCTGTTTGTCTCCCACTTCAACAAAATGATCCTGATCAAACGTCGATGAATTGGGAGGCTTCGGATAGACTGCATCGATTGCTCGTTCCGGCTGCCTTGGGGGTTCTTCACTCCTCCTGCTCTCCTGCAGCAGCACATCTCTGCCTGAGGCTCGATGCTGCTTCCTCCCTCTCACTTCTCCATCGTAGCTCCTCCTCTCTTCTCTGCCAGCTCCCCCGAGACGAGCCTCGTCGTAGCAATGTCGCTGCTCGGCCATCGGAGGTTCTCGACTGACTTGCTCCTCCACCCGCTGCTCCATCACTGACTGCTGGACCATCTCCGACCTCGAGTCGCTGATTCTCGTGGGGAACCTGCGAATGTTCTGATCCTTGGCATCAACAACTGCATCAGGCGGCAGGCTGCTGTCACCCTTCACCATAGCCGCCCTCTGCAGTCCGGGTTCGAATTGCGCATGGAGATTCTTGTTTCCATCATCCTCGTTTCTGAGTGAGAGGTCAGGCTGGTGTGCATATGGACGATGCCTTTCGCTCTCAGGCTCCATATGATAACTTCTCTCAAGTAACTCTCGCGTGTTGCTCCTTCCTCTCGAGCTAGAGTCTCTTCCAACCACCTGCGACCGCGTCACCTGTGTGCCCGACTGGGAGAGTAGAGTAGCAAGAAAGTACGTTTGTTCTTGTCGGAAGAGAGATGTTGATGCTTGGCGGCAAGTGTTTTTCATCCTGTTTCATCTCGTCTAGGAATCTTGATCGATTTGCGTCGGAATAAACACAAGACTTGATCAGGAAGAGCAGCTGCAGTATCGAATCGTCGTCCCAACCATAGCTCATGCACTTGTGGAATGAGGAGGGGATGTCGATGCCGCTCTTTGAGCAGGTAATGGACAGAGCTTCATTGAGCAGCTCCTGGTCTCCCGGATGTTCGTAGGAGTGAGAAAGTTTGAACATGGAAGGATCTGCATTGCAGAACACCTTGACAAGTCCTTCAGTTCCAACACACTGTAACTCAGACACAGAGTGTGTCATACTCACCACTTCTACCACCTCTCTGAGTGTCTTGCCGCTTCGAAGGTCTTCCACATCACTTGCAACCATCCCTGAAGGGATACCAAGAGTGTTCAACCAGCAAAAGAGTTTCTCGGTTTCCCATCCTTGCAAGATCATTCTCACGGCCCTCCTCTTGCACTACCTTCCTTCCTATCTTCCTGCTCTCAGCCTCAACATCTGTGCCTCATCCTCCTCATACTCTACCATCTTGTTACTCTGGTCTTATTCGTCTTCGCTTGCCCCGCCCCATCCCTCCATGCATGGTTTCGAAGGCGCCGTTGATTGGAATCCCGTCAATAAACTGAACAGTATTTTCTAGCAGTTCCAATTTCCAGGGACAAATATTATATAGTGGATCATGCTTTTCAGACAATGGTTCCAGCAATAGAACGTGGGAGAAATTGTACGGTCTTCCGACGATCCTGAGTTTCCGGGAAGCACCGCATCAGGCGGCAGGCTGCTGTCACCCTTCACCATAGCCGCCCTCTGCAGTCCGGGTTCGGATTACGTGTGGAGATTCTTGTTTTCATCATCCTCCGGCGTTCAGAGTCTGATGAGTCGCGAACGGCGCGTGAAAATCCGGAAGTTGCAGACTGAGGAGAGGCCTCACCATGAAGTTCAAGCCGCCCGGTTGCAAGCAATGATCGGAAGTCGGAAGTGAAATGAGGAATAGCGTATTACGCTTGTCGCCTTGCAAATGGGTGATTTTACAGATACTCTTACTACCACGGTTGACATTATCAATTACAAGTATGAAACAAAATTGGAAGGGATCACGTTGGCGGCCCGACGTTCTTACTTTGGCTTTTTCTTGTCGCCACCATACCTGCAGAATGAGGGTGAGGGAACAATGAGCCAGGGAAGAACATTTCTGACCTCGAGGCGTACGCAGACATCAACTTCTCAAGGCGACGAGTCTTAGAGTCCTCATCCTCTTCGTCTCCTTGTGGTTTCACTTGTTGGTTCAGGTCTGCGCCCTTTTCTCCTGTCCGGATCCTGCTGTCTTTGACATCCTTTCCCCAAGCCGTTGTTCCGATTCCAGCATACTTGGACATCTTCGGTTGTACCAAGTCAGACTTGGTCTTCATGCTGTCTGCGAGAGTTTCATTAGAGTGCCTTTTGGCATAACCTCCGATCAGTTGCAGCACTCGAGTGTTGTCTGGGGGCGGAAGAACCTCACTTGAGGCCTCAGTGGCCACGTCTTCCACTTCAAACACTGGAGTCTCCATGGAAACCGTTTCTTTTCTAGCCTTCTTCGGTTTCCCAGAAAATTTGACAATCATTGTCTGATAGAAGGAAGCAAGCCGATGGTACAAATCCTTCAAGAAGCCCTTCATGTATGACATGAAACTGTCGATGACGCCTGCAAGACTGGTCGACTTTGGTCTAGCCCCGTAGGACTGCAAGATCTGATTTTTTCTTGAGTTCTCCTTGATCTTGAGGCCTAAGGACGTCGTCAGCTTCTGGCTAACATACGCCTTCGATTTCGAATTCCCATCAGAGGAGTGCAACTGTTGAACCAACCCAACGCTTTTGTGCCTTCCAGCTTTGTACCATTGATCATGAAGACAATCCAAACTTCCCTTTTTCCCTAGGTTTGAAATGTACAAGGGAGAGGAGGTGAAAGAAGAAGCTATTTCAAGGGCGGCAAGGGCGAGAAAAAATCGGAGCAATGTCATGGTATTCGGTGTCCGCGGGTTCCAGAGATCTACAAACACCACCTGCACAAGTATGAAGTTACGAACTTGAACCTATCAAAAGGATATGTCTCTGCGATAAAGCCCCATCACACACATCAAAAGGACAGCAGCGAGGATGAGTCTCCGGGTCAAGACTAGGGGAGGCACTGGAATAAGGGGCAACCCAGCGGTAGGGATGCGGACAGAAGAAGTACAAAGAGAAGATGTAGATTAAGACGAGCTAAAGAGACTGTGTCAGAAAAACTCCTTGTGTACTGCAGATCAAAGATTGGAATGTGAGGGAGTAACGATTAGGTAGACAACACGAAGGACGAGGAGAGAGGAACATCAGGGTTAGAGGATCATGACCATGGTTGGGTGACCCAACTCAAGTTAAGGAAGGGAAGAACGCCACTAGGAGGCTTCGCTCCTGCATGGCTTCCACCGCAACCACGCCGCTGGTATGGGGCGCAGTGCCTCCTGCATTTTCTCGGACAAAGTTCTAGGGGTAGGGTGTATATGATTCTCGAGGGTAGGGGGTAGGTGAGTTGTGAAAAATACCCGTTGCATTGATACAGCCAGTGACAGTCTGGAACCACGTGGGGTAGTTTCTAGTGGGGTAGGGTGAGGGGTCCCGGGAGGCCACTAGGGGGTAGTAGTACCCCACGATCATGAGGGGAAAGTTACGGGTACCTCGGGATGCTGTCATAAAAGTGTTTTTGAATGTACAGTTAGGCTGTTAATAAATAATATGCTAGGTATGATTGATTTATTGGGTTACAATATCTTTATATATTTTTTAACAATCTTGAAGGATTATTAAATTGTATTTTTATTTGTACATGATGATAATTAAAAAAGTATTTGAGTTGTACTGATTCACCCAAAACATTTTTAAAGGTCGTTTGTACCGGAGTTTCGCTTTCTACGTCCATGTGCGGCTTTCATCGGGGAAGGTCTGTGAGTTAAGAGGCGGCGAGGAGCGCAAAGACGCAGGGGAAGTCAATGAGCTGAATAAGAACAAGCATGTCCTCTATCTCTTGCAAGAATGACATCCAATCTTTGATGATTTGAATGATACTGCTCGTCACCGAGTCGAAAGATGCAATGCCACGGCAGACGTGTCCAATACTCGTTGAATTCAGAGCAGTCCAGCGCAGTTCCCAAGCCCCCTCTTGCTTCGAAACCATCTTTTTCGAGACCTCAAACTTCGAGAAGATATGCTGAACGCTCATCGACTGCCATGAGCGGGACTGATGATGATGAAAATAACCTCAACGGATTACAAAGACAATCACAGTACCAATGTAGAGAAAGTAACAATCTCAACATCAAGAATTTGCTCGAGTTTCTGAGCTTCAAAAAAGACATTGTCAGACGTCCTCTCTCGGAAAGATGCTCCAACAGCTCCGTCATTGTGCCTCAGCCAGACCGAGGGAGGGATAAGAGCAGTCCACGTGTGGACGACGTACAGAAGCATGCGACTGTTGCTGATTCGAAGACATCGAGGGCCTCAAGACCTCCAAAGGTCACTGGAAAATCATGGATCGTTGTGGATGGCGAATCAGGAGCAATCATGGGAGGGAAAAGCGAGGTGAGGATTCGAACTTAGCTGGTCAAACTTGGCGGTTGACTTGAACTGACAGAGGCTCAACCGCGGGATAGCAAGCTTGACAAAGGCACCAATGCGCATTGTTCGTGCATGATTGCTATGTTGACAGTAGTTGGTGCAGATTATGACTTGCCACATTGTCATCAAGCTCGCCGAGGTCCAGCCAGGTTGGGAAGTGATTTCACTTGCACCTAAAGGCTGACTTTCCTGCTTCAGAGATCCTACAAGAGTGCATCGTCGTGAGTGAAAAGGCTGAGAAAATCATCGGGACTTCAGCTAAATTGCGAGCAGGCATAGCGTGAAACTGTGGCCCCCTTTCCCTTACATGTCCGAGCAGGAGATCGAGTACAGGTCTTGGACGCCTTGTATGGATTGATGCTCCCTTCCGGCAATGACGCAGCAGTGGCGATTGCACAACACTTTGCCGCACGCTTGCACGCTCGGAGGATTCTGTACAGGAAGTCTTTAAGGTGGAACCTTCCCAGCGCATCTCCACTAGGGTGACCGGTTTGACATGGGCAGGGATCGAGGGATCCAAGTGGGGGGGATGATGAGGCACGAGTTTGCGGCCAAACTGTTGAGCTTACCTCTGAGCAGCGAAACAAGGTCAGGCTGGTTTGAGAACTTGTGTCAGCTACGACTTCTGATGATATCCTTGCAGCATGGAAGGGTTAGGGCTTGCGTACATGTCAAACGATTCTTCCCTCTTGCCCTGGGTGACTGAGATGAACACCATGGCGTTCGTTCTCGGAATGAGTTCGACCAACTTCGAAAATCCTCATGGTGACTTACCATCACTCATTCAGTTGTCTGATAGGTTGCTGCTTGCAGGGTTGAGCAGCAAGTTGCACAAATCTACAGCATTTGATGTCGCCAAGCTGTCGGTGTGAAACATGATTGAATGCAATGGTCCTTTGTCAGCACTGTGACCGACATGCAGGTCGAGGCGTTGCGATCTGATTTGTTTCGAAAGATTGTCAATACTCAGAGCCATGCTGTCAATATCATGAACGCTAGAGACTCGTCCACCAGAGTACTGGTGTGGAAGAATACCAACGAACTCCTTCAAGAGGGATATTCAGGTATCAAGACTGGAACTACTCCAACGACAGGTAGCTTTCTGTCATGATCTCTCTTCAAGTCAGTAAGTACCATGTGACATCAGGATATTCCTTGGCATCTGAATACACTTTTGATGTCGAGCTCACAGGTTGTTTGTATTCGAAGGGGATGGGTAGTGATCATGTCACAGGTGAAAGAAAAAGTTTGATATGCATCCTTCTCGGATCGAGGACCAAGGAAGATAGGTAAACGAGGTTTGTTGATACGATTGTAGTGAATGATTTTCAATCAGGACAAATGACACAAGAAGGTTGATATCATGGGCAAAGTCTCTTCATAGTTCATGATTGTATACTAGTAATGACATTATTGAAATTATTTACAAGCATGTGTACATGTCTCAGGACATCACTCATCGCAGCGGATGAAAAGGAACGCAGGAAGGCTCTAGCACTAAATAGAGATTCCCTGGAGAGTTCACTCCTGTAGTCAAATCTATGAAGCGCGTCACTGAACGAACGGGAACATCGCATTCAAAGATTTTCATGTCGTTGAGAGATATTGTCTGAGAGTCTGAACAGGTGCAAGGTCAGAGACTTGTCAAGCAGAGAATGTACAATCTACCTCTCGTGCCATCAAGCTTTCCCAACACATGACAAGTTCCACGGGTGGTAACGAGGACAGAAGCGTTACCTCCGTCATGCGCGTGGAATGTGGAAATCGACTGTATCGGCATCACCTTCTTTGTCTGGGGATGTTCAATATCCGCCAATCTCGTGGGAGTTCGAACCATTTTCCCAGCAGACTCTCCGAGCACTCCTGCCTCGTTCCTTCCACACCCCAAGACAGTCCGATCGGAGGTCAAGAACAGCGAGTGCTCGAGCCCTGCGCTGGCCTGGATGACCCTCACGTTTCTGACGGAGCGAATCAACTTGGGTAGGAAAACTTTCTCAGCTGCATCCTCCCCTGCCAGTCCGAGTTGCCCGTACTGATTGAGTCCGCACGAGTACACCCTGCCGTGCTTCGACAGCAGCAGGGTGTGGTGCGGAGATACAGAAGACTCCATGAAGTCTATTTCATCGCCGGAAACTTCGATTCGAGTAGGCTTCCTGCAGTAAAGCTCGAACCCGTTTTCTGCTCCCTCTAGAGTCTCCTTCCTCTGCAGCTTCGACTGGTCCAACCCCAGCTGACCAAAAGTTCCCTTCCCGCAGGTCCAGGCCCGGCCAGCTTCTGCAAAGTTTTGTGAGCAAGGAGAGTCAAGATAAGCCTGGGCCTCCGGACTCACCGTCAATCAAGATCGAATGGTTGCCGGCAGCAGAGATATGAGTGAACGGCTGCTCTGAATCCGACGACAAGAAGAAAGGAACGTAAATGATGTTTGAATTCCTCTGGGCGTTCTCAACCTGAGATGCTCATCATCAAGACACTCTTGTGGATCCCAGCAGAGCCTCACCTGATGAATCTGGTTGATAATCTTCGACCTCTCCTTGTCGTTGCTCACTGAGATGTTTGCGAGGCTTTGCAGGAGTTCCCCCCGCTCCTTCTCCAGCGCCTCCGACTCTTGCGTCTCAGGCAGCCCGAGCTGTCCCCAAGAGTTGTCTCCGAACGCGATGATCCGTCCCCCAGCGCTCAGCAGCAGCGAGTGAACGTCTCCGGCAGCTACGGACTTGATCTGCATGTTCACGATGGAGTTCCCGCCAACCGCATACTCGATCTGCTTCGGAGACTCCACCACCTCCCGAGACTTCAAGCCACATTGCCCTCGTTCTGATGAGCCCCACACCCAGATGCTGCCATCAGAGCACAAGATGAGGCCATGGTGGCAACCACACGATACTTGACGAACTGACAACCTGGGCAACGTGATCTCTGCGGTTCGAGACACAGTGTTGTAGCACCAAAGCTCACCAGTCGTCAGAAACTTCTTTTCTTTGGACATGACATTCTGTACGAATTCACTCCGGAAGCCTTTCGTTGATAATATTCGAACCTTGTTATCGTATGAAATACATGAAAGGAAGGGATCTGAAGAAGTCGCTAATTTGTAAATCCCGCCTCCAAATCCTTTGACCTCTTTGATACAATCCATGCATTCAAGGCTCCAGATTCTCAACGTGTCCTCACCCCCTCCAGAATAAACGAAGCCGTTTCGATAGACGAGAGATCGCACATAGCTGAATGTCTTCGAGACTTCTGTGAGAGATTGCACATGTTCCTCTAACGTAGAGATGTAGTCTTTCAACAACAGCTTGCCTTCTTCAGTCAGGACCGTAGAAAGCTCTTTTTTAGTCCTTTCAAGGTCGTTCTGAGCATCATTCAAGCTTTTGTATGGTGAGAGCGTGGCATAGAGGGTGTCTTCTATGCTGCCAAGCATGTACTGGTTGAAATTCTTGTTGTCCAAATCCCACAGCCTGATTTCACCACTTACTCCTCCAGTAAACAAAATTTGTCGAGCGGTCTCATATGAACTGATTTTGCACATATCCAACTTAAGATCCATGGCATAGACCGTATCGCTACAGCCATCTAATTGGCCAACTGTATGATTGCATTCTGGATCCCATAACTTGATTATTCCATCTTCTCCAGCGCTGTAAATTCTTGAGCCATTGGTGATGATTGAATGTACGTAACATGCATGGCCAGAAAGGACACAAGAACAAACCAACGTGGTATACCCTCTCGAATCACTATCAGAGTTGGTTGCAGAATCTTCACTGTGTCTCCACAGCCTGATGGTCATATCCAAACTTCCACTGCATAGAAATTTCCCCGAGAAATCTGTTTTGTTGTTTGGTTCACCTGCGATAGCAAGGGCTGTGACAGCATCAGCATGACCTTCAAGGATTTGTAGGCATGACATCCTTTTCTCTACATCCCATACACGGATAGTTCTGTCCAGTGAGCCCGAGAATAAGAACTTGTCCATATACAGTGTCATACAAGTGATCACTTGATCATGGCCTTTTAGCTCATATTGCCTACAGAAGTCAAAAATTATTGTATCCAGACAGTATATCTTGATCGTGACTTCATTGTTAGCCACGTATACTTTGCTTTTGTTCATGATGATACTTCCATCTATCTTGGTGTCCAGGTTTCCTTCGCAATTGATTTCCCACAATAACTCAGTAAATGCATATTTCAACATCTTTTCGTGTTTTGACTTCATGACATTCTTATCGAATTCCAACTTTGCCTCTAATTGTCCAATTCTATCCAACTCTATTTCTTCTCGCCTCTCTTTTTCGGCAATAGCCTTGCTTTTCGCTTTTTCATTCCTTGCTATTTCTGCTTTTTCCTTGATGTTGCTTTCAAGGGAGGCAAGCGAATGTTTGCATTCATGCACTGCTTCCTTCGCAAGAAGCAGGTCTGAAACAGATGGATAGATTTCCTCATCATGCCTCAAGATTTCCTTCAATACGTCCTCCAGAACAGGAATTCCCCTGGTTAGCAGCCTTTCTCTTATTTGTATCAATTTGTATCCAACCTCTGCAATAAGTAATCGATATTTTGCTGTTGAAATGCTTTTACAAGCTGAATTATTTAGCGAACCATCCAAGTGTAGGCATCGGATTTCATGTTTGATCAAACTGATGCGTTGTGCAGCTTGTACGGAAGAAGTATCAACTGGTTTCAGAACTGCAAATTCTTGTTGAAGATAGGAAATTCTTTCTTCGCCTCTTTGAACAGCATTGACAGCGTTTTGATTTACAAGGGGGAGAGTTTTTTGGACATTCAAGGCCTTCTCGAAAGTTGCCTGGGGTCTGCGACGTAAGAGCTCGTAATAGTCCAGGACAAATCTTCTATGCTGTTGAAGATTGTCGAGAATTGCTGCAGGATTTTCACCATCATTTGTCCCCATTGAGTCTGCATAACCCATCACATGTGTGGTATAGTTTTCAAGAATCTCGCAGGTTTTGTTCATCAAAGTCATATAAACAAGAATAATTTCACCCGACCCAAAGATGAATTTTCTTATGTTTCTTAGATCTGTTAAAAGCCAACACAACTCATTCCAGGCTTCTTGTTTGATCAGTTCTTCTACTTGAACAGAGAACTCAACGGCAGCCTTATTGTCATATGTGTCAGCATTCCTGTCCACGTGACTGCTCTCCGCCTTTTTCCACTCACTCTCGAGAACATACCGACCGCTCGTCCTGTCCTGCTTCAATTTGTTGTAAAATTTGGTTGTGAAACGCAGCTTATTCTTGTTGGGTTTAGTCTTCAGAAGCTCACTTGAAGAAACCAGAAAATCCTTGAACTTCGAAGATGTCAGTGTGGTGCGATAATCTTGCAGATCATGAATGGTGGAAAGGCTCAAGAACCGATGTGCTGCAGGTGATATTCTTCCTCTTCCTGCTACTGGAATTTCCGGCAATTTCGTCTGATCTGCACTGCCATAGAGTATTGGCGCCGGGTTTCTTTTCGCTCCTGATCGTTTAACAGGCTTGGCGAAGCCCTTCTGTCCAACATTGAATTGCCTACTTCGAGACTGCAGGGGAAAAGAACATGGTGACAACAAGCCAAGCCTCAAACGGCAACCTTTTCACCTTTCGACTGGCGTAATCATCTCCGGAAGCTAAAGGGTCTCCTCCCATCTCTTCATTCTCCTGCCGAATCTGTCAGAGGAAGCATCAAACTCTGGTAGAGTCATATCCCAGCTCCTTACATCGCGAAGAGCATCGAGAAACGCTTCTGGGTCTCCCTCAGGCAGCCCCCACGCTGCCGGACTCTCCGCCATGCGGTTGCAAGACAGTGAGGCGGGGCGGGCCTACTACCGACGGTACCGATCGGACCCGGGCTTGCCGTACGCCGGCCCCGGGGCACCTTACGCGCCGGACTCGCCCCCGGCCCGGCGCAGGGCCCCGGCCCCCCGGCAGGCCCGGCCGCCGGGCCGCCCCGACCGCCACGGCCGGGCGCCCCTGTGAACTTTGTCACACCTCGGGTTCGCACAGCCGCGCCCCCACTGTGACTTCCGAAGTTCGCCAAACCTCCGCCGGGTCACTGTGCCACGCCCGGGCTAGCGGAGCGCCCACTGATCCGGGCCGGCCTCGGATCAAACTTGATCAGGTAGTTTATTGGTGATGGAGGTTTGATGTCTCTCGTTTGGACCTATAGACTCAGTGAGGTGAGCTTGAAGTCGTTCATCAACAAATCGCAGTCGGAATGCACTGAGAGAGCGTTAGTTAGGATGGGGCGCGGGAGGAAGTCGGGTAAGGGAGACAGGAGGGGAGACAGGAGGGGGAGGGAAGGGCGAGAATTGAGAGGGGGGGGAAGCACGAGAGTAGTTGGAGCAGGGTTAAAGCCCGTTCGAAATTTTAATGGCCATAACTATGGAGGAAACAGCAGCGGCGAAGATGATGCTGAGGGCGAAGATGAAGGGGATATGGAAAAGGAGATGGTTGAAATCGAAGAACAAGGAGGATTTTTGGAAGACCAGGAGTTTGATGATGGTATGCATGATGCCGATGAAACAAAATCACCCGAAAGAGATGAAATTGAAGCTGCGACAAACAAGTCCATTGCGTCCGTTGAAGTAGATGAGATTGCACTTGACTTGACCGAAGAAGAAGTGAAGTCAGAAGCTACACTCGCGACATCAGAATCATCTGACAGACCGACGATACTGCAAGAAACTACTGACTTTATCCTCTCCATTCCAAGTTTCCTCGTTGATTCGCTTATCGCTAGTTCAGCCGGTGGAAGGGATAAACTTAGTTTCACCCATGTCCCGAGCACAGAAGTTGAGCTTGCCAGGTTGGACGAAGGCAGTACTTCTGATGAATCGAGTGGGGAAGAGACGTCGGAAGAGGGATCTGAAGGTAGCCTCTTGGAAGCCGGCGAGGATTTCTTGACAGACTCTGATGGGTCTGAAGAGATTGCGAAGTTGGAAGCAGGCGATGAACAGCAGACAAGGACGGAAACTGCAGGATCGTCCCGGCGGGACACGACAAACAAAAACTTTCTTAAGTGTTTTTCTGCCACAGTGTGTGCCATTATATTGATTGTCGCGGTCAACTCTATCCGTGGCTTGTCGATCTGGGGCGACCCGCACCCGATGAAGCACGATCTCTCCTATTATGCGGCAAAATATGACAAGAAGCCTCAGATCCCTCCGAACAGGTCCGAGATCCCCGTTCACCAAGGGCAAACATCGAACGTGTCTAGCCCTGGCAAACCTCATCCTCCTGTCATTAGCGTGGAGGACACCTGGCAAAAGGCTGTTTGTCACCGTTGTTCTCTTTCGTGTTTGTCTGGCCTACCATGCAATCCAATGTATCCAGAGATTCAAGCTACTTATGGGTTTGGATTCACTCTGGTTTGCAGCTACTGAACTATCTACAGGCAGGCGGACTGCGCGTACACCAACGCTGTCGATGTCTCTTTCATTGTGATCGCACCTGGCAGCGTCACAAATTCCTCGATCATATTGATTCAGGTGAGACGCGAAGACCGTTTGTCTTCATTTCTGATCATGCATTCGTCAGAAACAATTGGACGTGTTGGCGTCCTTTCCCTGGAAAGCCAGCGAGGTCACAGCGGAGGCAGTCATTTTGACATGGAGAAACCAATCGGACGAGAGGCATCTACATGAGAGGCTGAACATTCATTGCGTGCAGGACTATGAAACAAGGTTCCTACAGGTCAGTCTTGTTCGGATTTGAGCAGAAGGCTCAACAGTCGTTTTCAGGTCCCCATGTACTTGATAAATAGGTTGGTTCCAGACGGAAGAATTCACAATCTTTATTTTTTGGCTCGGAATATCGCTATGAGACGAGCGAGGTCTCTTCATTCACTTGTGACTGTGTCTGAGCAACTCATGGGAGTGCAGGGGTAGGCGCTTTATTCTTCTCACCGAGGGATCTCTTCTCAGCCTGGCTAATCTGTTCGAGATCTCCGGTACGGCTGAAGAATATCGTAAACGAGTGTACGAGGTGACAACGATGTGATCCATGCGTGCCATTGATATCCTTTGGATTAGATCAACCATACAGCTTTCATCGTTCCTTCTCAACGATTTAATTGTGGAAAGATCATTCAAAACGATTCGATACCAGTAGGCCTATGCTCGATGTCAGCCCAGCAAAACCAAGATATTGCACGTTTGTTCCCAGTGGTCCTTCCTCAAGGAGTGTTGGTCGTTACATGTCCCAGCATCTTTAGGTATACACAGTCAGCGATTCTGACATCAGTGCTGATGACTGAATAGAATACGGGGATACACTGAGACGCCCCTTGACGGTGGATTGGACAAGGAGATGATTTGTAGATTAAGGTATGCTCTACACCAAACTTCTGGTGTTACGGTGATGCCATGCCAACAGGTACATGTATGATATACGAGTTAAGAAGCTTGATGGAGCCTGTGGTTTTGTTGACTTGAACATTGGAAGGCAAAGTCAGTGAATGCTCATCGTTCTACATCAATTCTTACATGTTCTCAGACAATGCGATTGGGGAATTGCAATCATCGGAGAATTACACTTTCAGCAATGCGATGTGTGACCTTCTCATGAACGGAAATCTTCTCGCAGCTTTCCAAAGGATCTCGAAAGTCGTCACCAAGAATTGGGGCTTCCCAGATGTGGGCATGTTCGAGCGGAAATATCGCAACAGGATTCCTTGACCTCGGCTGTTCTTCTTCTACCCACGAAACTTCAACCTCTAACAATGTTCTGTATTTTAGTTGGTAATGTTAACCATGTTCGAAAGTGCATACACTTCTTAAAGAGAAGATGGGCTGTGGGCTTCTATTCCCCTAACCTGACTGACTAACCCATCAAGGACTCTCATTCCAACGAAGTTCTATTTGTCTTCACATCAGCCAATTAATCGTCAGACTCGTCCGCGTCGTTGTCATCTCCCTGCAATGCAGGTCAAACCAACCAGGTTCGTCAGTTACTCCTCTTCTTGAAACTCTTACCTCCTCCTCATCATCGTCATCCTGTAGGGTATTTGGTCAAACATTTTGACAGGCACTTGCATCGACTTCACACCTCATCTTCGTCGATAGACACCTCCTGCTCTTCCATACGCTTCCTGTGCTCCTCAAACTCCTTTTGACGAGCTTCGTTCAACTTTTTCTGGTCAACAAAAAACTCCCTGTCAATTACTACAGGAGTGAAAAACAAGCTTTGGTCGGACCATGTACTCTGTCATCTGCCCGTGAGGGAAGTTTTTGCAGGTGTTACCATCAGCATCCTGCCAATCTTCCTGTGCTCCTGCATCAATCAGCATCTTGATCGCCTGGGAGTCTTGTAAGTGTCGTGCAGAGTACACAACATGCGTCCTGACCTCCTCGTTCTTGGCCTCATGAGCCCAGAACAAAGGACCGCGGCCGTCAGCAGATCTCAACATAGCATTGCCGTCGTCTTCTTCCAGAAGTTTCTGTTCCCGATCAGGTTGCTGCTACAAGAGCAGAAGGATTACCTTGAGCTCATCGTTTTCGTTGGAGGTGATCACCCTCCACAACCTACAGACAGCAAGTCAACGCGCACATGGAGTGAAAACGGAAGATTCGGCAACAGAGGAAAGTGGGTGATGAGCATGAATCAGCAGGCATGCGACAGCGATGGCTCGAGCCAAGAGAGGATTCAATGATCAGACTGAGATATCTTCACAGGTGCGAGCAACGAGCACAACAACGACATAGACAGGAAAGATGGAGTTAGGACAGTAGTGGGGATCCTCGGGATCCTCCTACGAGATATCCTACTTGGTCGTGACCTCAGTGTCCTTCCAACTGGGGTCAAGCTCAGCCGCCACCGCACGGCATAGGAGAAGGAGAAGAATGAAGCGCGACATAGGCGAGGATGGTGCTGGGCACCGAGGGTGGTAACGTAAATGGGTGGGGTGGACCAAATCCATTGTGTGAGTATACCCCCAAGTTTCGGTAAATTTCATGTGTATATTACCGGTACTTGAAAAGAGTGAGGGGTTGTCCAATAATTGCTGTGGGTGTAGGATGTGAGGAGGGTAGGGTCTCTGATGACCTGGCGAGAAATAAAGTACCGGTACTTTGTATGTTAATGTTAGGGGTACTATCAATGACCCGAGTATGTACGGGGTCCAAATTGAGCCCCAGTTGGGGTAGTGAGGTCGTGCGGATTTTCGGACCGTTGCTTTCCGTTACTACCAAAACTTCAGGCGTTATGAAGAGCGTTAGAGCCATTTTCGTGAAGCGCAATGGCAGATGAGCGGAGCATCCGACCGGCAGGAGAGGGCGTGAGGCGACTACATGCTGGACTAGACCCACGAACAGGTGGTGTATATGTAGATGAAGACTCAGACGACCTCTTCTCACGACATGTGAGCTGTAAATTTCTATATACAGGGTTCGCGTTGATCGTTGGACACAGGAAATCGAGCTTTTCATGCTTCGTGGACATGGACACGGAGATGTGCAGAATGAGGGAGATGATATTGAGGGGCATGATGAAGAGGATATGTCAGCTCAAAATGATGTACGAATGAGCAACGAGGAGGGGTTGACTGTCGTTAACTTCCAAGGATGCCCACCAGAAGTCCTCTCACGTATCAGAGTTGAAATCTTGCAAGAGAATGAAGGAGAAGATTGCTCTATATGCTTATCTACGATATTTCAAGGAAATCTAATGGCCATTCTTCCGTGCTCTCACCGATTCCATGAACAGTGTGTCTTGCGATGGCTGAATCAGAGCAGAGCCTGCCCGTATTGTCGGTCAAGGATCAGTTGAAGTTGTACAGTTTGTGATTGTTTCAATAATGTATGAGTAATTTACAGTCATCCTGCTTTCCTGGGCTTTATGAACACAGCACCGTTCAACCGCTAGAAGATATGCATTTTCCTTGCAGAGAGGAATACGTACTCGATCATATATGATGACTTTCGACAATGAGTCTTTTCCTGCGGTCCATGGTGTGAGCAAACAGTTTTGAGATCGCATCTCCGGTTGTTGTCTTCTCTGCCCTGTGAGCATCATAAGGTCAAACCTCACAAGTTCCTTGAAGTACGTGAGATTGAGGAGGGATACAGGAAGCCCTCGACAGGTTTTGCCGAGACTGAGATTTCCCTTAGACGGCTTTGACGAGAAGCTTCCTTGAAGTCAAACTGAGAACACCTTGAAGCATCGTCTCACCTGCTCATGTTCTTCGCTGCGTCTTTGAGGATCTTCTGCTGCCTGAGCCACAGTGAAAGGGGGTAGCGACAAGGTTGTGAGGGCTTGAGAAAGAAAGATGACAAGACAGATGAAATACCCGTTGACGTCCACTTTTAGTTCGTATGACGCTGGCTGAGATTCCGTGATGATCTAATACTCTGTTAAACGACAAGGTGTGGGACGAAGAAAGTTACTGTGATATAAAACTTTGAAGCTTTGTAAGATGGATGGGTTGGTTTGACCACAATCACTTTGTCTGCTCCGATGTAGTTTGCTTTCCAAGTGTGTTTCTGCTCGCAGGGATGCGCCTGAAAGCTGTCAGGCACGAACAGGTGACTGCAACCCTCCTGCTACCTCAACATCGCAGTACATGTTGAGAGAACCTCCCGGGGACACGGTGAAGATAAAGCATCGGGGAATGGTCAGCTTGTGTACATGAAGGGAGAGATCAAGCTCGTAGTTGATGCACGACGATTCCAGCAGATGTCCCTTGACTGAAGTCTTGTTCATGCTCAACAAAGACCGTGTACTATCAAATGTGATCTTGTTCGTGACAAAGTCTTCGGGAGACAATCTCACAAATCCTGTCGCAAATCACTTCAAATTTCCAATACAACATGAGAAAGACCAGTCCACGGCCTCCAGCTACGATTTCCCTTCGAACGATTCAGTGCAGCTCTGTAAAGGAAGCAAAAGGTTAATGTGGTGCCGTCCACGGACAGGACAGAAAGTACTCGAAGTCGAGACTCTTGGCTGTCGCCATCATTCCCTGCAGTCGATCATGCGAGCTCACAGGTCTTGTTGAGCCATATTCTTCCTCAAGTCTCAGACTGGTGTCGCTGCCTTGAGACGGAAGGGTTTCCGGTCGCTCATCCTTGCTTCTAACGGTTGTCGACTTGAGATGCTGGAGCTTCAGGATTGACTTGGGCGGGGAAGACCAGTCAATTGTAGCTGCTTGATACTGTCGCGTTCCTCTGGGACTCGTGATCTGAACCTTCCTCCGTGTTTGGCTATCTTCCAATGTCAGCAAGATCACCGTCTTCCCTCCATCGAACTTTGAATCGAAAGGTTTGTCGAGCATACCCTCCACCTTGACCACTCCGCTCAGCTCGTGTTCTGCTAGTATGACTACAAGCTTGTATTCTCGTTGTCGCCTATTCACAAATTCATGGAAATCGAAACCGGCTTCCTCTTGTTCGACAATCTTGTCTGACTCATCGTCGTTTTGCTGCTCTTTCTGTTGTGTTGGGTTTAGAGATTGCAAAAAACTTTGAAATTTCATTTTTCGCTTCAAGTCAATTTTCCGAGACGAGCCCAAGAGATTCTGAGTTTCAACTTGACCTTGTTTTCTGTCGCTGCAAGACAATTTCAATCGAAGAAGTCCAGTTTCCGGTCTAGACTGAGATGTCAAATATTCGTCAAGAGAAGCCTCTTGAGCCCTCTCATTCAATTTGGCATATTTTACATTCTGAAAGTAAGAATTTGGAATCTTCTGCTTGATTTCCATCAGAGTATAGAGAGTCCTCACGTCACTTGTTTTTGACAGATCAAACTCGTAATTTCCAAGGATCCTCAAGGTGTCTGGGCACAATCCAGGACCAAGTCGCCTCTGCAAAATCTCGACCGAAGGTTTGTTGAAGCAAGACAGAAGAATGACAGGGATCTGGCGCTCTCTATCTTTCAAGCGAGAAAACATTGCAATGAAGTGCTCAATCTTTTCTTGGTCGTCGACGACATCTTCCAAGAGTGTCACAGCATGTCGGCCTTCAAACAGCTTCGAAAACCAGTTAGTGACACCAAGCATGAACAATTCATACATACGAATGTTCCACAAGCTTCGCGGATCAAAAACATTCTGTCGGCACTTGAATTTGCATGCAGGAAAAGCTTTCTCAGTCGTCTGAAATCCTCCTTGGATATTGTTGGAATATCTGCAATCTCAAGGTCGATGAAATCGAATCGAAGTACTCCATTATCGGGAAGAGACAATTTGTCGTTCCAGTTGATTGCTAATCGTTGCCCATCCAAGCTTTCATTCCTCCAATTCTCCCCTCCGCTGCGGTAGCCATGCTCTATCAGAGGCTTCAAGTTGGATCTGTGTTCGTGATTAGCCAAGTCGAATACGTAAGGTCCCGTTAAGCACGAGGAATTTAATGTCTCGCTCTGCAAATCGATTGAATTCAACCCACAGTGATCGAGCTGTGCCTTCAAACCCTTGATCTTTGCCACCTGCATGATACTCCTGACTCCGTTGCGCAATGGATTCCATCGCATGATAATGCATTCAAGTCCTGAATTAGCTTTCAAGCTGCTCGAAATCTCTTCGCAACATTCTTCTGGAAGATTACAATTAGAGACGTCGAGAAAGCGAAGTTTCCCATTTCGCCTCAGCATTTCAGTCATGGCTATTCCGCCTCCATGACCGATGTAGTTCCAATTCAACGAAAATTCTTCGATGCACAAGTTCTCTTCTAAACTTTGAAACAGACTGACGCTTCCTTGCTGCAAAATGTGATTCCAAGATAAGTCTAGGATCTTCAAAGTAAGATTTCCTCTCAATGCATTAGCCAAGAAACACGCGCCATTGTTTGAGATTCGGTTGTTGGAAAGATTCAACTCCTCCAAGTAACAAGTGTGGAGGATTTGAGACAAGTACTCCACCCCTCGATCTCCAAGATGATTCGAAGACATGTCGAGGTGCTTCAACGGATGATTGTCTAGTGCAATTCCCAACGCTCTTCCAACGCCATGGGTCAAGCTAGTCTGAGACAGATTCAGACTCTCAATTCTTCTGTTGGCAGCCAATGCATCCAATAATCCTGGCGTATCTTCTTTGTGACTAACGCAACCTGAATCCGTGATCGGGTTGTGGGACAAGTCGATTCTTGTCAAGACGTTGGATCTCATAATTGCTGCACTCACTGCCTGTGTCTGGGTTGCAGTGACCCCTACGCCTTGTAACGCGAGAGTCTCTTTGCCGCTTTGCAGATCATGCAATACAGGATAAATCGGGCGGATTCCCAGAGTCATGCAACATTTCAAATAAGTTGCAACTCCATCAGAATTATGTTGGTAGTACTTCTCATCATAGGTAGCAACATGTCGCAACACTCCATTCCAATCTCTGATCCCTCTGATCTTCCTGGAATCATCAAGCAGCGGGACCTCATGCAATCGACGGCGAGAAGGACTGTTTTGACTGTCAAACGACGAGTCTGTAGATGAGTATTGAGAGTTCAAATACCCTATCAGAGCGTCTTGATCAAAAGATAAGTTAGATGGCGTCCCTTCTGCTATCGTTACGCTGAGATTTAACAGGGGGCGGAGCAATATTGGATTCATTTGGATGATGCGATAGATGGATGCTTCTGGTATTTGCAGGATTGTTGTATCGCCAATGCATTTCAGCTGACAGTCATTTCTAGTATCATTACTAACTATCGGATTCCAGATCAAGCTTTTCTCTGTAAATACCTTACCAGGCACATTATCCAGCATGAGATGCATTTCTCCGCTAAGAACCTATCAATCATTAGAAATCCAGATCAAGATAAGAACAATGAAACCAAGATCAGAAATCCTGTTGTGTCGGAAAAAACAGTTTCATCACCCAATGTTCTGTATCGAGACTCGCTTGCAATCATTTGAATATGGTCCCGATCCCATTCTGCAAAGCACTGATGGTTCACCAAAGCCTGAACTACACCAAAACATCACAACTCGTTTGCCTGTGTCGACACATGTCTACCTTCGGTGGAGTGCTCGGATGAATCATCATCGATTTCCTGATTCTTCTTTTGTTGATCAGCTTGAACTTTGAGGAGATATCTCAGCATCTCCAGGTTCTGCCGTTCTTTAGCTTCTTGAATTGCATCAATGCTCATTTTGTTTCGGATTCGTAAAGAAGCTCCGGCAACGAGCAGAGATTTTGCAATGTCCACATGACCCAGACTGCTGGCAAGAATCAAAGCAGTATTTCCGTTCTGATCAGTGTCGTCGAGCACATGCCTCCTGGCGTTTCTATCTTGCATTCTGTCCAATGCATACTGTAGAATATCTCCCCGGCAATACTCCACACATACCATCAAAAAGCTCTTTCCTTGCTCGTTGCGGATTCTACAGATATCTTCCATGGTCCCAACCTTGAGCGTTTCGAACAGGTATTGTAAGACATCATCAGACCCCTGCTCCACCGCGGCGAGCAGACATTTCCTGTTCTCCGACTGCCTGGTACAGATTTCGCTGCTGAGCGGGCAGTTGCATGACATCAGTGTTTTTGCCTCCCGGCTTCGAGCCGCCCAGCCTATCTACCTCAAGTTAGCTGCTGCAGGTGCTGAGCTCCTCCCTGCCCTTCATTTTCCCCTGTCCGCCGTCCTCTCCCTCCTGTGCTGCTCTTGCTTCCATGCCGTACGGTCAGGCACTAGCTACCCACGGCCCGACATGCACCGCCCCGCTAAAGTCACGGTGGTAAAGTCATGGCCCAAGTTGGCCGGGCAGTTCTTTGAAACTTTGAAACGTTGAAACTTTGATTCCAAACTTTTAACGTCACAAGTTCGATCGAATCCAACACGGGGGTGGAACTGCTATATTCGATCTGACAGACGGGCCAACCCCTAGTGTGGGAATTAACTGGTACAAATATTTAGTTAAATACCCCCCCTCCTTTCCTCATCGCGCCTCCATGCAGAGCGTTCGGGGCACTATGGCGGGGGATTTAGGGGGTGCTGCATGCCATGGCAGGGTGTCACGAGAAAATTCAAATCAAATTTTTGGCGGGCAAAGCTATGTTGTCCTACACCATGGGCAGGCCGAGGCCTCCAGCGAAGAAAATATGCTCATCATGCCACAGACGACGAGAAATGACCAGCATTCGAAAGTGGCATGGTGTGTCTATGTGCACAACTTGTGTTGCAAGGTTGAAAAAACACAAGGATTGCAATGATCTTGAGCAGATCTTGCTCTCTCAATGGGATGATGCCTTGGTTTTCAAGCTGTTGGATTTCTTGCAATGCCATGGCCATGCAACTTTATCTGTGGAGTGTGAAGACGAGAATCTTTTAGTTTCAGCGACCCATTACCTCAAGTGGAGTCTTCGTTCTGTATCCTTGTATGAAGTCCAGAACAAACTAAAGGTCCTCGGAGATGTCTATGGGCCTACATCAGAAGGATTTTCGAGATGTTTTCTCCAGCACTACATGCAGGTTTTCGAACAACAAGCATCTGGCAAATCACATGGAGGCACAAAGGCCATTTATGAGCACTTGAATCGACTTCGTACACGTATTGGCAACATTCACAGGAAGAATCGAAACCTTCTTTCTCGCATGGAAGAATGGTCTAGTGCTCACTTCGAGAATTTGAATTCATTGCAAACTACTATACACGATTACTTTGTGAAGTAAGTCTGAGATGTTGCTTTCTTTCCATGCCAGTGACCTGACGATCATTGTACAGGTATGCAAGAATGTCGGATGAACATGTTGACACAAGTGAGAGTCTTCCAAACAAGCATGCCAAGGCGCAATCCGAACTGTTCATTCAGACAGTCCTTGAAACTTTTAGAACCCTTGACAGCCACACCCGATGTGACATGATTAGAAGGATTTTGAGTGAACACGACTCTCTGTGTCAAACACATGACAAGAATACAGAGCATGAGGTATCTGCGATATGTAAATTCGAAAATGCTGTTTCAAATCTGCATGCTGCTGGATTGCCGGATATACTTTCGGAGTTAGTAATCTTTGCCAGAAACGACATCCAAGCTTTCAAAAGCACACATAGAATCATGCCTTACCTCGTCATGGATTGGTGTCATCAGAGCTTCAGAGCGAAAGATTCGAGGGGCATGAGATTCTCTCCGGAGGTTTTGAAAAAAGAGAGATACGTATTGTATCCACAATCGGTGGATATCATGCTGAAGATGTTCAGTGACAAGGCCATCAGTCTACTAAAGGCAGAAGGACATGAAGCGACAGCAAGAATGGCAGAGGCTATGTCTGGCCTGCACAAAGCATTCGATGAAAGAGGGCTGAAAGTTTCAGAGAGGATACGTCTCGTTCAAGAGGGTCGAAAATGGCTATTGGAAGGCATCAACTGGACCAGTGTCAGCCAAAAACATGTCAAGGGACTATCATCTGTAACATTTGAAGGCTTCATACTTGCAATTGATACTCATCTGCAAGTACAACAGTATGTGAGGGATAAGAATCATGCGCTGGGTGATAGAGACTATGACTTCAATTCACGAACTCTCTGCACGGATAGTGTAGAGAATCTGTGGTCCTTGATCGGCCATCTGAACAAGAAGGATTTTCTGAGAAAATTCAATCAGGCATGCATAGAATTATCTAAAAAGGTGGATCCAAACCTGCCTTTTGTATACGAGCATTCGAAGAAGCGAATTGTCCTGAGCAAACCGCACGACCGTGAAGCTTTCAATGCACGGGATGGATCTGATAATGATGTGGAGCCACACAATAGTACGCAGAAGAACAATCGAAAGCGAGTATATGCTAAATCAGGGCAATGGGATGAAGGATTAACAGGTAATATGCAACGGTTCCGGGGATTGCGTAGCATTGCTGGCTGCAAGTAGAAAAAAGAGAGATACATATTGTGGAAAATATTAAACACTGCTACGATGCAATTCAAATGATTGATACCATGATATAGATTTTACAATTTCCTGATAGGCTATGGTGGTTTCACGATTGTCATCATTGCACAGGCTGAGTAAATCATCCTTAAACCTGGTCGCCGCCTTGCTGCCATTGCGATTTCCTGCAAACTCACCCACCCCCTCCTGAAAAGGTACCCCCAAAATATCATACAAAAATACCGGTACTAGACCCTTTTATTGGGAGTTCCTCCCCCGTGCGAATCCAAATGATTATTCCATGGTTCAGGCATCATCCGCGTCTCCACTCCAAGGCCCCTTGTATCATGTGCGCGCAGGAGCAACGATGGCAGGGGCGCCGCTGGAGGGAGAGCGGAGAGGGAGGGAGGAAGAAAGAGAGGAGGAATGATGATATGGAGGGAGGGAGGTAATCCAACGGATTGATGTCGCTGCCGACCTCAAGGAGTTGCCACATCCCCATGCTGAGGGACTTGCTCCTCCTCACTCTAGCGGCGAATGCGATCGCGTCACATTCGACGTCGGTTGCTAAGATGCAACCAAGCTCTCTGGCTAGAGACAGAAGAATGATGCCGAATGGGCTCGAAAGTAATACTGTCGGAGACGCAAACACCTCGCCTTTCATCGAAGGATTGAAGAACAGCTTGGCATCGGGACTGGCTTCTGCTGCAGGAAAGGTAAGTAGATGAAAGAGTTGCTCGCTTCCCCTTCCCCTGGTCCCATCATCACTGATTCGAGATACTTGAAAGACATTGTTGCATCCCTTTGACGTCATCAAGACTATTGAGCAAAGAAGCCATGAGAAGCTGGTGTTACACGGCCCTGTGCTCACTGTGTTGGTGATTCGTGCTCTTAAACAGGGAGTATGGGAGGCTGGTAGACGCGTTGTGAAGGAAAGCGGATTCTGTTCTCTGTTTACGAGGTCGTTGTTTGCATCTTGCTGCGAGTGTTCTTGTGATCATATCGACAGGGGTCTCGATGTGACACTGATAGGGTCTGTCCCCTCGACGGCTGTCTATTTTGGGGTTTATCAATTCTTGAAACGGAAGTTTACCCAGCAACTTGGTCTGGAGTACAAGTTGACAGCAGTTGCCTTGAGCGCATCCACTGCAAACTTCATTGCAGCCTTCTTCAGGGTGCCAACGGAGATCGTCAAGCAGCGAGTGCAAGCTGGGATGTACCCAGATGCAACCTCTGCACTGAAGCTGTGAGTAGACATGTTCTGTATCGGAGGGGCGTGATTGAGTACAGAATCTTTGCCGATGGAGGTTTTCTGGCGTTTTTCGAATTGCGCTCTGTGATGGTGCAAGTTTTTCGTGATATTCCTTATGCCGTTGTGATGCTTCTAACCTACGAGGTAAACATTTCTTGGAGCAAATGTGTTCTGATAAGCATGCAGATCCTGCATAGCCTTTTCAGAACAAATGTTTTCGGTAGCAGCAGAGGTGTTGTACACCGAGTATGACTTGGGTGGTAGAAACGGAAGCAAAGCAAGGGAGGGGGGACGATAGCAATCTTGCGGCTAAAACAGCAACAGCAAGCGTGAAGGTAGTGCCATTTTGATCGTGACCAGAGCAATCTGATCCTTGGTAGGGTCTCTGGATCGGCGCGACTGCAGGAGCTCTTGGAGCCCTGGTGACAACGCCGTTAGATGTGGTCAAGACACGATGGTTGGTAGACCGCAAGCAGTATCGGTAGCTCAACCTGATTTCTGATTTTTACTTTTGACGTCAACTTGATAGAGGATTGGTGGACGTCATCGTACGAACATGGTTACACGAAGGTCCTGCCGCTTTCTTCAAGGGGGTGATGTGGACTTCGTGGTGCATGCACTATCTCTGATCTTGAACCAGGCTGTTCCACGTGTAGCTCAGAAAATTCCCTCTAGTTCCATATTCTTCCTCCTTTACGAGCTCTTCAGAACCATTTTTGGTGTGAAGCGATGACATGCAAGAGAAACTAGACGGAAACTATCGATCGCTTTTGGATGAATACTCCTCTATTATTGATATTTCGCCAAGACGACCCCGGACCCAAACATGCTTGCTACTTGATCTTACTTTCCACAAGAAAACAAAATCTGGCTTTTGAACATTTTGACAGAACTCTATTTCACCCTACAAAAGCCACGCTGGCGCCGGATTCATCACCACTAAGAATTTCTCGCTGTCGCTTGAAATCTTCAGTTCACATTTGCCTTTATCACCTCCGCCAAGTCGGGCCACTTGGCTGCTTCAACTGCATGAGTTTCCGTTGTCGAATCGGTGCAGGATTTTGAATCCAGAAGATCTCAGGCTTTGTTTTGGTCTGTTGATCCAATCAGATAACAAGTATACAAGATCTTGAACCACATCGTCACCTTATAGAACAGATCTTCTAGCCGCTTCGGAGCAGCGGACACCTGGAGAAACAATGGTCAACTACAGGATTCAGGAAAGAAAAGGCGAAGCCAAACTTACCCCTGGAAAGGAAGATTTTGGAGGAGCATCTGGCGGGAAGCCTCTACCTCTCTGGATCCTCCCGCTGCCCCCCGACGGTGGTCCTGAATCACCAACAGGACCTGATGAGCCAAATCCTGGGGCAGATCTGCGAGGAGCTGTGTCCATTGGACAAATAAGCAAACATCGCCAACTCAAGAGGTACTTCTGGCAAGATTACCTTCGTTTGACGAGCCAAACGATCGTTGGTCACCTCCACCTGATCACAGCTATCAGATCTGCTCTCCTAATCCTGAATCATGTACCTGGAATGCGGCCCAATCGTGAGGAAATTGATCCAGACGGCTCCTTCTCGACAATCTTCTCAGCGTCGTCGCGGGTTGTGAAAGATATTTGCAACCTAGAGAACTATCAACTTATAGCCCAGCATTTGGCATAGGTCTTAAACCTTCCAGGTGTGTGAGAATTCGCGGGCCAGAATACATCATAAAATTCCGACCTCACAGCTGCAGCATCCTGTTATCGTGGTTACATCAAGAACCAAAAGACTTGATATAGGAATACCTCTTCTGTTTCAAACTCTGCAAAGCACAATGATTTGATCCTATTCAACCAAAACCATGTGATTTCCCTGTTTCCTTGTTCACTAAGGGCTTCTCGCAGCTGCTTATCAGTAAAAGGTCTTTTCAAACCTTCAATCTAAAAAATGCGAGTTTATCAAAGAAAGTTAGGTATTGTCATGTCGAGGTCACAGACTGAAGAGCGCATTCGCCAAGGGGATTACCTTGAGCACATTAGTCGGATCCTCCTCCGGAGGGTCCCGTCTAGGCATCTCTTCAGCAGCAATTTCCTCGGTCACTGCTGCATATCTCGAGTTGCCACGACCGCGAACCCCCTGCGGAAAATCAGATCACGACTAGAAGACATCGATAGTATACATCTGGTCTCCTTCTAACATTTCGAGAATCAGAGTCATCCTGAGATCTGTTGCGGTCAACCTGATTTCATAGGCCATATGTTAGAGCAGGACGTCAGAAACCAGCGCAACCTACCTGGTTGTCATCGCTCCTCTCAGTACCAAACCTCTCTTCTCTCGAACGCTTCAATCGATTGGTTCCCTCCTGGAATTTCTCGTTTTCAGAAATTCGCAAGAGTCATTGATTCAATTAAACCTCGGGTTTGGTCGTGGATATGACTCTCTTGCCTCCACCTTCCTCATTCCCTGTGCACAAGTAAACAACAGATCATTAAAGATTTTTCAGGAATGGAAAAAGAATTCGCATACAACCAGGTGCAACGGGACAGTCAGTGCGGAACGAAGATCTTCTCAAAGATGAGAAGAACAGGAGGGCGGATCACAAATATGAAGTTGGAGGCATGACAGTGATTCTCGTGGAGGAACGATCATGGCAGGAAATTTTGACATGGAAAGAAGAGGAGGACAAGGGGCAGGAGGGAGAGAGGTCAACAAGGCACATGCTGTATATCAAGAGAGAAATGTAACATAACAGTGGAAGGTGGATATTAAAGAGATCGCCATCCTTGCATGCGTTACCTGATCCTGCCGATGCTGCGTCTGGCATGGCAGCGGCTTCTGCTTTTTTTCCAGAGGGGGAAGCACGATTTCAAAACTTAAAATCATATATTTGAAACTTGACCTCAAAATCTGAAATGATTGATTCTGAGCCCCTCTTTTCCCCTTTGAATGTGTCGGGTGGGTAATAGATTTCAAGCAGAGATTCGGATAGAACTCCCAAAAGCGGTTGTGGTTTGATAGGGTAGGGTTTTAGCACGGGGGTCCTCTGACCACCCGGTTCATTAAGGATGGAAAAGGAAAACTTACCTGGGTGGATTGAGACCCATGTGCAAATTTGGGGGGGTAGGGTCATGCTCGCATGCACCCTACCTTATAAGTATAAATTTATATTATAAAATTTCTACCAATATCAGTACCAAACAAACTTCGCTCGTAGTACATTGGAGTTTTAAACATGAAAAAAAATGATTTAAAAACTTTCCTTTTTAAAACTCCGCCTTGGACTTCGCGCTTCCTAGCCCGTCATGTTGCGATGGCGCGACAGGGAGAACGACATGGTGGAGGAGCTGCCCAAGAACGACGGAGCTTTCTCCCTTCTCCAGCTTCCTAAGGAGCTCTACGAGAAGGTAGGAGAGCGAAGGGTTGAAAGCTGCAGAAGAGCTTCCCTCTGAGTACCTCCTTGTTCCAGATCTCGTCGGACTCCGAGGTGGTGTTCAAGTTTGTTGGAAGAGATGATGAAGAAGCCGTGTTGATCACTGAAGACAAGACGTATTCTGTTCGAAAGGGGGAGACGTCGAACATGCAAGTGTGTTTGTCTTTGGCTGTCTATATCTTGTAAACACCCTATGCAGATCCTAATCCATTCGAGCATGGACGAGATGTTAGCAAGGCACAACAAGGAAAATCGTCAGATTGATGATGGTAAGTCTATGTTGTCTTGACCCATGCTGAAATTGACCTCGGAGTAGAGTGTTCGAGCTGTACAAATGCTATTGTCAATGTCATGAGTCAGTTCGAGCTCAGTATCACGAAGCCGCGATTGCGAAACCTACCCGCCTACCTGTCGCGGTACGAGTACGAGGGACCAGATGTAGATGAAAACTCGAGTGAAGAAGAAAAGTCAAGGCGGTTGAGCAGAAAGGATCTGGAGTCCATGCTTCAAGCAAGCCCCAAGGAGATTGAGGAAGAACTTGACAAGCTGGGTGCCCTTGAAATAGATGGCAAGGTTTTTTTTTGAGCCCGATGAGTCTAGACACTATTGCTGATATTTTACAGATGTGCCTCATGAGCCAAGTATACGAGTCGCAGCTCATGACTTTATTCCTGTCCACAGCAGTTCTCAATTCATGGGACTTCAACTCTGTCACCCTAGAACAATGTCTGTCAGCTAGCGATTTATCGGAATATCCGATGTAACATGCTATACCCTCCTGCACACATTTTTCCATGACCCGTGATTCCAGACATGTAATCACTAAATTTTTCAAGAAGTACACGCAGCCGATTGAATCCAATATGGAAATCGATAGTTTTGAAAAAACTCCAAGGAAATTGGACATAAATGCGCTGGCGCTCTTTCGGTGAGGAACTCGATGGATATCGGAGAAACCTCACAGCACTGAAATGGCATCCCTGCAGTGCCGACGAACTTCTGAGCAAGATCTCGCCCTCTGTAAGGTTTACTGTGGAGGAGTTTATCACGGCATGGACTACCATGCTTCCAGCTGGGGTGAGTCCGTTTCAGGGTTGTCTTCGCAACTAAGATTCAGCAGACGACCGTCAATATGGACATGCTGAGAGGAAAGGCGATTGCCGAGAACAAGGGGGGTCAGGTGAATGATATGCGAACATGCAAGTGGTTTGTGAACTGCGGATCCAGAGTTTCGTGAAACGTTTTCATTCGGAGGATTTGAGCATGGACGTCAAGCAGAGATTCAAACAAATTTTCCAGCAAAACTCGTTTTGGACTCGTGCAGACCTTCTGCCATACCTGGAGGGAATTGTTGGACCTGGAGCCACTGCGGATCAGCTGCTATTGAAGCATGCGAGGATGAACAGACAAACAGGTCCAAGTGGGGAAGAAATCAGAACATATTCGGCGAGATATTAGAGCAATGCTTGTTGTACCAGTTATCATTATTAGATAAAATACTTAGAAAACCTTTATAGTAAGGAGATAAGCCCCATCCAAGGGTGCACAGCATTTTTCGAATCAAGAAGGAAATCGAACCGAACAAGTGGACTCCATTTGCCCACAAAGCTGTGGGCTGGCGCCCTTATTGAGACTTGGCTTTCTTGGACGCCTTCTCTGGTTTCTCTGGTTTTGCACTCTTGCTGCTTGATGTCTTCGATTTTTTCAAAGTTTTCTCCTTCACTGGCGCCTCAGGCTTGTCTGCATCATACCTGCAATTCGCAATCAACATAACTAAGTTTCACATCTCGTTTCATTCACTTGGCCCTTTCTTCGGCATATTTCTCCTTCAGCTTAGCTGCTTCCTTTTCATAAACCTGTGCCATTAAGCTAAGAAAATACTTGAGATCAACAAACATCAACCTCTTTCTGCTGTGCAGACATTCCGTTCCAGTCCGCAGCAATCTTAAAAATGGGAGATTTCAGTCAAGCACTTATTCAAAGTGATCGATCTCGTTACCTTCTTGCCCATCTCAGCAAAGGTCAATTCAGGGTTGGCACTCTTGATCTTATCTCGGACCTTCTGCGACATCAGCAGGAAGCAGGAGAACCTGATGAGATATTGCCTGGTTGGAATAAATCATGAAAGCTGACAGTGGCCGTTTTGGTGCGTTCGGATCCTTGGCGGGTTTTCCTGAGGAGCCTGTTCTCAAATTTTGAAGGTGAAGGAATCAAAGGGAACCTTCTTTCTTCTTCTTGGCTTTCTCTGTCCTTTCTTTCCGAACTTCTTCTGGGACCTGAAGAAATCGTGAAAAAAAACACTTCACAGCATTCAAAAAAAGTGAAACCTTGGCCTCGTATTCTGCCTTCTCCTTCTCATATTCTGATTTGAGTTTCGCAGCCTCATTTTCGAACTTCTTCTTTCCATCTGCAACACGACATCAAAACAAGTTTCGTGGATATAAGACAATAAGTACCCGCACTCAAAACTTTCCACTTGTCACCGATTACTTTTGAAATCTCTGTCATCTTGGATGAAGCAATTGAGCACATAACAACACAAAAACATAATAATAACAAACCTTCATTTCAGGATTTTTCTTTACGATGTCTGCCCTCACTTCATTCGCGTAAAGCATGTATGCGGACAAGGCACGCTTAGGCGCTTGAATATCCTAAAGTTTGCAGATCACGATGCAAGATGTCAGGGTAAATATCTTTGATGTTATTATCACCTTGTACTTATCATCTTCTGCATTCTTTTTCTTTGATGCTCCTCCTCTCAGATGCAAGTTGTTTCTGTTCAGGGTCCTGCTGCATTGCGAACCACTACTCTTCTGGTATGCGTTCACAGAGCTGATCGATGCAAGAGTAATCGTTGCACAAACGACGAAGAAAACACACTTTGCGTTAGAGACCATCTTGCCGGGGATCATTTGTTTCTTTGAATAGACTTCAAAGAAGTCTTCAGAAGCAAAATCCAGGGACGACTCCGATAATGGTTGCCTCCAATAGTAGCTTTTCCTTGGGCCTTGTATTAGCCTTTGTCACAAGGATAGACGTGTTCAACTCTTCTGGACCTGCTTGTCTCTAATATCTGTATCCTCCTCTCTTCACCTCCTCTCCCTTGTGCTCTTCTGTCTTCTTTCGCTGCGCCTTCACCTCGCCCGGTCTGCGTCTCAGACTCGCATTTTCAAACCTCGTACCCGCTAATCAGAACTACCCCACCCCATCATATCCCTACCCTACTCAAGACTACCCCTCAATTCCATTCTTGCTGGATACTTTTTCTCAAGCAACAGATCACTTCAACCAGAATAAAAGGGGGTGGGGTAGGTTGACGAAGGGAAATCTTGGGGCAGCGATCGTCTACTACGTGGCTGGAGAACTATCCCCGATCAATGGGGCGATCCTAACTCAGGCATCTTTGTATGTCCTGGTAGCTATGGCGTGCTTTGGCCGCTAGTCGTTTGTGAGATGAGCGAGAAAGATCAGTGATGGGTGTTGGAGGCAATCGAGCATTGAATATCGTTGTTCTTACTGATTGTTTTCTATCCAGACTGCTGGCAACCTGTCAAAGTGCACGGACTTCAGTTGACTGAATAGAGACTCCTTGGACACGTGGTTGCTAAGTTAAGCATGGATCAAGCAAAGAAAGAAGTCATCTTGAGGGTGACGTTGGCTCGTACGACAGTGAAGGGTTCTCTGATCCCCAGCAGGTAGCGAAAGAGATCGTCGGGTCAAAACTCGTTGTTTTTAGCAAATCCACATGCGGGTTCTGCAGGTCTCCTTGGGCCTCATTGCTTTTGCTGCTCATGACATGCCATAATCTTCAGGGAGGCGAAAGAAATTCTCACGGATATGCTGGGCATGAATGCAAGTGCTATGAGGTTGTCTCGATGCTTTCCTGGCCGCTGTCCGTGGACATGGAGTGACTGGAGTTGCCTCAGAGTCGTCGAGCTTGACCTCATCGACAACGGAAGTGACATTCAACAAGTGTTGAGAATGATGACTGGGATCGCAACGGTACCTCTCGCCCTCTTTGTCTCAGATGGTGCTGACCGGGCTGAAAGGTTCCCAACATTTTCATCGGTGGGAAGAGCGTGGGTGGCTGCTCGGAACTGAAAGAGCTGAAGGGGAAGGGCGTTCTCCATCGCTTGCTGTGTGAGGTATCAGCGATCCGTTCTTAAGGCTTTCTTGTTCCTTTATGAGAGACTATAGGCCAGTCTTCAGCCTCTCAAGCCAGGAGATAAGATTCCCAACGTTCAAGTACAAGTGCTTCGATCTTCGAAGGATGGCAAGCTAGTGGCTGAACAAGTCGAAAGCTTGAAACTGTTTGAAGGTCGGGAAACCCGTGCTGCAAGTGCATTATATGACTGTCTCTCTGCCTTGCAAACAGGGAAAACAAGTGTTCTGTTCGGAGTTCCAGCAGCATACTCTCCATCGTGTTCGGAGAGACACTTGCCCAGTTACATTCAACATTTCGATGAGTTGAAATCCAAGGGAGTGGATCAAGTGTTCTGCATTTCGGTCAACGATGGTGAGCAGTGTCATCCATGATAGTGGATCTCGTTAATTCTTCGCCAAGCATTCGTTATGAAGGCCTGGGCCTCTAGCCATGACATGGACAAAAGGATTTCCTTCATTGCCGACGGTATTCCCCCCCGTCATCTGACGGCGATTTAAGTCCTGCCTCGTGATCAGGGAATGGAGAGTTGATCGAAAAGATGGGTCTAGCACAAGATTCCAGAAAAGCAGGTGAGCCCGTGACTTTGCGGGGGACAGTGTAGCTGAAAGGTGTGCAGGGATGGGAATGAGGTCAAGGAGGTTCGCATGCATTGTGAGGTCAGAGCGACTTGTTCCATTTCTGTGGAGCGTATTGACACTCTCTTTACTCTTAACTTTATGTTCAGGGATGGTGTTGTTGAGTACATGGCTATCGACAAACCAATGCAGACGGACATTTCTTTAGCTGATCGAATGATTCCTCATCTCTCCAAGTTGTAAGCTCCGGCAACAGCTCGTCATTTTTTGGAATCCGCGGCCTCTGATTCTTTCTCATCAGCCTATTAACATGTTAGATTATCATGCTTGAACTTAATGTTCAAAAATCAATTCTGAACAACCAGGGCTCGTTTCCTTGCATTCTGTTGTTTTTGTTTCTCAGCCTTGGCTAGTTTGACTTCGTCATCCTGGACGCGTTGCACGAAATCAGATGCAGAAATTTCAATTTCACGCAATAAGAAACTCTCCCTCCATTCACAAAGTGACAGAAAGCTCAACTCGAAGAAATCACCTCGTGCACAGGATTCAACGGCAAGGGGGCTGGTCCAGGCTGGATTGAGAAGGAACGGAGCTGGAGCAACACACGGTTACAAATGTCAAGTGACGAAATCATTTACAGACCTCATCATCTCGGAAATGCCGAAACTCTATTTCGTTATCTTTGTTGGCCTGCACGGTTTCAGTCCCTCACACTGTCTGAGGTGTGGACTTCTCACTCTATTCATGTACGCTTTAATTAATGGAGCAATTTGCCCTCTGATATCTGGAGCATTGTAGCGTGTTTTGCACACATCCTGAGCATTGTAAGGTGTTGAACAAGGACAACCAGAAAGAGGGGAGCAACCGGCAAGAATAAATGGAGCTCTTGGTCTTCAGGTACCTCTGACAGTTCCCTCATCGCAATATCTAATCCAGCCTGAAAAAGGACGTCACATCATTGAAACTGCTCCATCCAGTCGTGTGCATGGAGTTGTAAAAGATTGAAACATGCGAGCTTGCACAGTTAGAAGATGCTACACAAACTCGAGGAATCAACGGCATGAACGGCAGGGCATTGACGGAAGTTCAACAAGAAAGCAGAAAGAAATCAAAAGCAGAGGATCTCATTAGTGAAAATCTTGCAATGAGAATAGATGATACCACAACGAGAGCATAGCAAGAGCATGACAAGACTTTCCTGGTTGAACAGCTGCTCATGAGATGTTGCTCCCCCGTCTGCCATTGCGCTTGGCCTGTGCGCTCCTAGGGCCTCATCCCCCCACCTTGAACCATTTAAAACATCATCGCCCTCATTCCAAGTTCAACTGGGCCCGCCCGGGACCGTCGCAGCCGGGACGGTCCTGCCGGGAGTCCCGCCGCCCATGATGAGCTCCCGCAGCAGTCCCTCAGTGCCTCCCCGGCGGAGGGCTGAGCGGTCCTGGACGGCGGCCGGGCAGTCCGAGCCGGGTGAGGGTCAGAGTCCGAGCGGCCGGGGCCAACAGTAAGTTACTGCGGCCGGGCCCGCCGCGCCGGGCCCGGGCAGCGGTCAATCATTTTCTGCTGCCTTACCTTGTGGTCTATTCGCATGCTCTGAGGCAGGTGGCAATGAGCCGCAGTTGGGCTACTGAAGCTGCCGTTGAGACCGGTGAGATGGCGATGGAGACTGAGGAAGACCAGGGCGAGGAGCACGCAGAGACGAAGACAAGCGACAAGACAAGCGTGTGATGCTGATGATAGATGAAGACAGTAGAGCCTCGGATCGACAGAGCAGATAGTAGATGTTGACAGGATCTGAAAGACTCGACACAAAGCGCATTCCTCTGCCTCCTTGTTTGCGATCTCAGGCATTGAACATTTGACAGACTGAGCCGAGAGGATAGTGATAGACAAGAGTTTGAGAGGCAGACATGTTCAGATGATGAGGTGCTGCTGTGCTGATGTTTTGCTGGAAGGCTCATGTTAGAGCTGCAAGATGGCGTCATGTATCGGAGCCGTGAACAAGTCTGATGGAGAAACAATTGAAGTTGCAGCCGCTGCCAGCTTCAGTGTCGACTTGAGTTCAAGTGCGCAAAAGCGAGCAGAGGTCACGATCAGGGCGTGTTCGAACCTGGCGAGGACAGCAGCTCAACGGGGAAACTTTCAGAATGCGAGGAGTTTTTGTTGCTTCGCTTCTTCTATTCTTGATGAACTGATGGATGAATCTCGACGTGACCTCCGGTCACCAGACAGACATGAACAATCAGGTCCATACGTCGAAGGCATTGTTTGCAGCCCATCCTTGCATGACGGTAACCCCACCACTGTAAAGAGGAAAGAGAGCTGATAGATGGTGACAGGCACATTAGAGGCTAGCAGAGTTACCAACACGTGGGTTGCGCTTCTTGTGTTGACTCCCCTCCTCATGTTCTAGAAGGTCCAGTGAAGAATTCTCTGAGTGCAAGGAGAGGAAGGTCGATGACTCGAGACTGAGCCTGGCTGAAACGAGGCAAGTGGAACCGGCGAAGCTGATTGAGGTGAGCCTGACCTCGGACGTCAGTCACGTATGAATTTTCTCAAGTGTGAACTTTCTTGCCAGGACCCAGGAAATCTCAACGATGGGGCCAGGAAAGATCGGAACGAGAGGGCAAGACGTGATGGAAGAAACTTCAAAGGAGCTCGCGATCAGAGGGTGATGTTGCAAGTGAGGATGTGGGTGAAGGAAGACGAAGCTAGTTCACCTCGCAAACAGGTCTTGTGCTCATCTGATCGTCTCACCCTAACACACCGGACAGCATGCAGCAGCTGCAGCGAGCGACGAGAGCAGATGCGAGGACGAGGAGGCGAACGCCATGAGCTATCGGGCTATCCATCAGACGGCGTCGAAGATCTGCGAGGACTTAAACTTTGAGTCATTGTTACTGAAGACGAAGCAAGAGGCCTCGTCGAGGATTCAACGAGCTGTGAGAGTGTATTGCTCTCGCAAGATTTGCTCGAGGAGGAAGAGTGCGGCGATCCTCGGGAGTCACGTCAAGACTTGGTTGCTCATGTCTGACTGGACGGTCAGGAGAGGAGCTGCCCACTGCTTGCTAGCGGGTGTGAAGAGATTTTTTAGGGAGAGGAGCTTCAGGGCTATACAGCTGGAACGCGAGTCAAGCGTGATCGTGATACGGGAACGCATCATAGCACGGGTGATGCAGGACAGGTACCAGAGACTGCAATGTCGGCAGCAACTCGCGATTCAGAAACTGAGAGGGAGATTGCGATGTAACAAGTGCCGGAGGATTTATCAAGAGATCCTTGCATACAGGAGGAGAGCAGGGGAGATCCTTCAAGCAGCGGCCCTGAGGTTGTCAGCGCAGAGGGACTTCCCCTATCTCAAGATGGACATGCGCTCCGGTGAAAGTTTCTCATCCAAGATCAACAACATCCTCACCGGGCTCAGTGCGTGCGAGGACAAATTGTACTCGATGAGATGGAGGGCGGGCGAGGGAGCGACAAGTGTGAAGGAAGGTTGCGTCATCATCCAACGAGTCTGGCGGGGCCACCGGACAAGGATGAAGATCCGTCGCTGCTTCCAGACACTTGCTGCCATCAGAGTCCAACGGGTGTACCGGGGACATGCAGCAAGAGCGAGGCTGCGGAAAGCGCTCGGCCTCTGACAGGGTCCGACGGTCTAGCACTGGCAGTGCACAACGCCAGACTGTGTTGGGCCCCAGATCCTCCTGGTGATCTTAGTGCTGGAATGAAAGCCTGCCTCAGTCCGAGAGCACATGGAACATGCGTACCTGAAGCCGAAGATGTGCTCCGGTAGCGTCGTAAAGATCGGACGCACCTGCGAGCGTGTTTGCGTTAGTAGGGAGTACGAAGAAGAGCAGGAAGATGAGGAGTGAGATAGGAGGGGTTGGTGTTGTTGGAGGAGGAGATCTCAGGGTACAGACGTCTCTTCCATCGTCTGAGCTCACCTGAAGGGCCCCTGGAACGCTCCTCCGGGCAGACAGCACCTGTAGCTGCACGACCGTCCCCTCCAGCCCGATCATCTTGTCGAGGATCTGCCATGTCATTCTGTGTCAGCGGACGAGGAGAGGAGGCGAAGCCCCAGCACATACCCCGATGTAGTCCAGCTCTGCCGTCCTAACGCCATCGACCTAGAGGCCTCTAGAGTAAGAGGAGCCCGGCAGCAGGCGAGGCAAATGCGTACAGCCATGAGCACGTCCCCTATCGCCAGCCTCCCATCTAAGAACGCTGGGCTGGAGGAGGTGAAGCTCAGGCTGGAGGTAAGCATCAATAGCTCGCATGTCACCTGCCCGGAGTCAAGTTGATGATCATGAAGGGGATGGTGTGGGAGATCTCGAGGCCTGGGACCTGATGATCAGCAGGTGAGATGCTCCAAGTCAGGAGCCTCACCGATCCCATGGCACAGAGGCAGCTCCGTCATCATAGTCACCGGCAACTCGTCCTAGGACACGGCAAGTCAGACAAACATGGGAAGGACAGCTGTTGTCATGTACGTTTCTTGAGGGAGTTCTGACTAGAGGAGCCTCCGCGGACAACAAGGGAGAGAAGCTTGAGTTAGACTGGGGGGAAGCTCTCTGTTTCCATTTCCTCTCCTCCGCTACAGTCAATTTCAGCACGGACGATGTAATCGACCTGACACGTCACCGAGTTCGTTTTCAAGTTGAACCAAGAGAGTTCTCTGCGCTTTCATGATTGATTCCATCTTATCCAGCTGTGATGAGGTTATCAGAGGGCAATCAAAGTGTCCAAGTTTGGACCTGACTCTGCAGATCTTTCTTCTCTTCCTCCAGGAGCGTCTTTGCCATCTTCTCGGCTGCCAGCTCAACTATCGTTTGCAGATCAAAGGCTGATCAGAGCTCCAACCATTCCCCATACCGAGAGTTTTGTTTTGAGAATTCGTCTCGTCAAGACTTATGATCGTTGTGTTCTCTGCGGATGAAACAAACTCAGGATTCCCCTGACTGTGTTCCGGTGTCAAAGGCGATCTGACCTGCTTTCACGCTTCTGCTGGAATTTCCTGGCACTCTGGCCTTTCCAAGTTGCAGTTCTTTCCTGCAGCAGAATTCAACACGTAAGAAAGGACATTTGGGGTCTGCACATCAAAGACTGCTCCCTCTGCAAGCTTTCAGCCAGGTCTCTTCTCAAGAATTGAATGATCTGGCAGGAAAGGTCTCAACGGCCGGGAAGTGAATCCGGACATACCTGATGTAGCTCAGTCTCATGAGCAACTGCAGCAGCTCATTTCTTCAGCGTGTCATCACAACCATTTGCCGATTCTCACCATGCCGAATCAACTCAGACTCCAAGGACTCCGACAAGGAATTGAGGTAATTCATCTGCATCATCCGAGTCAGACAGGCTGTCAGCCCCGATGCTGCGCACATCTAGCAAGGTCTCCTGCTGCAAGGTGCTGTCCATTCCCACACCTTGAAGAACCAGGCAAGTCAGCAGAAAGGACCGGGGTTCGTCCGCTTGTACTCTGCAGAGCTTCTTCCTGTGGTTTGGGCTGAGCACAAGTTTCAGAATGGAGCAGTGGAGGGGTTGGAAAGGTCTACCCCGATGGCGCTTTGCAACGTTGAGCATGCCTGATGGGTATCACCATGATGAGACGATGACGCTTCAAGTGAAGTTGGTACCTTGGTTGCAAGATCCTTGATATCTTTGTTCTGCTGATCAACGCGCGAGGATACTTTGTAACAAATTTCATCAGGTCATGTAGACATGCAACTAAAACATGCAGACCAAGGAAACGATCACTTGCAACCTGATAAGTCAGCTCAAGGCACTTTTCAATATCCTGAACGATCCTGTCATTACCATGTTGTACAATCATCACCATCATACCGCAAACTCCTTGGGGTTCCCCGACCGTTGGCTCTCTTGCTGCACGCGGAGGTTGTAGAGGCGGTCGAAGAGCTCCTGGAGGTGCAGCATGGCAGGGGAGGTGTCGCTGCGCAGCTCCACTTCGAAGACGTCTGCGTTCCTCTGGACCAGGAGCTGCTTACGTCATCAGGGCCCCGAAGACATACAGACGTAGCTCACTTTGATGTCCTCTGCTCGTTGGAGGTTGAAAGAAACGTCCTGATTTCCATTCATCTCTACTATCCTATCACCGCTGTTTATAGCATCAGCTATATGTCAAGGGAGCAATGTCTTGCCTTCTTAACTTCGCAGCAAAACCCGGCCCTCCTGGGATGACGCTTTCTATCAATGATCCGTTCAACACAAGCCCCAGCGACGCTGGGCAGTTCTCTTCTTCTTGCGTTGGGACTTTTTCCGTCTGCAAATGAATGCAATAAGACAAGTTTCAAACAGAACCAAGGAGATTCCAATCACCAGGACATCTTGGTTGATGCGAGCCAAGATAGACATGCAAGAGTTCATACTCTCCAGCAGCGCCTTGTCTTGTTGGCTCCTACTCTCAAAGTCCCCGCTGATCAAATGGTTCAGCATGGATGCATTTTTCATTCTTGGGGATCCGTATGGCGCTCCTACGCAGACGTCAGGTTTCTCGACTTTGATTGAGTAGCTTTTGCTGCCTGCCTGCCTGCCTGCCTGCCTGCCTGCCTGCCTGCCTGCCTGCCTGCCTGCCTGCCTGCCTGCCTGCCTGCCTGCCTGCCTGCCTGCCTGCCTGCCTGCCTGCCTGCCTGCCTGCCTGTCTGCCTGCCTGCCTGCTGCCTGCCTGCCTGCCTGCCTGCCTGCCTGCCTGCCTGCCATCTATCCATCCTTCCTTCCTTCTCACACTTTTCGCTCAGCATTCTCATTTTCGACTATCTTTCAAATATTCTTGACAGGCGGGACTCCGGTTTTTGACTACAGAGCGATTCCGGACTGGCGAGCCTATATCTATTCAGTATATTACCGGCGCCCGGCCGCCGACGGTATACGGCCGGCCCAGGCCCGGGCGGCGGCCTCGGGGCCCGACTGCCAGGACGAGAGTCTACTAGTGGCCTGAGCATTGAGAGCGGCTCTCGGAGGGGTGATACTAGGTTCTCAGTTTTTAACAAAAACATCAGCATTATCATCACATTCAGAGTCATCTCGATGCGGCTTCTCCTTCATATTGCGCACAAGATCTGAGCAAAGCATTCAGGAGCCTCCCTCGCGCAGACGGTGCTCACCTGGAACCGAGCCATCCTCCTTGGGCCCGACGTGCAGTAGTAGGAGACGTTAGCAAGGGCCGAGGCGGCGAGAGCTGCACATCGCTCCTGAGGGCTGGGGAGGGTCAGCAGGCTACTGAGCCTCCCCTTGCACGAACATGTACCTGTCTAACAGGCCGGTCATGGCAAGTAAAGCGCCCTCTTGCTGGATGATGATGTCCGCCATCTCCCTGTGCGTTTCGGTCAGGTGAGACCATCACAACGCTCATGATCTCCAGCACGCACCCTGACTTGGACGCCATCTTGAGGATCAGGGCGATTTCTCCTTTCAGTCTGCCAGGTGTCAGACAAGGGATTTGACAAGCTCCTGCCGCCTACTTGTCATTCACCCAGTCCCAGCAGATGATGGCCACAAGCTTTTCAATCACGCTGCACCGCAACAACTGGAAGATGTCAGAGCAGCAGGGGGCGAGGGAGATGTCCTTGGCACCTCCGACTTGAGCAGGAGCGAGTAAGAATCAGGTTCGTCGCTCCAAAAGAGAGCCTCCATGATCTCTTTGTCAACAACGAAGCATTGCAAGGCAACAACTGAAGCTGGGATTGTATCCATGTCCTGAAGTAGAGGATGAATTCTGTGTGGTATGAATGAAAGCATTTCTACCCGGAGGACGTAGGCAAGAGCTGGAACGATCCCACATTTGATCATGTCGATGCTGACCGTTTTCGTTCAGCAGAAAGTTGGGAATGAATTGAGATGATACCGTGCTCTCTGCTGTCTTGCCTTCTTCTTGACGTCTTTGAGAACTTTGGTCTTTGATTCAACATTTCCTAAAAATTTCAATCACCTACAGCACAATGAAGGTGCTCTGCAGCAGCAAGCATGTTTTTGACCTGTACAGAGAACATTTACGTATTCTTTATATGTTTCTTCAGATGAGGTTTCGCCTACGAGAGACATCGTACATGTTATTCCAACATCGAATGATTCAAAAACACTTGATGGTCTACCTCGTTTCGGTGGCGATTCATGCGAGGATTGAGAAGTAGCAGAATGAAGGGACGGCGACGACATGGAGTTTGTCCACTCATTTTCACGATGCTTTTGATGCATGGTCGAAGTGTTAGCTTTTGTAACACTGCTTGATTGCGGAGAAGATGGCTTCAGTGGAGATCCTGGTGGCAAGCTCATATAGCCAGCAAAATCGTCTCCATTTCCTGGACAAACATGAATCAAACCGTGTCCTTCGCGCCTCCATGGTCCACAACCCGTGTTAGAATGGCTAGGAGGTTTGCCCACAGACAGTAAACCCTGTCTCCAGTCTCTATCGGACGACGCGGCGCCCACGCCAACTATCTTGATCGGAACAGTTCGATTCGAGCTCACGTCCACGGCCAAAATCTGCAATGACTGATGAGTGGGCAATCCTCCAACAACCCCTTCCTCTAACCTCGTTCGATTTCTTGGTCCAACTGTTCTCATACTGTGCCTCTTGGTCCTGATGTTCCTGGTCTGACGTCGGAGAGATCGATCGGAACACATTCGGGCTCGTGGGTGAAGGATCAGAAAATGCAAGATCGTTTTCGGTTTGCTTTCTGTCCCATTCTTCCACTTCCGAGATGGAATAGTAAGGATCCTGGACTATGGCCGGAGCATCATCGAAAGCTTGGTCTGCGACCTTCAAATCACTTTCCGTTGATTCCCTGAGGAAAGACCCATTGCCGCGCTCAGAGACGTCGTATTGGTTGAATCGATCGTGAAGGCTGGTATCAACTGGTGCAGCAAGGTCTTTCGACTCTTCCCAGGCATTTGTTTGATTCACACTCGAGTACTCCAAGGGAATGGAATGGTTGACAGGCTCATCCTCATCTATGTCGACGCTGCAAACCTTCGTCGATGGTGGCTCGAAATCAACTACATCATAACTGCAAAACATGATATCAGAAGACAAAAGATTGCCCATGACCAAGCCCTCCGTTCCTCTCTGCCAGCTTTCTCTCTCACCCGTCATCTTCATTCTCATCCACCTGTACTCTCCTCCTCCTCAGCAGCGCTGCCAGTCTTTCATCCATCCCCCCAGCGCTCAACTTGCCATCGCCATACTCCGTCGACACTCCGTCGACTGCAGTAGTCACATCAAGTTGCCCATGCAGCTGTACCCCCGTCGAAAACACCCCCACCGCCCATTCCTCAGAATCTTACCAATGGAGTACCCACCAACTAGGAACCCCCACCCCACTCATCAGATGACGTCAGACCTCAAGAGCCGAAGCCAGAACATAACCGTCAATCCAGGCACGTAACGGGCCGGGCCGCCCGGCCCAGGCTCCGGCGGGGAGCCGAGTCGAAAGGTGAGTAGCAGTCTGCTGACTGATCGGACAGTTGCACTTAGCTTCAGTGCTCAAAGGGATCGGAATCCTGGAGATGGATGTCCTTGACTACACGAATATATGAGAGTCGGAGTTGGAGGGACCGTGATCGTCTGTCGGAGCAGTGAGTTATATGGATATTGCTTTGCTGCGAGCATTTCAAGATGGATGAGGATAACTTTATTCATCCTTGGTATATCTGAAACCCCTTGCCAACAAGAGACAATACGAGGTTCGGGTTGAATCGCTCAACCTCGTAGATGTTGAGTTAAGAGTAACGCTGCTTGCGTGAAATTCAATATCATATGAAACATCGCCTGTCAGCATTTTGTGCCAACGGTGCCTTTACAGGGCAAGAGCTCCCTACAAACAAATGATGGAATCCAGAATTGATACGAGTTGAGTCTCGCTTAAAACTTGGGAGTTCTCTTTCGATGAATGATCTACATGAATGTTGCATACATCACGTCATGACACGAATGTAGACAAGCTGTACTGTCTAACATTGTGAAGACCTCAATGGTGGTATATTTGAAACATCCATGGAATACATAGCAGCATTGTTGGGCATCCATATCACCATTATAGATTCAATGTGACCATTCACTGGTTTGAAAACACTTAGAATGATTGTGGGAGTGCACATGCTTGATACAACTTCACATCTGGGCATGTGCCTGCATGGCTAAATTCATTATCCCTACAATCCTTTACGCTTCAAACTTGCATTTATCCACTTTCATTGCTTGATATCGCAAATGAATAGATCTTATAAATTCGTGCAATGATTGTTTTATGGGGACACAACTAGGATTCAAGTGTCCTAAGTGTTATCAGTGTTTTAACTATAATTCATGAAATCAACCATCATCTAGTGTTATCATGCACCATGCATGTTGAAAGGTATGGGATGTAAATCAGACATTGTCTGTAATCAGACACTGACTGTAATCAGACATTTTCGGAAAATGATTGTGGAATATACGGATTAGAATCAACTGGAAGTCTCGCATTCCACTCTGAGATGTAAAAGTATGCAACAAGATATGAAGTACATTATTGTATCACCGGAGCTTGGCTCACCAAAAATCTCGCAGCAAAAATGTAGAACATCTGAAAAATCCTTTTGATCTCCCTCGGACATCCTAAGGCTTCTTCCATTCTTTCTAGCCGATCTTTCTCCCTGTGACTGTTGAATCCTCCTTGTCTATCCACTTATCCCTCTCCTTCCTCGTCGCTCGATAACCCAATTTCTTCCCAGGATGAGCGGTTGTAGAAGTAGCCTGTAAAAGCCTTTATGCGTACCCCACCCCCGGGTTTCCACTGAAGATGTGAGGGGTGATCATTTTCGTCCGGTAGGTAGGGGTAGTTTGACTACCCCTACCTTAGCCTGGGGATCGACCGAAGTTGACTGGGTACTCTAGAGAGGGTGGTATATGTCATGTTAGGGGAATGAGGGGAAGGGAATGAGGGGTCTTCTGCGGATCTGCCTCTTACTACCCACCCTTCATAGAGTGAACATTGTTGAATATCTGGGGTGGTATTTCAGGAAGTTGAGGAGTATATGGTAGGGTAGTTGCAGGGGACTGTGGGTAAGTATCCCGCAACCAATGAAGGGGTAGGACGATTCCTCGTGGGGTGGATGCCAGAAGGGGGTGATATGTAGATGGATAGTGTCATACATATTCAAATTACACTTTATCACTATTGGCAAAATTCCTCGCTTTGTAGGTTCCTGGGACAGATCAGCTGTGTTCTGATTTTTCTATCTTTCTGAGGGGGTGAAGGTAGTTGCAAGGTGGGTGGGGTTTTCGTTGTGGTACGCAGTGGGGGCTGGAATGGTCGAAATGCAGCGACAATGGCGGCGGCTTCGGGGAGGCAGCAGAGCAGTCAGGATGCTGGGGATGCTGGCCATGGTGGCAGGTGTAGCAGGAGGATCAGTAGGAACCCTCCCCGCAGCTCCTTCCCCAGGAGTTGACTTCTCTGGGGTCGTGGAGGGCGTGAAGGAGTTTCTAAAGGGAGGAGTAGCCAATGGGTTGGGAGCGTTCTCAGTTTTCCCCATCGATCTCGCAAAGACTCGCATCCAGGATCAGAGGATTGTTGCAGGAAGTGAGGTGATGTATAAGAACATCTTCGACACCATTGCAAAGGTCGCGTCCAAGGAGGGGATCCCAGCTCTCTACAGCGGGGTAACCCCAGTTCTGATCGGTGCAGCTCCGGAGGGTGCCATGCAGATCGGAACGAACAACGTTGTTCGCAGCAAGTTGGCAGAGATGAGGGGTACCACGATAGACAAGCTCCCTCTCTCTCACGACATGTTCGCCGGAGCATGCGGAGGTTTAGCTCAAGTTGTTGTCAGCACACCCATGGACAGGGTGAAGATTTTGCAGCAAGTGATGGGGAAGGAGTCAGGAAATGCTATGCAGATTGTGCAGCAAGTTGGCCTCTCTGGGTTGTACCAAGGAGCCAAGGCTTGCGTGCTCCGTGACGTCTTCTTTGCGGCCCTCTACTTCCCCATCTACTACCGTGTCAAGTCAGCGTTGCAGGAGGTCGGATCCAAGAAGGGGCAGAAGAGACAAGAGAACTTGTTGGACGCTCTGGTTGCTGGACTTGCTGCGGTGAGCTCCTTCCTTTCCTTCCTTCCTTCCCTTCCTTCCATCCTGCCACCCTCGCCCTCCATTTTAGATCTGTCCTCTCATCTGCCCCCCTGCCGCTCCTCCTGATTGGCTGTCGATGTGCAGGGAGTGCCTGCAGCGTCGCTCACGTGCCCCTTCGATGTGATCAAGACGAGGATGCAGTCCTGTGGCGTTGGAACGAAGGGCTGCGACGTAATGGTTGCCAGGTGAAGGACCGCTTTATTGCCGGCGCTAGGACGCTGACGTCTCTTGCTCTCCTCGCTGACATCTCGTTCTCCCAGCATCCGTTCCACTGCTGCCGAGCTATGGGCAGAGGGCCAGGCGAGAGCCTTTTTCAAGGGCCTGACTGGACGTGTTGGACGCGTTGCTCCTCAGGTGAGGCACTCCCGGTCAAGGAGGGTGAGGAAGGAAGACGGCGAATAGGGACAGGGGAGGGAGCAAGGAAGGGGGCAGGGGGCAGGGGGCAGGGGGAAGGGGGAAGGGGGAAGGTTGGCACAGGAAGGGGGAAGGGCAACTGGCAGGGGCAGGGGCAGGGGACTAACGATTTCTTTCCAGCTCGCGATCTGCCTTGTGGTGGTGGAAGCGCTCAACATCGCGTTTCCTCCCAAGGGAAAGTGATAGGGAGAAGACGGACAATATTGCATCACGTCAGTTTATTTTTTGCAATGAAGTCTGGACGACGGAAGCGAGATGAAGCGTGTCCCGATGAGGTGATGTTAACATGGGCTGGCCGAGGAGAAGCGATGCGGCGATGGCCTAAACCAGGATGATGACGATGATGAAGATGTCGCTAGTGGAGGAGGATGTTGAGTAGGAGGAAGGATGGGAAGGATGAATACTCCTTGTCTGTCCTTCGGGAAGTTCTATCAAGCAGGAAGACTAGCTCCACACTGTCTCCTTAGACCTTCGGCTGCTGCCGCGCCCTGTGGTATCAGCCGGTCAGGTCAAGCGCGTGCCAGCCTCGTCACTCACCATCTTGTCGACCATGGCAGAGAAGGCTGAGCTCTTGGAACTGTCGTGATGTGAGGAGGGAGGAGGACATAGAAGAGGAGAGGAGGAGCGGGAGAAGAACAAGATGGATGAGGGATGGGGGGTGAAGAAGGAGGGTAGAGGAAACAACCTGAGCAAATTCTTGGGGGTGTCGAGTTCCTGCACATATCCCTGGCAGGAAGTGAGGAAGAGGAGGAGAAGGAAGCGGAGGAACAGGCAAAAAGACAAGAAGGTGACGAAGATCGCACAAGGGAGGAAACGCGATGGGGATACGGAGTCACAAGGGATGGGAGGGACAGGAGGGGGAGGGAAAGGAAACCTGATTCATCACGAGGATACGAGAGCTGTCGACCACAGTACTGAGACGATGCGCGATGACGAGCATGGTGGAGGTTCCCTGCCGCTCGCGGTCACCGGGAGGAGGAGGTCGCAGGCTGGTGCGCATTACCCCCGCTAGGATCCTGGTCTTGATGGTGTTCTGAACATGCGCATCCGTCTGCGATGACCAAGGTGAGTGAGACATGCCGTGGGGAAGAAGAGACGGGGAGGGAGGGAGGGAGGGAGGGATGGATGGATGGATGGATGGATGGATGGATGGATGGATGGAGGGAGGGAGGGAGGGAGGGAGGGAGGGAGGGAGGGAGGGAAGGAGGGAGGGAGGACAGAAGGGATGATCTGAGCTTACCTGCACATCGACACTTGCCGTCGCTTCATCAAGCATGAGAACTTTGGGCTTGCGTAGGAGGACGCTGAGATAGTCCAGGTCACAAAACAACAAGACAAAAGCACGGGAAGTTTCAAGGAAGAGACGAACAAGGAGGAGGAGAAGCACGAATGAGATGACAGCGAGGATGAGGATGAGGGTGAGGGTGAGGATGATGATGATGATGATGATGATGATGATGATGATGATGATGATGATGAGGAGGAGCTGCAACAGGGCAAGAAGACGGTCGCTGGAGCGGAGGATGAGGCAGATGTTTCTCTGACCGAGCGAGTGCCACGAGTTGTCGTTGCCCGACCGAGAGATTCTCCCCGCTCTCAGAGATCTCCTTATCCAGTCCTCCTCAAAGAAGCAGTAAACATGGGAGGAGGAGAAGGAGGAGAAGGAGGAGGTAGAGGAGGAGGAAGTGGAGGAGGTGGTGGTGGTGAGGAGGAGGAGAAGGAGGAGGAAGGAGTAGGAGCGAGGAGGAGGAGGAGGAGGAGGAGGTAGAGGAGGAGGAGGTAGAGGAGGAGGAGGAGGAGGTGGTGGTGGTGGTGGAGGAGGAGGAGGAGGAGGAGGAGAAGGAGGAAGGAGTAGGAGCGAGGAGGAGGATGATTTGGCCCTTACCTAGTTCTCCCAGCCTCGCACATTGCAGCACTTCTTGCAGTTCCTCGTCCGTGTGCTGTGGTGAGGTATGAGGAGGAGGAGGGAAAGGAAGATTACCCGCGAGAAAAGAGAGAAGTGCGTCCAGAAGTGGGGGGGGGAGAGAGAATGGGCACACAAGAGACAGAAAGCAGGAGGGAACAAGAGGATGCAAACAAGAGGGGCAGAAGAGGATCAGGGAGGAAGGAGGAGGGGAGGAAGGAGGAGGGGGAGGAAGGAGGAGGGGAGGAAGGAGGAGAGAAGGAAGGAGAAAGAGGAAGGACGAGGAGGACGAGGAGGAAGTAGGAAAGTGGAGGAGGACAAGGATCTGACATAGGAAGAGGCAGGTTGTTGGTGCTCACCCGTGAGAAGGGGTCGAGGTTGAATCGTACGGAGCCCGAGAACAGGACTGGGTCTTGCGGCATGATGGCAAGGGCGCTCCTCAGCCTCTTGAGAGCGACGGCTGCGATGTCCGCGCCATCGATGAGGATGCGGCCCTCTACGGGCAGCGCTCAGCAGGTGCTCATGGAGGTGGATGGGAGGGAAGTAGAGGAGGAGAGTCAAGGAGGAGGTGGAAGAGGAGGAGAGTCAAGGAGGAGGTGGAAGAGGAGGAGAGTCAAGGAGGAGGTGGAAGAGAGAAGGTAGAGGCCTAAGGAGGAAGGAGAGGAGGAGGAGGGTGCAGAAGGATCAGAAAGACACGACGGAAATACCTGCGCCTTCGACGAGGCGGAAGAGAGCAACGAGCATACTCGACTTGCCCGAGCCTGTTCTGCCCACGATACCGATCTGCGAGGAGGGTCACGACGGGAGGTGCAGAGGGGAAGGAGGAGCGAAGGGGGAACAAGACGAAACAAGGAGGAGGAGCGAGGAAGAGGAGCAATGAGGCGGAGGAAGAGAAGGCGGAGGATGAGGAGGTGGAGGAGTGAGGAGGAGGAGGAGGAGGAGCGAGGAGGAGGAGGAGGAGGAGGTGGTGGTGGAGGCCAGTAGGGTACCTTCTCTCCTGCATTGATCTTAAAGCTGAGGTTGTTGAGGACAAGTGGAAGTCCCGGGCGGTAGCGCATGCTGTATCCCTCGAAGGCTATGTTGCTCGTCCTCGGCCAGTCCTCCGAGAGTTCCGCAGGCTCAGGGGCAGCGATCGCTTCCTCCTGCTCGATGTTGTGCGTATAGAAGTCAATCCTCTCCACCGCGTTCATGCCTGACGGGAAGGGAATCAGTTGGAGGTGGAGAGTCAGGGCAGGGCAGAGATTGATGGGAGACATACAAGACGATGAGGGAAGATGAGGAAGATGATGGAGAGGAAAGGGAGCAAGAGAGGGAAGAGGGGAGAAGGAGCAAGAGAGGAAGGAGGGAGGAGAAGGAGCAAGAGAGGAAGGAGGCAGGAGAAGGAGCAAGAGAGGAAGGAGGAAAAGCAGGAGAAGGATGAAGAGCTGGAGCGGGAGCAGCAGGAGGAGCCAACCAGTCTCGAGCATAGTTCGCATCATGACTAGGAAGCCAAGGATGGAAGAGATCGACATGGCCTTGGTCAGTGCGAGTCCGGCGTACTGGGGAGAGATGGAGTTCCTTGCGATGATGCAGAAGGCAGCGGTGAAGAACTGAACCAGAATATTCACCATCTCCAGTCGCTGGTCCAGCCACCTGCGAGCCTCCTGCCCGAGCATCTGGGGGCGGAGGTTGAGGTCGAGGAGGAAGAGGGAGCGAGCATGGAAGAGGGGGGAGCGGGAGAAGGCGCGGATGGTGACCAGGCCGAGGATGGTCTCGGAAAAGTGAGAGACCATGGGGGAACGAGCGACGGACTCCAGTCGCTGGAGCTCGCGCGCGGTCGGGGTGAAGTATGCTTCCGTCATCTTGTAGATGAAGATGATGGGGAGGAAGGGAGGCAGAACCAGGGTAGGAGGATGCAGATCAGGATACAGGCCCCGAGCATCCAGATGCTGATCGTGAGGTAGTTCTCGAACATGCTCGTCAGCTGAGTGTCGATCCTGTCTGTGTCCGCGGAGAAGCGGTTGATGATGCGACCAGACGGCGTCGTGTCGAAGAACGACATGCTCCCGCCAGCACCGACTGCACGAACCTGTGGAGGAGGAGGCGACTAGCGTACACTCCCCTCACCTGGAAGAAGACTCCGCGTACCAGCGTGAGAAGGACACTTCCAACCGCCATGCCGGCGTAGATGCCATTCCAGAAGGAGTCGTGCCGGTTTTTGAGGGAGGAGAGCGGAGGGTCTTGAGTCGGGTCCACGGCCATCGACCATAGGGTCAGCCAGAAGTCGGTCCCGTCGGTGAGGAACTGGACGGCGATGAAGAGGAGGACGAGAATGGCGAGGTGAAGCTTCGATCCCCACGCGCGGAAGTAGAGCATGTAGATTTCGGTGCTAACAGCACCCTTGTCTCTCTCCTCTGACCCTGTCAACTGCCCCTTCTTGGCGTCTCCTTCCGCCTTCTCCTTCGTCCCTACCTTCTCCTCCTCGCCCTCCCCAGCCTCCTCCTCCTCCTTGTGCGCCTGATGGAGGGACGAGAGGTCGATGTGGCTCTCCACCTCCTCCAGCTTCCCCTGCGCAACGATCTTTCCTCCATCCATGACCACGATCCTGTCAGCGAGCGAGAGGTACTGGATCTGATGCGTCACGAGCAGACGCGTCTTCTCCTTCAGCTCCCCGAGGATACACTCGTCCATGAGCTTCCGTGCCACGTGCGTGTCGACAGCAGAGAGAGGGTCGTCGAGGAGGTAGATGTCAGCGTTGCTGTAGACCGCGCGAGCAAGCTGGATCCTCGCCTTCTGCCCGCCCGACAGGTTGATCCCTCTCTCTCCGATCTCAGTCTCCTCCCCGGCAGGCAGGACGTCCATGTCAGAGTCAAGGGCAGAGACGCGGAGGGAGAGGCGGAAGCGCTCGGGGTCCAGCCGAGACTTGAACGTCACGTTCTCTCTCACGGTGGCGCTCTGGATCCAGCAGGACTGGGAGGCGTAGGCGATGGAGCCGGAGGAAGAGACTTGCCCGCTGACTGTCGAGATCTCCTGCAGGATGGCGGAGAGGAGGGAGGATTTGCCACAGCCGACCTTGCCTGTTACGATGACAAGCTCTCCCTTGCGCACCGTCAGGTTGATGTCCTCCAGCGTCGGCTTGTCCTGCTCTTCCTGCGCTGCAACGTTTGCGAGCTCCTCGTCAGCCTTCTCCGAGGGTCTGCGAGGAACGTGAGGAGGGAGGGAGGGAGTGAGGGGGAAGCAGGAGGGTAGAAGAGCAGGACGAGGATCAGAAAAGTCAGGAGGAGTAGACGAGGGGAGCGAGAATATGGGAGGAAGGTATTGAGAGGAGCAGGGATGTGGTCGCTTACTTGCTCTCCTCCTCCTTCTCCTTGTCCTCTTTCTTTGCCTTTCCGTCATTTTTCTTCTTCTCCTTCCCCTTCTCCTCTTCCTCCTCCTGCAAGCATCGTCCATTCAGGCACCGTACCTCCCTCCCCTCGACACAATCTCCAACCTTTGCTTTCTTGCATCCCCACGAGAAGTACCCGTTCTTGATCGAGATCACAACTCCTTCCTCCATCGAAGTCCCCCCCTCCTTCCTCTTCTCCTGCTCCTCCCCCATGATGAAGCTCTGGACGCGCCCCACGGAGATCTTGGTCCGCGCGTACGCGCTGATCGCCTCGGGGATCTGCATAAGAGGCCAGCGGAGCATGTTGACGAGG